ACGAAACGACGAGCAGAGACAAATGCTAATACATTCTTTCGCGAATCTTGGACGGCAGCCATTGGTGGTCATACCTCGCAGTTCAGTTACACAGGGTATCATGGCACTAACACATATTATTCTCGTTGTATGCAAATGCGCTTTACGCACTACATTATGCACAAATCAACTCACGTATGATGTAACATCAATTTCTGCTAAGCGAGGTCGAGGGTTCCGAACCTGTTCTAGTAACGATACCTTTTTTCTCACGAACCGCTGAATGACCATTTGGTCCCAGGCCAGACCAGACCAGACCAGACCAGACCAGCCCAGCCCAGGGCTTCAAACCAAGGCGCGTGGAAAGACGACTTGTGCGCAAAAGTTCTTGTATGGGATGTAACACCTGCTAAAAGGGGCTTCACCTTGACTACATCGAGTTCCAATCAATCCAACAACCTAAACCGCCGTCGATTATCTGCAGTGTCCTCCATCTGTGCACAGCTCGCAGCGACACCACACTGCGCGATGCGAGACCGCATGCTCTCCCGATTCAGCCCCTTATGCATTCTGCGTCCTGCCTGCCTGGCTCCACCCGACTTGGGATCCAACTCTGCCCTTTCTCTCCCACATTCCAGCTCTAGAATTACGACTGCACACGCGTCTCAAACGTCATTCTCATGACCGGTGTCTCTCACGCATTTCTCAAGTGACTTCCTCGATAGACCAATCCGCCCCAATTCAGCCAGACTCTAGCATTGTCGACCCCCAAGCGTAGACAGCATGTCAGACCGAAGCAACATTCCACCGAGTGGGCGCAACCCTCTCTACGGGGGACCGTCGAACAAATCCTTCAACCGCACTCCCTCGTGGGCCTACAAGAACGGCGGAGACGGCGGGGATGGCAGCGATCAAGGCTCCCCGACCGCATCCCCCCTGCGCAGCCACCGCAACGCCTCGCAGTCCCCTTACTACGCGCCACAATACGAGAACCCAGGCTACACAGTCGAGACTCCAAGCGCATACGACCCGTACTTGATGTCCAGCGGGTCGATCCACGGCAGCCATCTCTATCGCCCCACGGAAACCTACTTCGTGCAGACTCCCGCGCATTCTATTCGCACCTCGCGCGTGAACGAGTCGCCGGAATCCTCGGCACCGTCGTCGCCGCAGCACCCGGAGGGATACGCGGAGATGGGAGGAAAGTTCGGCGAAGAGGCGGTGTTCGACGATTCGGATCACGAGGATGAGTTTTATCCGGACATCCAAAGGGAGAAATTCCGCAAGAAGCGCTTTAAGCAGTGCTTCTGCTTGTGGTCGCTGCTGGTCATCGCGGCGCTCTTCGTCGCGGGATGCATTATCGCGTGGGTCGTGTACCAGCCTACACCGCCCACATACACCATGGACGTACGTCGGAGACCAGGAAATCTGTTCGCTCCAAATCGTTCCCATGCTGCTCCCCCTAGTCGCTGGCCCGTTCTCAAGTACCGCCGCCTCTCCTTTGGCCCCGCCCCAGTCCCCTTGTTCTCAAGTACACTGCCTCACTCTCCCTGCCCTTCACGTTCCTTTCCCTCTGCCCCTCATGCGTGTGCCATCCCCCCTCCCCCGTCCGCAGTACGCGATGGTGAACGAGTTTCAGACGTTTCCCGACATGCTGGACGGCAACGGGCTGCCCACGGACCAGCTGTACGCCAACCTCACGCTCATCTTCTCCATCCGCAACCCCAACACGCGCTACGTCTCGTGGTTCGACGGCGGCGACGTGAGCATCGGCTACAGCTCCATCAAGACCATGATGAAGGGCCGCGTGAGTGATCCTCCCCGCTCACACATAGACGTAACATATCTTTGCATTGAATCTTCCATTCCGTTCATTGCCGCTCGCCCAAAGCATGACGTTCCTGGATTCCCGCGTGTATCTCCGCTTCCGTATCCCTTCGCTATGGGCATTCCACCTTATCGGTTCCCGTATCGGCTGCCCCCTTGCCATCGCCCCCTTCCGCAGTTTCCCAAGTTCAAGCAGAACCAGCTGGAGTGGAACAGTTTCAACGGGTCCGCCTCCACCATGGCATTCCCTCTCTACGGTGGCGGTATGGCGCTGCGCTCCGACATGGCGGAGCAGTACGTTCCGCTCAGGCTGAATGCCACGCTGCGCGCGCACGTGGATGTGATCTGGAAGGTTGTGTCGCCTCAGTACACCCATTTGATGGAGTGTATTGTGAACATTAACCCCCTGGCGCTGCAGTACATCAACGACACATGCACGGTGACGCAGATTTGAGCTGATTGCCTTAATGGAACAATTCTTACTCCCCGCTTACCTAGCTAGAAACAGGGAGAACAGCGCCATTCCTCTGCTTCCAAAAGAGTGTTAGACCAGCCTTCCAGCCTTTTCCAGTTCCTTAGATTCCTTGTAGAAGGATGGGTTTGGGATCACATGGTGTTCAGAGTAGAAGGTGCTCTTTCGGACAAAAGGCACCCCGCCTGTTTGATTATCAATAATGTAATCTTATTGAGCTTCTCCATAAACTTCATGTCAGATGAATGCTGCTTGTTGTGTGGTGCTCTGCAATGGGAAGCATGTCTACCAATTTTGGATGACATAATGAACAACTCCTGCCGTATGTCTGATACTTTGAAATGTAAAAAAATGTACATGCCATTTTTTGCAGTATCTCATTTCAAAGCCCGCACCGCATTCCGCATTTTTCTGGTTTGGTCAGCTCCCTCTATTCGTCCAATCAAAAGCCCTCATATCTGCTTACGAGAAATATTCATGTAGGGTTAAAATAGTAGTTCCAACAGAAAACTGGAGACATTCTTAGTAGCTAGTTGAAAACTTCAATTACTACTAAGGGAATAATCTTACTAGTTATATTGGCTCACGAGTGTACACACGGACCCCGCAAGCGACTGCTGAGTCTGGCACCCATCCCCCATCCATGGATGTTGTCATCATCATCAACAGAAGAATTCGTGCAGACGGATGGATTTCCTGCAGTGCAGGTGGAACATGATTGTTGCCATCTTGCTCCTGTCCAGTCCCGTCCCGTCCCGAATTGTGCCCTCTGCTCCGCCATCGGTATTCTCCGCTGGTCGCCTCTGTCAACACATCTCCCTACCTTGGTTGTCTCGCATTGCTTCATAGTCAAGCCCATCCTGCTGAGCTAGATAGGCTGAGCAGTATCGTTCTTGAAATTGACGCCTTGTAGGAACCCAAGGATTTGCCCAAGCATATTCGTCTCAACAGTCGCATAGCTGCCCAGTAAATGCGAATTCGGGATCGTTTCGAGTCAACCAAAGGTTCACAACTACGTGAATTCTGGCTTAGGTGAATCGAGGAAAGATTTCGGCAGACGGCGTTCGTTTCGTGCAAGTCAGTGACGACGTTCGGGAAAAGATCCAGATGGCGGCCGCTTCGTCACAGACGGCGGACCAGGAGTGGCTGCTGTGTCGCCTGAGGGAATGCCTGGATCCGGGAAACACCAACCGCGTTGTCGCAGAAGAGGCGTTGCGACAGGCCGAAGCGATGGCAGGTGTGTCGCGCGGCGATGCTAGATGTGTCGCAGGTCGATGACCCGTGTGTTCCGAGGCTGTGTGTCGCGGGGCGACGATAGGCGTGTCGCAAGGCGATGATAGTTGTGTCACAAGGCGATGATAGTTGTGTCGCAAGGCGATGATAGTTGTGTCGCAAGGCGATGATAGTTGTGTCGCAAGGCGATGATAGTTGTGTCACAAGGCGATGAGTTGTTCTGCGCGGCGTTACGTTGTTGTCGTCGCCTCGCTGCACTCTGCGAATCTGTGTTCCATTCCCACTCTCTACTAGATTCGTCGCTCGAATCCCGTGCGAATGCCACGTGGCTTATCAAAACGAGAGTCACACATCACACACTGTTTTGTCCCGTGCCTCCCGACGCCTCGTGCACATGTACGAAGATCCCCTCTGTCCATTCATTATTTCATCCCACGTCCTTCATCACACGTTCCTTGTCCCACGTCCCAGCCTCTCGTCCATCGTCCCGCGTGTGCTCAAGCTCCTCTGTCATCTCCAGCTCGCCCGTTGCTCAATCCCTAAACCCCTTCTGCCCTCCCCACGTCCCTCACCACCAACCATGCGGCGCCGTGCAGGCTACGCTCCTGCGCTGATGGGTGTGGCGGGCAACAAGGGCCTCGACGCGGGCACACGACAAATATCCTCCTCTTCGTCCGCTTCAACCTGTCCCGAATGCACATCTGACCTGACCTGACCCCACAGCAGGCTCCTGTTTAGCTCCCTCACTTGTCTGCTTTGCGTGCAATTGGCCTCTCCTATGATTACCCACTCTTCTCAAAAGGGTTTCCTTAACTTGTCCTCGTGCTTGCAACTTCCTTTCGTTTCCCTTCTCCGGTGCGTCCCTGGCTTGGCCCTCCTCCTCCTCTCCTCTCGTGTTCCCCCCTCTCCCTTCCATGTCCCCCGGCTCTCTCTACCACCATCTCTTCGTTCGCTGTAATATTCCCCATATTCCTGGCGATTCTTCTCGTGCTCTCTGGTCGGCACCTAGCAGCAGTGCTGCTGCGGCAGGTGGTGCAGAGGCACTGGCAGGCGGGTGACGAGGAGGAGGAGGGAGAAGGGGGAGGAAAGAAATTCACTGTATCACCGGAGGACAAGGTAAATTGGAGTATGAGAGGTTGGGGGAGGGGGGAGGGGGGAGGGGAGAGGGGGAAAGGGGGATGAGGGGAGAGGGGAAGGGGGAGGGCGAAGAGAAGGGATGGGGAAAGGGGAAAGGTGAGAGAGCAGAGTGAGGGATGTCTAGCTTGCGCCTTTTGCATGTTCATCAGTGCAACCGCTGCTGCTGCTGCTGCTGCTGCAGAGGTTGATGGAGCTGGTAGATGGTAAGTGGAGGGAGGGCGGATGCAAAGCAATTTGTGCGAAGGAGCAAGACTTTGTGGTAGGCAAGCAACAGTGCTGCACAAGATTTCCACTTCACTTATATCTGATTAACATTGTGCCCCCTTAATCCTCTGCTTCCACAATTTCCGTCATGCCACGTCACCAATCTGTGCCATGCTGGCAGGCAGCGGTGCGGGCTCTCCTCCTCCAGGGGCTGGTGGACGAGGAGCCCAAGGTCCAGTCAGCTGTGGGCCTCGCGATTGCACACGTGGCATCCTGTGATTGGCCGGAGGTGTGGCCGGAGCTGATGGATCATCTCATGGCCGCCCTGGCCGACACTGCTCACCCCAACAGAGGTGGGGCGGGGAGGAGGGGTGAGGGGGAAAGAGCAGGAAAAAAGGGAGGGGGGAGGAGGGGCTACTGCAAGGGGTAATAGCTATGCAATCGTTGTGACCATCTTCCCGTTCCTTCCTTCCTCCGCCCTCTCGTATGAGCAGTGGCAGCGGCAGTGGAGTGCCTGTCGCTATTTGCAGAGGAGATTGATGACACACAGCTGCCTGCGCTTGTGCCCAAGCTCTTCCCACCCATCTTCGCCATCGTTTCCAACCCCAACCAGGTGGGTCCGACTGTTAGCCCAGTTATTAGAATCACTTTTAAGAATTCTGAAGAGTGGTTCACAGCTGCCTGCGCTTGTGCCCAAGCTCTTCCCCCCCAATCTTCGCCATCGTTTCCAACCCCAACCAGGTGGGTCCGACCCCACACCAGGTGAAACCCCGCACTATGTGCAATCTACATTAAGCGAAACTCAGAGCAGGTGCAACCCACACGTGTCAGGTGACCATGTGTGAGATTCCAATGACGTCAGAAGGAAGCCCAGAGGATTTGGAAGATGAGCAGCAGCTTGGTTGCTCATCTTCCAACCACGCCTCGTGTCGTGTCTACCTTCCATCCTCCACCTGGGTTGCCTCTCTTACAGAACCCCGTACAGAGCCCCGTTAATATCCACTATCCCCTCTGTAGACTGTACCTACCCTCCGTACCCTTGATTATCACCCTCCATTTTCTCTTCTCTCCTCCTTCCCAATCCCCCAATTTCTTAGAATCCAACTACCTTGCTGCTGGCATCCCACTGCCCCCCTCCCTGTGCCATGCCATTCCGCCTGCATGCATGTGATTTTTGAGAATGCTCAAAAATCACTCGCCATGCCATTCCGCCTGCATGCATCCACTCCCCCCTGTGCCGCGCCACCACATCCCCCCTGCATGCATGCATCCACCAGGCGTACCGCCCATCGGCGCGCAGGGGCGCTCTGAGCGTGCTGAGAGCCACCGTGGCCACCCTGGGCATCATGAGCGCTGTGTACCAGGTGAGTGGGGGGTGGGGTGCAATGGGAGGATGTACCGTATACCACGGTGGCTCTCAGCACGCTACCGAGTAGCAAGGATGCACCATATGGTGAGGGGGGGAGAGAGGGTGGCGGAGCATTGGGATGGACTACCGTGTACGAGGTGGGTGGGGTGCGGTGTGGTGCGCCATTCCTCGTCTTTGCACCACCGTGTATGTAATCAGTGTTGAGTCAGTGTTGAACTGTGACCTGAGTTGACTCGCTACGCACCTGAGTGTTCTGAGAGCCAGTGTGGCCACTCTGGGCATCATGAGCCCACCCCCCCCCCTCACTCCCCTTTCACCGCCACTCCCTCTCTTTCCCTCTTGGAGTGCCGGAGGAGAGCAGGGCGATCATCAGTGAGTCTCTGCCTGCGTGGGCAACTCAGTTGGTTTTGTGTCAAACCAAAACACACCTCTCCGCTACCGTCGCCTCTCCCCTTCCCCTTTCCTTCTCTGTCAAGCCCCCTCCCCGTCCCCCCAACCCCCCATCTTGGTCCGCAGGAGGAGAGCAAGGCGATCATCAGCGAGTCGCTGCCCGCATGGGTGGCGGAGTCCATTTTCAGTGTACCCAAAGCACACCTTCTCGCTACCCTCCCCTGTAACCCCCCTTCCACTTCTCCTTCACCCTCCTCGTCCTTCCTTGGTCCGCAGGAGGAGAGCAAGGCAATCATCAGCGAGTCGCTACCTGCGTGGGTGGCGCAGTTTGCTGCCATCCTCTCCTCGCCTCTCTCACAACACGACCCCCAAGACTGGGGCATCAGGAAAGAGGTGAGGGACGTGGAAAATGGAAAGGCAGGCAGGCACCAGTGTCATATCAAACTTCCCGGCTTTGATTGGTTCGACGAAGGAGGAACAGGCGCTCACTGCGTGTGCTGTGCTGCCATCGGCATGATTTTTTCCCTTGAGACCAGGAGCACATGTGAATCTTTGATTGCCCTGAGTGTCCGACCTGAGATGCCTGGCGCAATTGTCATGAAATTGCTGTTCGTTCGTTGATCCATTTTGGGGTTTTCGCCAGGGTTCGGGGCTTTGGTAGTTGGGATTTGGAGGTTAACGTTGGGGATTCGGGTTTAGGGTGTAGAGTTTGGATTTTGAAAAGCAAGGATGTTTGCTTTGCTTTGCCAATTTTCATCTTGTGTCTTCTTCTGCGTGCCTTCTCTCCATCCCCTTCATAAGGTGCTCCGCTGCTTGACTCAGCTCATTCAACATTTCCCTGCGCTGTTGGAATCAACAATGCCAGGTATTGATAAACCCAGTATATATCCCTCTCAACCTCTTCCCTCCATTCCCTATCGCCCTATCTCCCTTTTCTCTCGTGAAACCTTCCACATCCCCATCCCCTTCCCCCTCCGTCAACAACCCTCCCCTCCCTCTCCCCCTCTCCATTCTCTGCTCACCCTGTTGCCTGCCTCATTTTTTTTCCAGCCTCGTCTTGTCGCCTCCCCCGCTTTCCACACCCCCGCCTACCATTTTCCTCTGATCTCAGTGTCATCCTTTCAGCACTGTGGCAAGGCTGCATGCAGCCGGGCATCCCCTTCTACAAACTTTGCGACGTCTCAAACAACCCCTCATCCCTCCTCCCCCACCCCCGCCCACCCTTCTCCTCCCCCCTTGGCTCGCAGGCATACTGGCAGCACTATGGCGGAGCTATGTGTCAGGTATCCCCCTCTATGTGTTCCGTGACGACTCTTCAAGTACCAAATCACCCACCATCTCGCCCCCGCTTCCCCTTCTCCTAAATTTTCCTCGCAGGCATCCTAGCAGCACTGTGGCAGAGCTATGTGTCAGGCATCCCTCTGTATGAGCGACTGCTGGTGGCTGGACTGCCGCTCCTGCCCCCCGCTGCTGCTGCAGCCGGGGATGCAGGGGCAGCAGGGGTAGCTGCCAGCAGTGACAATGCACAGGCAGGAGCGGGGGCAGGGGGAGCAGCAGAGGGAGGTGGGGATGGAGGAGAGGGGTATGAGTCAGCAGCAGACGAGCTCTCTGCGCTTGCCATTCAGGTGAGGGTCTCTAGGTCTTGCGATTCAAGCTAGCTGATTGCAAGAGTGTTTCTCTTGCGAACCGAATATCTTCCTGTTCCTGGTACCTGAAAAGTCTTGCCGTAACCTTTTCGCCATTATGGGCTCATTTTCAGACCCTGACGTTTTCCATCGCCTCTTCCACTTGTTTGCCTCGCAGGCCTTTGAGTTCCTCCTGACACTTGCAACCAACTCCAGATTCCAGAAGGTTAGTCCCTGCCTAACCGCGTAACTTCCTCGGTGCCTTCGTGTACCTGCCTTCTGTGTCTTCTTTTGATTGAATTTCCTTAGCTGCCTTCCTTCTCACTGCCTTCCCTTAACTGCTTCCTCTTGCCTGTCCTGCCTTCGTTTCTGCCTCCCCTAACTTCTGGTTCCCATTCGTCAATCTGAGAGCAAACCACAAGCCGTTTCTGTTCGTCTGCATTTCAGTCAAGCAGTTAGGAGCCACTCTTGCACATCACCCCGTTGACCTTATACACACCGTGGTCATGGCATGACCCACAATGAAAGGCACAACAAAGATGATATATGACTCGACTGAAGAATGTTTTTTCGTTACATCTTGACATTGTGGGGTTTTTGCTGCTGCAAGCCTCAACAACGTTGATGACCTTGAAACTTTCAAGGTCATCAACCTTTCCATGAAACTTTCCCATGAAACCTTCCCATGAAACCTTCATCACCTTGTATGCACCGTGGTCATGGCATGGCAGGGGCTGCAAGGTACAACAGAGGCGCTGGTCTACTTCGCCATAGCCTACATGCAGATCACCGCAACTCAGGTTAGTGGTGTGGTGTGGTGTGGTGTGGTGTGACTGTGCGGGAGAACTGTGCTTTTACAAGATGGTACCTTCTTACCTCACTCACACCCAAAGCTTTCCTGATTACATTTCGCCTCCTCCTGCTCTTTTTCTGTCCTGCCTCTCTCTCCGCATCGTCCACATTGCATGCACTTTGGGCCCACCTGTTCTTCTCCCTCACACCTTGCCTCGTGGGTGTTTCTCTTCTGCTTACCTTTTCCCTTGTACCCCGTGCTCTCCCGCTGAAGGAGGAGGAGTGGCAGCGTGACACTAACGAGTTTGTCTCAGAGGAGGACGATGAGGCCATCAGCTGCCGCACCTCCGGTGAGAGCCACATGCATTGCAGTCAGTTCACATTGTAGTCACATCCACTATAAGCACACCCTTCACTGTCATGCTTACCCTTCCTCCTACCGACAGCTGCCTCACTGCTGGAGGAGCTGGTGGTGGAGTTCTAGACTATGGTGCGGCAGTGCATGCCATATCCATGGCCGTGGGAAAGAAAGGAGCATAGATTGTTGTTCTTCTTCTCCCCAACCTTACCACCTCCTTTCTCTCCCCGCACAGCTGCTGCGCTGCTGGAGGAGCTAGTGGCGGAGTTCAAGGATGAGGCAGTGCAGGGCATATCCACGGCGGTGCAGAGGCGGCTGGGAGACACGGTGGTGAACCCCACAGAGCATGCTCCCGCGTGGTGGAAGGTGAGACGCGCCTGCTTGCCTGGTGGATGGTGAGACGCGCCTGCTTGCCTGGTGGATGGTGAGACGCGCCTGCTTGCCTGGTAGAAGGAGATATTTTTTTCAGTTCTGAATCTCCGTGTTTCCGCTGGTTCCTCCGGCCTCTTTTCATTCCCTCGGCCCCACGTCCTTCCGCTGCCTCAGCCCCACGTCCCTCCAATGCCTTGCCCCCACGTCCCTCCACTGCCTTTCCCCCACGTCCGCCCCTGCAGTTGCGTGAGGCAGCCATCTTTGCTGCTGGTTCAGTTGCCGACACGTTTCTTCAGTACGAGGTGATTGCGCGTGATGCTAAGAGATTGTGATGCTAAGAGATTATGATGCATGGGTGTCTCTCCTTCCTGGCATGTATCCTGCGCAACACTTCTTGGATACATCTTTGCATGTGGTTGAATGTGTTTTGAGGTCGACTCAAAACACGACTTCTTGCATACGTCTTTGCATGTGCTTGTATGTGCCGTGCCTGTGTATTTGTGCATGTTTGCCTGTGTATGTCTGCGTGCCGGGGTGCATGCGTGAATGTATGCATGTATGTTCAAGTGCGTGTCTCAATCTGCATGTGTGCCCATCTGCCTGCACTCCCGCTCGCCTGCATCCCTGCATGTCCGCATGTGCTAATACACCAATTGTATGGGGCTTGTTTTGAGACGTCTCAAAACACTCCCTCTCGCCCGCATCCCTGCATGTCCAGCCCACATGTGCTAATACACCAATCGTATGGAGCACATCAGATGGAGGGCAAGCCAGTGTTTGACTCAAAGGCCTTCAATTGCATGTGTGCACATTTGCCTGCACTCCCACTTGCCCGCATCCCTGCATGTCCTCATCTGCACTACACCATCCACATGGGGCACATCAGATGGAGGGCAAACCAGTCTTCGACTCAAAGGCCTTTCTCGATGCTCTGCTCCTGCATGATCTGGGCCCAAGTGAGTGATTCGGTCTGTATGTATTTCACCAATGCATTAGCTGCCTCTGCTGATGCTCATCTTGGCCATGTGAAACTCAGTCTGCAGTCATTTCAGGGGGTTTGTCTGATGTACCTGCGAGATGATATGGGTCCAGCCAGCTGAGTGACTTTGTCCTGTAACCAGCCATGTAACAGTACTGTTTCACCAAACAGGGCAGAGGTTAACAACCTCCCTTTCCTCTTCTTCTCCCCACACCCTTGCTCTCCCTCTTCCCCTTCCCTCTCTGCGCCACTTCCCAACAGATGGAGCAGTCAACTTCCCCTTCCTCTATTGTCGCTGTCTCTGGGCTGCTGCTAGGTTCGCCTCTGACGTGAGTGCATGTGCTTGTAACGAGCGGCCCAAGGCAAATAGGATGTGATATGCCACTCAATCTGGGCGGCTGGGAAGGTTCGCCTTTGAAATGCTTATCCACTATGGAGTATGGACTCTTCACTTTGGGTCTCTTTCAATCCCCTTACAATCCTGCATTCATAGCCCTCACCCCTGTGCATGTTACTCAGCCTAAGGGACTTTTTCTCTCCGCTCCGTGTGCGTGTGGTGGGCCATCAGGCACCGACAGAGAAGAAGGTGCAGCTGCTGCGCGTGGCTGCAGAGGCTCTCAGCCAGGACAGGTGTGGCTACTTGGATGGGGAGATAGTAGGGAGATGGAATGGCATGGTAATGGTGGGGTAGGATGTCACGGCATGAACAGGGATGGGATGGGATGGGATGGCATGGGATGGGATGGGATGGCATGGCATGGCATGGCATGGCATGAAGGGATGAGATGGTATGGGTGGCGTGCCGTTGCGTGGAGTTGGAATGACATGGTGTGCCGTGGATGGACGGCATGCCTGTGACAGCAGCACGAGCATAATGGTAGGACTGGCAGGTGATGCTGCATAGGGATGCTGCATGTTTCCATGATCCGCGTAGGGACGTGCAGAGTGCTGTCTGTCACATGTCTTTTCATCCCATGTCCCCAACCCGTCACTTCTCCCCATCTAAGCTTCCTCCTCCCTCTCCCCCACCAACCCCTCCCCCCTGTGAATGCAGGCTGCTGGTGATTCGCATAGGAGCATGCAGAGCGCTATCACGCCTGGCGCCCAACATGTCTTTCATGCCATCTCCCCTCCCTGTGCTCCTCCATACCGCCACCATGCATGCATGCAGGCCGCTGGTGATCCGCATAGGAGCATGCAGAGCACTATCACGCCTGGCGCCCAACATGTCTTTCATGCCATCTCCCCTCCCTGTGCTCCTCCATACCGCCACCATGCATGCATGCAGGCCGCTGGTGATCCGCATAGGAGCATGCAGAGCACTATCACGCCTGGCGCCCAACATGTCTTTCATGCCATCTCCCCTCCCTGTGCTCCTCCATACCGCCACCATGCATGCATGCAGGCCGCTGGTGATCCGCATAGGCGCATGCCGAGCGCTGTCGCGCCTGGCGCCCAACACGTCTTTTCATCCCATGTCCCCTTCGTCCCTTCTCTCTGTCGTTCACGCCCATGCACCCCCTCACACACAGGCCGCTGGTGATCCGCATAGGGGCGTGCCGAGCGCTGTCGCGCCTGGCGCCCAACATGCAAGCGGAGGACCTCAGGCCCGTGCTGCCCGCCATCTACACCGGCATCAGCCACATGCTGCCCGAGGTGAGCCACATGCTGCCCGAGGTGAGCCACATGCTGCCCGAGGTGCGCCCCATGCTGCCCGAGGTGCGCCCCATGCTGCCCGAGGTGCGCCACACACATACACATGCTGCCAAGGTGAGGAACAGGTGCTGAGCTGTCCCATGTGAGAAACTGGTGATCCCCAGCAGTGGATCATACGTTTTAGTCCCTGCTGTGAGACATGCATGCTGGCCTTGTCTTCTCTGAACATAGCTCTCATCAGACCTGACATTCCTCTGTTCATTACCCTTAAGAAATACCCACTCGCACACAACACCAGCTCCCAGAGACCACTCCCCACTTTCCGCCCCTGGCTGCAGTCCACTCCCTCCGCCTTTCCCATCCTGTTGTCTCCACCCCACCCACTTGCTGCCTCCAACCTTCCCCTCGGCCCCCTCACCCCCGCCCGCACACCAGGTATCGGATGACACGCTTCATCTCGCCCTTGAGCTGCTCACTGCTGTCGTCCGTTCAGGTGACCCTTGCACTGCCATGCCATGTATTGCCATGCGCCATGCCCATGTCCAGCATGCCTGTCTGCCATGCCGTGTTGTACCAAGGCCACCATGCCAACCCATGCCATGCGTGTCTCCCTTCACAAACCATCCGCCACCTCCCTCTTTCATCCCGGCCAATCAGACGCGGAGGTGACAGCACAGATGGAGCCGGTGGTAACATCGGCGCTGCTGGGCATATGGGCGGAGCACGTGAACGACCCGGTGATCAGCTCTGATACCAGTGACGCCCTCGAGGCCATGGCCGACCTCCCTGCCTGCATCGACTCCATTTTGCGCAAAGCCATCCCCCCTCTCTCCACCATTTTCTCCAAGGTAACGTCATCTCCCCCATCATGGAATCAGAAAAGCTCTTCTATCTACTGCAAGTTTACGTCGTCTGCCGCCTTTCGCATCTCTGTCGAAACCCATTTGTGATTCAGAAACGCTACACAAGCAGATATTCCAAATATCTCAGCACTGGAGCAGCCAGCTCTGTGCAACGAGCAGCATACAGAGCACTGCTGCTGCTGCGGAAAAAAACCAGAACTTTATGCTATGCTATTTGAAGTATTCGGCAAGAATAACGATGTTATGACATTTGATTCTCATGGGAGCTGTCTGTGCTTCTGTGTCTGTGCTTTTGTGTCTGCTCTTGTGTCTGCTCTTGTGTCTGTGCTCTTGTGTCTGTGTGTGTGTGTGAGTGTGGGGGACTTGGGTTATTTGCTTGCATGGTCGGCTTGTATGTGCATTTGATGGGTATGTGTGAACACACACGGTGTGTGCATACGAGTGTGTGCATGTGCATGTGGGTGTGTGCATATGTGTGTCGGTGTGAATGGTGAGAGGTGGGGAGGGGTGGGGAGCAGCCAGAGGAGCAACCCAACGGTTTGGTGGCAGGAGGCATGGAGCTGCTGACAATGCTTCTCAAGGTAAGACTGCTGGTGCCACAAAGACAGGCAGTTCAAGAATCGGTGTGAGCTTGCAAGGAACGCTTGGAACACAACCAGTGGTCAATGTTTTTCCAGCCTTGATCACACGGAGCTGCAGAACGGAGCGGAGGCGCTGGCCGTGTCCCATCTTCGAGTACTAACCCAACCTCCGCCCTCTCCCCCACCCAACCTGCTGCCTGCAGCGCAACCCCCAACCGCATGTCCGCCCAGTGTTTGATGCCCTGTTCGCCCCACCAGCAGCCGTGGTGCTGCAGTTAGACAATCACACGGAGCTGCAGAACGGAACGGAACACTGGCCATGTTTGACCTTTAAGTTGACTAACCCTCTTCCCCCCCGGGCCCGCCCCCCTCCCAACCTGCTTCCTGCAGCGCACCCCCCCACCGCTGGTGCGGCCAGTGTTCGATGCGCTGTTTGCACCGCTAGCAGCAGTGGTGCTGCAGTCAGACGATCACACGGAGCTGCAGAACGGGGCGGAGGCGCTGGCCATGTTTGTGCGCAAGGGAGGGGAGGAGCTGGTGGCTGGCAGTGCTGACCCCGATGCCACCATGAAGACCCTGCTCGATGCTGCCGCCAAGTGAGTGCTGGGGTTGGTCGTGCGGTATTAATCTGTGGGGGGAGGGGGGTTGGTACAGTCTAGGGAGGGGAGGAGCTGGTGGCGGGCAGTGCTGACCCTGATGGCACTTAGAAGACCCTGCTCGATGCTGCCGCCAAGTGAGTGGCGGGGATGGCGGCATGGCATGCAAGGATTGCTGCTCATGCACTCACCCTCATGCAGCTCATCCGTAGCCTGCTCATGCCATTTCATCCCTTTCCCTTTCCCTCTCCCTCCCTTTCCCTCTCCCTCCCTTTCCCTCTCCCTCCCTTTCCCTCTCCCTCCCTTTCCCTCTCCCTCCCTTTCCCTCTCCCTCCCTTTCCCTCTCCCTCCCTTTCCCTCTCCCTCCCTTTCCCTCTCCCTCCCTTTCCCTCTCCCTCCCTTTCCCTCTCCCTCCCTTTCCCTCTCCCTCCCTTTCCCTCTCCCTCCCTTTCCCTCTCCCTCCCTTTCCCTCTCCCTCCCTTTCCCTCTCCCTCCCTTTCCCTCTCCCTCCCTTTCCCTCTCCCTCCCTTTCCCTCTCCCTCCCTTTCCCTCTCCCTCCCTTTCCCTCTCCCTCCTTCTCCCTCGCTCTCCCCGCACCCATCACAAGGCTTCTAAGCCCACAGCTGGAGCCGTCAGCATCCCTCTTTGTGGGGCCACTGTTGGTGCAGCTGATCCGCCGCGTGCCCTCGCGCATGGCACCGCACCTGCAGGCGCTGGTGGCGGCCATCGTGCACCGCATGGCTGCCAAGCGCATGCCCTCGCTCTCCGTCTCGCTTCTACTGGTCTTTGCTCGACTGGTAGGTGGATGTGACTGCAGTGTGTGGTTCGTGGGTGGAGGCACGGTGTGTGGGTGGTGGGTGCAGTAGTAGAGAAGTGTGTGGGGGACTGCCAGGCTGGTGGGTGCGGCAGTGCGATTTTGACTGGTAGGTGCATTGCAGGCGCCGGTGGCGGCCATCGTGCACCGCATGGCCGCCAAGCGCATGCCTTCACTCTCTGTCTCGCTTCTACTGGTCTTTGCTCGACTGGTAGGTGGATGTGACTGTAGTGCATCCCTGGTAGGTGGAAGTGACTGTAGTGCATCCCTGGTAGGTATGGATGCACGGCTGTGCTGTCTTCTTGTCTTGTTCTTGCTACCAGCTTCATTGCTTAATTTCCTATGGCATGCCCTTGTAACTCCTCTTCTTCTCCCGCCCCCATCCCAGGTGCACTGGGCATCACCAGACGTGTGTTAGACCTGCTGCTAGACCTGCTCTCGTCGATGCCCCTGCCCTCGCCCAGCCAGCCGCCAGCCCTCCACTTTTGCGACTCCCAAGTGGATCTTTGAGTCGACTCAAAATTACTCCCATCCCCACCCCACCCCAGGTGCACTGGGCATCACCGGACGTGCGCCCGCTGCTAGATCTGCTCTCATCGATGCCCCTGCCCGGCCACCCATCGGCCCTCCACTTCCTGCTCTCCGAATGGGCCATGTACCACAGTCAGTGCCCCTCTTTCCCCCTGTCAATACCCCTATGTTTTCCAGTTTTTGCCTCCTCTACCCAACCAGTAGTTGCCTCTACTCACCCAGTAACTCCGTCTACCTATCATTGCCTCCTCCACCCATCCAGTTACTGCCCCTTCTTCCAACCATGCCCACTTCTGCATTCCTTCCTTGTCACCCAACCCGTTGCTGCCGTCTTGCTGCCAACAACCGCCTGTGTGAACCACCACCCCCCTGTCGCCCACCACACCATCCTCAGGGGACATACACGGGGTGTATCACAGCAAGGTGGCGTCAGCAGCGCTGGCGCTGCTGCTGGCCTCACGGGACCCGCGCCTCCTGCAAGTGCCCGTGCAGGGCCGGCTGGTGGCGGTGAGCTGTGTTGTAATTTTTTTGTCGACTCAAAACTCGACTTTTCCTGCAAGTGCCCGTGCAGGGCCGGCTGGTGGCGGTGAGCTGTGTTTTATGCCTCATCAACCCCTGTTTGCAACCCGTTGTCTCTTCTCTTCTCCTAACTTGCAGACGTCTAAGGGTGTTGTTGTGGATTGGTCTGATGTTGAGGTGCATTCAACTTGAACCATGTTCCCCTTTCCTCATTTCTTCCTTCCCTCCTCCAGACGTCCAAAGGCGTTGTGACTCGGTCGCGAGCACGAGTGGTGGCGGACAAGTGGACAGAAATGGCGTTTCCAGCCAAGGTGAGAATGTCCTCTCACACAGTCCTTGTCATTAAATGGTATGGAAGGGCCAAGATACTATGTCCTTTAACCCGCACGTCCTCATTTCACCGCATTTTTCTCCTCCTCACCGCCCCTGTCACCACTTCTCACTCCTTGTCATCACTGTCCATTCCCCCATCCCTCACGCCCCTAGGGCCTGTCACTGCTGGCGGGAGTGTTGCTGGAGGCAAAGGAGGAGGGCGAGCAGGCAGATGCATTGAGAGGGGTAAGCTTTGGGGACTGACCGGGAGAGGGGGGAAGAAGGTGAGAATGCCCTTCGGAGGAGCCCCAAACATGAGGCATTTTGTTATACACCACATTGTCTGGTTAGAAGAGGCAAGCGAGCAGAGGTGTTGCGACGGTAAGTGGGTGTGTGACAAGCAGAGGGGCAGCGAGGTGAGAATGTTCTTCACACCATGAAGGCATGCTGCCATTGAATCCAAACCAACGTCTCCCACCTTCCCAACTAAGGCTGTATGTTCCTCCTTGGTGGAACCTCTTTCGATTTTTTCCTGCTTTCCTGCCAGCAGGATGGAGACATAGACGAGGAGGACGAGGAGGGAAGTGAGGAGGAGGGGGGGCACGGCAAGGGAAGGGAGGGGCTGGATGCAGGCCTGCCACCAGTGTTTGCTTCAGCTGAGCTCTTCTCCCACCTGCTGGACCAAGAGGTGTGTTGGGACGGGCACGGTAGGCCTTTGGGGTGGGTGGCGTCGAGGCCGGGTGGGTTGCAGGGTGTTTTTTAGACCTTTGTAAAGCGCCATGATTTTGTTGAGTTCTTCTCGCTCCCCCCACCTGTGTGCCCATGCCGATGCTCACATTCCTCTCCCACTGCTTCTGTCCATGCATGCGCTGAGGCAGTTTGGTGAGGATGCAGGGGATGACGACGGCGATGCTCAAGACGACCCACTCAACCAGGTATGTTCGCTCACCCACTATGCTACTCGTGCCCCTCTCCACTCCGCTTCTCTCTTCCCAATTCACTCACACCCATGCACTCACTCGCTCACTCACTCGCTCTTCTCTCGTTTTTTCAGCCACTCACATGTTTGCTCAACCACTCCCTCTCCTCTCTGTCCCCCCTCCCCAATCTCCTTCCGTTACGCCTGCACCTCCCAGATCAACCTGCCTGTACTAATTGCTGACGTCATCAGACAGCTGGCAACTCAAGATCCAAGTCTCTTCCATACGCTTTCCCAGGTGAATGTTCAAACCAAGCAGTTTCTCAGGAGCATTTGTTCCTCTGCCCAGGCCTTCCCAGGAGGCATTTGCTTTCCACCTCGGTTTCTCGTTCATACGTTGAACGTACCCAGTCGGTAGTAATTTGTCCATGCCTGGTCACTACTCAAACACACCCTTGACTCCCTTCTCCCTCCCTCGTTCACCAACAGGAGCTTACAGCGAAAGAGCGATCAACCATTCAGACCACCCTCAATGCCTCGTGATAGAACACACCTTGGCACAACGACCAACACAAATGAGATTGGTTGACGATTACCAATAGGAAGGGCAATCGAATGGTGGTTTCTTGCAGCAATATGTTTGCAACACGCTTCTGTCATGCTTCTTGCGTGGATTCTAAATGGGCAAAGGCATGCTTATGCGACTGTGAAAATCCATTGATTTGACACTAAACGCATAAAACATTAATTATTATAAATTTGATCACTACGCCGTGCTCTCATAGCTCAGTTGGTTAGAGCACCCGTTTAGTAAGCGGGAGGTCTTGAGTTCAACTCTCAATGAGAGCATTTTCACTCACGATCATGCCGTTCGCTTCACTGGAGTTTTGTAACTTGCCATTCGCCCTTTTCGCGACACTGCCAATGCTTCACGACAGCAGGGCTAGTGGTGCAGCGCAGCAGACTGACCAACAAGACATCCAGGCATTTCCGTTGATCCGAGAAATCCCTTTACTCATTCTGTGCTGTTCCTTCCCACGCACAGCTGCTGCTCCTGCACTTGGCTCCTTTTCCCCTTAGTCTGCGTAATCCTGAATAGCAACCATGGGGACCATGGCTGAAGTCCAAGAGCATCTAAAGGCGCTTAGCCGAGACTATGTGTGCGAACCGTTCCTAGGTAGGTCTTGTTGATTTTTTTCTAGCCTTAGTTCGGTTCCCAAGACATTTCGGAGTAGGCATTTCGGTTTTGAGATTCGGGTCGCATTAGGATCGGGTTCTTATTCTGGTTCATTGGATCACGTTCTTAAACTTCAACATATGATTTTCGAACTGTCTATTCCTGTTCTTCTTCTCGCAACTGCACAGAGTATCGAACCGTGTCTGGTGTCGCTGGTCCCTTGGTCATTTTGGAAAAAGTGAAGGTACGCTTCAGTCTAGTTTTCTTTTCCGTTTCGCGGTGACGTATGCACGAAACTGTTCAGCTTATCGACGGACCTTGGTGCCTCGCTGGATCTCGTTGTCCGCAGGGTCCCAAGTTCCAGGAGATCGTCAACTTGAGGCTCGCGGATGGAGAGATTAGACGAGGTCAAGTTCTTGAGATCGATGGAGACAAAGCCGTTGTTCAGGTGTTGTCTCGGCGCTTCATTTACCAGACCAGCATTTTCCTTCAAATAAATGTTTGACTTTGTTAGACTTGTCATTTCTGCAGGTCTTCGAGGGGACCTCTGGCATTGATAACAAGCATACGACAGTCGAGTTCACTGGCGAGGTGACTTGAACTTATGACTTTTGAAAGGCTGGATAGTGATTTAGGTGTCTGAGGTACTGATCGTGGTCATGTCAACTATCGTCGAAACAGGTGTTGAAAACGCCCGTGTCCATCGACATGCTTGGTCGCATTTTCAACGGATCTGGCAAACCCATTGATGATGGGCCTCCCATTCTTGCCGAAGCATATCTCGACATTGCCGGTGAGTATCATACTTCAATGCGCCTCGATCTGGCCTCATGTCACAGACGAAGTTGATCTGAACCTCTGCGTGTAACATGCAGGCAGTTCCATCAACCCCAGTGAGCGAACATATCCCGAAGAAATGATCCAGACGGGTATTTCGACCATCGACGTCATGAACTCGATCGCTCGCGGACAAAAGATTCCCCTCTTTTCCGCCGCTGGTCTTCCACACAATGAAATTGCCGCACAGATTTGTCGGCAAGCAGGCCTTGTGAAGCCGTTGGAGAAGAAGGATGATCTGCTGAAGGTAACCATTCTGACAAACTTTGTGCACTTCCTTTCATGAAGTCTTGATTGTCAAGTTCTTATACTGTTTCTTACGCCTTGTCCCAGGACGATGAGGAAGATAACTTCGCCATTGTGTTCGCCGCTATGGGAGTTAACATGGAGACTGCTGCGTTCTTCAAGCGAGACTTCGAAGAGAATGGCTCAATGGAGCGTGTGACGCTTTTCCTCAACCTGGTAAAAGTCGTCATTGTTTGTTGTTGCACTTTTTTTTTTCAAGCATGATAAAATCTCACCTCGTTTGTTTCCACTTCGCAGGCCAACGACCCTACCATTGAGCGCATTATTACTCCTCGTATTGCGCTTACAACCGCTGAGTACCTTGCCTACGAGTGTGGGAAGCACGTGCTTGTGATCTTGACGGACATGAGTTCATACGCTGATGCGCTTCGTGAGGTGCGCTTTTTAGCTCCCTACCTCCACGCTCTGCTACGGTATTCGCTACTGCCGTTTGTTGTTCACCTGTTGAAACAATTCCTATTGCGCCTGTTACCTGTGTCCCGTTCACCTCTTCTTCCCTCATGACCAGTTCCATATACTTTTTGCTCCTCTCACTGATACCCGACGTTTGTCCCTTTTTTAAAATATGCAAATATTATTTGCCAGGTTTCTGCTGCGCGTGAGGAAGTGCCTGGGCGTCGTGGTTACCCTGGTTACATGTACACTGATCTTGCGACCATTTATGAGCGTGCTGGGCGTATTGAGGGTCGCAAGGGCTCCATCACCCAGATTCCTATTCTGACCATGCCTAATGACGGTATGTACTGATGAGGGTGTATGTTGATGTGTTCACAGGGTCAAGGAAACGAGTAAAATTCCTGACATGCACATGGCTGTGCTCACATAGTGTTTATCAGACAGTAACCAGGGACTGATCATGGCTGAAAACTTGCATAGGTCCGTGATGGTTAGCTCACTGTGTATGAGGATGTGGGTTATGTTTGTGTTGCAGATATCACTCACCCTATCCCCGATCTTACTGGTTACATTACGGAGGGACAAATCTACATTGACAGACAGCTGCACAACAGACAGGTAAGAGGTTTGACGTGCTCTGATGACATTCCTGTTTGACCTTGTCTTGCCGGTGATGTATTCTTAACATCCTTCACGGCTGTTTTTTCGTGCGCAGATTTATCCTCCGATCAACGTGTTGCCGTCTCTGTCTCGTCTTATGAAGGTATGCATTTGATTTGCTTCATGCATGCATCATCAAGTTCTTGTCCATTGGCTTGTATAAATACGTCCATGTCTCCTTCGTCCTGCTGCATGGTCAACTTGCCTGCCTCCTTCATCCCGTCATCCAGAGTGCTATTGGAGAAGGGATGACCCGCAAGGATCATGGTGATGTCTCCAATCAGGTCTGTATTTTCTGTAGCAACTCCACCGGCAGCTTGCCGTCACCTTTTCTCAAGTTTGGGCTTCTAAAGTCTCATTCTGCTCTAACTATGTGTTCGGTCTATTCAGCTCTATGCCAACTACGCCATTGGTCGTGATGTGCAAGCCATGAAGGCTGTTGTTGGAGAAGAAGCTTTGTCATCTGAAGATCTGGTATGTGTGGTAGTCCTGCCTGGTTCTGCTGTGAAAAAAAGCAATACCCCATCTACCTATCTTGTGCAATGCCCAGGGTATTGTTCACACTCATGAGCCCTGACCTTGTCCACTTCAATTTGTGCATCTGACTTTCAGCTTTACTTGGAGTTCCTGGACAAGTTCGAGCACAGATTCGTCACCCAGGGAGCCTACGATGCTCGTGACATCTACCAGTCTCTGGATCTCGCATGGACCCTTCTGCGCATCTTCCCCCGCGAGATGCTTCGTCGTGTATCACCCAAGATCCTGGATGCCTTCTACAGCCGTGACTCGGACCACTGAGGACCAAAAGGCTACTGTCAGAAGTGGTTTGCCAACCCTAGTTTACTATATTACACTGGAATGTGACTCCATTCAAGCCTTCATTGTGGACATAAGAAAAGATTCTAGGAACTCTGTACGGAAATATTGAAGTTGAGAGACCACCTCCGTAGGATGTAATTTGTTTTGCATTTCGCTTTGCATACTTCAATATATTAAGATATGGTAAACGGTTGGGTCAAGACTTATCTGTGAGGATTGCAGCAGTTTGTTTCGCGGGAATCTCCCCCATTCCCCACCATCTCGGATCCTGATCCATTTCGGTAGCAACCACTGGAACGGACTCACTCGCCTCGCACTTTGAAGCTGGTCTGCCCTAACTAGTGGTTTCTGGCTGAAGGCATACCTCGTTGATCGATCGCGAAAAGTGCGGCTGCATCTTCTACTTAGCTTCTGTCCGCCTATTTGATTGTGAATCCGGTTGCTTGTGTTAGCTCGGCATATTCATCGTTCAAGCAAGATGGCGTTGTTGCCACCAGGGATGAAGAAGGACGAAGATTTTGACGGAGAGTGTGAGTGCCACTTTACATTTAGTCTCCTGCGCAGCGAGGTTGTGTGAGTAGTTTTTCGAAATCCACCACATCCGAATTTGGGAGAGAGAAGCCTTATCGTAATCTCTCTGTCTGAATGCAGTCGAGTACTCGCCGTTTTTCGGGATCGAGAAGGGCTCCGTTCTACAGGAAGCTCGTGTATTCAATGACCCGCAGCTGGATCCCCGGAGATGCGCACAGGTCGGCATGATGTACCTCATTCGGCATGCTATCCCTCACTTATGTTTGCCAGGCGTTTGGCAGTTCGCTCGTTCTAGACCCCTTTTTTCACGATCCATCGGCACGGATCTGAATCTCGTTCTTATGCTGTTGCAGGTTATCACCAAGCTGCTCTATTTGCTCAATCAAGGCGAAACTTTCACAAAGGTGAGGGAGCCTTTTCTGCCGTTGGTGGCCCAGAACAGATCCTGAGAAAGTGAATGTTTAATATAGAGGACTTTTTACCATTATGTATCGCTTAACTTTCACTCGTTGAGTTGCAGACGGAAGCGACGGAGGTCTTCTTTTCCGTCACCAAGCTCTTTCAATCAAACGACATTGGCCTTCGGCGATTTCTCTACCTCATGATCAAAGAGATCTCCCCATCATCCGACGAGGTATTAATCTGGATTCGTGTCACTTCTTACACCAACATAGATTCCATTACACACGGAAATCATTCTACCGTTTCAAGATGTAGCGCAATCATCGTCAGCAAGTAAATCCTCTCCATGCGTGCAGGTCATCATCGTGACAAGCTCCCTGATGAAGGACATGAACAGCAAGACGGACCTGTACAGAGCAAATGCCATCCGTGTGCTCTGTCGCATCACAGACGGAGGCCTGCTGGGCCAGATTGAGCGTTATCTGAAGCAAGCGGTTGTGGATAAGAACCCTGTCGTTGCCAGTGCTGCTCTGGTCAGCGGCTTCCACCTTCTCAAGGTAACTGATTGTTGCTGGCGACGGCTATACTCATGCTGGTGAAGAGAGCGTCAGGACAGGAGTGATTGTTAGCATTGATAAGCGCCAAGGTGCTGAATTTCACAACTTGTGTTGGGTGGTGGTGTTGCACAGACGAATCCGGACATTGTGCGGAGATGGAGCAATGAGATTCAAGAGGCGGTGCATTCCAAGTCGCCGCTCGTGCAGTTCCATGCCCTCGCTCTCCTTCACCAGGTCAGCCTTCCCTTGTACCAGTGTCTACGCTGCTCTTTCTCTCCCTGCTCTCCACCCACCCACTCTGTACTGCCGCCTGCTCTACTTCTTCTCTCAAAATTTTCCCTCCTCCTTGCTGTCTTGTCTGATTCAATTTGGATCTTCTTTTGAACAGATACGGCAGAGCGACCGTCTGGCCATCAGCAAGCTGGTAACCAGCCTCGTGCGAGGTGCTGTGCGCTCGCCGCTTGCACAGTGCCTGCTTGTGCGCTACACCTCCCAGGTAACCTCCACTACTGCCAAATTCGTTCCCTGACTAGCATGCAGGCTGCGTCTTGTTGCCAGCTATTGGAACGACCATGTACGCGAGCTGTTGCAGATGACCCAAATGCATTCGCTACATTGCTTCTGCAAAACACGTGTTGTGTGTATTGGCGTACGTGCATGCCATCCCAGGTGATCGAGGAGATGGGTCCCAACAACAACAACGCGCGCCCCTTCTTCGAGTTCCTGGAGAGCTGTCTGCGGCAGCGGGCGGACATGGTGATGCTTGAGGCAGCGCGCGCCATGACGGAGCTCACCGACATCACCGGCCGCGAGCTCACCCCCGCCATCACAGTGCTCCAGATGTTCCTCTCCTCGCCCAAGCCCGTGCTGCGCTTTGCCGCCATCCGCACGCTCAACAAGGTCGCCATGGCGCACCCGCAGGCAGTTACCAACTGCAACATTGACATGGAGACGCTGATTTCAGACCCGAACCGGAGCATTGCGACGCTCGCGATCACGACGCTGCTCAAGACGGGGAATGAGGCGAGCGTGGACCGGCTGATGAAGCAGATCACCAACTTCATGTCGGATATTGCTGATGAGTTCAAGATCGTGGTCGTGGAGGCCATTCGCTCTCTCTGCCTCAAATACCCCCAGAAATACCGTGTCCTGTGAGTCAAGTTTCGTTTTATCAATTTATCCTCATCTCATCGCTTCAGTTTACCCTTTGCCCAGCAGCTCCGCATTTGTTTCTTCAGACTGTGATTGCGTTTGGGAAAACTGCAGTCGCAGTGAAATTGTATGCATGAGCATGCACTCACCACAGTGCTTTCTCCCTTTGTTTTTTGTTCGCAGCATGAACTTCCTGAGTGGTATCTTGCGTGAGGAGGGTGGGTTCGAGTACAAGAAGGCAATTGTGGACTCTATCCTCATTCTCATCCGGGAGATCCCTGACGCCAAGGAGATTGGCCTCTCACACCTCTGCGAGTTCATTGAGGACTGCGAGTTCACCTACCTCTCCTCGCAGGTAGATTGAGTTCCATGCACTGCTTATCTAAGTTCCTGTCCTTTCGTTTTGCCCTGCCAGCTGCAGTCAACCCAACTAGGTCTCATATCCTGTTTCTTCTTGCTGTTTCCCGCGAGACTTGCAATAGCGTCTTCTTTTGCAAAATGAGGGGCTCCACAACTATCAACTTTCCGGAACCCCTTCCTCCCCCTTATTTCCTGCTGATTCAGAACATCTTATTCCTTATCCGCATCCCTGTAATTCATCTGCTAACTCTCTTCTGAATCCCTCTGCAATTCCTCCTTGGGACCTTGGCTTCTCTATCACCTACACTTGGCAGATTCTGCACCTGCTGGGCAACGAGGGTCCCAAGACGCCAGAGCCGGCGCGGTACATCCGCTTCATCTACAACCGCGTCATCCTCGAGAACGCCACTGTCAGGGCCAGCGCCGTCAGCACCCTTGCCAAGTTCGGCGCGCAAGTGGAAGCCCTTCGGGTGGGTCTTGGTTGTACAGTTAGGGGGAGAGGGGGGGAGAGGGGTTGGGGAGCTGTTGTGAAGGTCGGGGAACGGGTGGAGTGTCTGAGTGTGGGTTGGGATTTTGGACTGGGGGAGGCGTGGGTATAAATGAGCTGGTGGCAGATTTGCCTGAGTGAGATTCCTGTGCACTCTGTCGAAGTTCTCCTTTTACTGTGACTGCAGCAGTCAAATGTCTTTCACCATTAACTCATGGGTCATCTGCTCCTCCACCATTTCTTCCTCTCCAATTGCTGTCGTGCAGCCTCGGATTGTCACTCTCCTGCGCCGCTGTCTGTATGACAACGATGATGAGGTGAAGGAGATGCACAGTGCCAACTAACTCTTGCATTATGCCACATTCACTTCAAACCACGCCACAAGTGTTGTGAACCCTGCATGTGCACCTCTGTCTCCTGGCCTCCTTGCCTCCTCTGGCACCCCATCATAAGCCTCAAGCTCTTCCACACCTATTCCCATCTTCATAAATCTCCTCATTCTGGAGGTACTAACGTCATACCTGCTCCATCCGTTTTTGAACCCCTGTCAGGTGCGGGATCGAGCAACACTGTACCTGAACGTGCTGGGGGGCGACGGGCAGGAGTCGGTGGCAGCCAGTGGCGCCAGCGACTTCATGCTGGAGGCCCTCGATGTGCCGCTTGTCAACCTCGAGACTGCGCTCAAGCACTATGTGAGTCGCTCTGGGATCGCTGGATCATCCTCTACTGTGTTTCTCCAGAATATTTCGTTCAAGTCAAAGTGTGTGTGTGGAGGCTGTGGAAAGGGGGATTTACATGGTTGAATTAGTGCACATGTTTGCATGTAGTCACCGTGTGCTTGCTGACTTTTTGGCAAGCCTCATTGTCCGTTCCTCCCCGCACCAGGAGCCGAGCAAGGCAGCGTTTGACATCGACAGCGTGCCTAAGGAGGTGAAGGGGCTGCCTCCCGCCAAGGCGGGCGCCAAGAAGGCCGCCAAGGAGGCAGCAGCCGCCAAGGCGGCTGGGGGTGGTGCGTCGGCGTCAGAGGCGTATGAGAGGCTCCTCAACTCCATCCCCGAGTTTGCCACCTTTGGCAAGCTGTTCAAGGTGCGATGGCAGGTTGCATCAAGCGGGAGGAGGGGGCGTTGCATGGGCACACGGGCAGGATGTCATGCTGTGTATGCTGCTTCCCAGCTGTCCAGGAATGCCTTTTCATGCCTCAAGCACATTCGACCCTTCGATGTCTCCTCCCCCAACCCCTTCTCCTCCCCTTCGCCCTGCCCCATCGCGCAACCTCTCTCCCCTCCCCCCCTCCTCTTCCCTCTTCCCGTTTGGCACCACAGTCATCAGCGCCAGTGGAGCTGACGGAGGCGGAGACGGAGTACAGTGTGAACGTGGTGAAGCACGTGTTCCCCGCACACATGGTCTTCCAGTTCAACTGCACCAACACCATCGCCGAACAGATGCTGCAGGATGTGAGTGCCGCGCCGCGCCGTGCTACTCTTGCCTTTCCCCCTCATTCCCCACGTATGGAACCACCTCTGGTTCGCCCAAAGAATTTTGTTTCTGCCATGCTCTGCTAATCATCTCCTGCAGCTGCGACCAACAAAGTGTCGACAAGAGGACCTCCTGACCTCATCTCATTCCCTGCAGGCTACACCTCCTCGTCTGCCTTCATTAATCGAGTTTCCACTTTCTTGTGTCCATCCTTCTGTGTCGCATCCTCGCAGGTCACCGTGCTCATGGACCTGGCAGAGGCAGAGGAGTTCGAGGAGGTGGCGACCATTCCGCTCAAGAGCATGGCATATGGCGTGACTGGGCAGACGTTTGTGGCACTGTCGAAGCCAGAGGGCGCGCTGACGCTGGGCAAGATCACGAACATCATGAAGTTCAAGGTGGTCGAGGTGGACCCCAACACGGGCGATGCCGAGGAGGAGGGTTACGAGGACGAGTACCAGCTGGAAGACCTCGAGGTGAGTTGGCAATGTGGTTGGATGGGCTGTATCGCTTTGATTGTCTGCAGTCTCAGGCCATACCAGTCTCAGGTCACACCACTGACTGGAGTCTCAGGTCACACCACTCTATGATTACATAGAGTCACAGTGGACTTCCAGCCGCAATATCTCTCCTCGTGCAACTCCACCTCCCTCTCCCCATTCCAACTCTCCCTCTCTGCTTCTACAGGTGTCATCAGCCGACTATGTGCGGAAGCTGAGTGTGCCCAACTTCAGAGCAGCATGGGAGGCCATCGACCCATCTCTGGAGCGTGTGGATGAGTACGGGTTGGGCGTGCGAGACAGCCTGCAGGAGGCAGTAGAGGCAGTCATCACCATTCTGGGCATGCAGCCGTGCGAAAGTAGCGAGAACGTGCCCTCCAACGCGCGCTCGCACCAGTGCCTGCTCGCCGGGACGTTCCCGGGGGATGTGTCGGCGCTGGTGCGGCTGTCATTTGGCATGGATGCGCAGAAGCAGGTGGCCATGAAGCTGGCTGCGCGGTCAGAGGATGTCACGATCAGCGACCTGGTGCATGAGATCATTGCCAACGCGTAGACTCACGGTGGACTCGGTTTGGAATACATATGCTGTTATGGTAATGGAATCTATACATCACTTATACAATGCTTGTTTGTCCAGGAGCTTCAATCCAAGTATACAGAAGATGGAGGCTTCAATCCTCTGTTCGACTCGTCCGTCCTCTAGACAACAGATGAATGCCGCATGTATTGAAGATACTAGTGTATGGGACAGGTTGCACACCATTGAAATCAGGAAATTGAAGAAAAATAGACTGCTGGGCAGAAATCCAGTAACAGGAGAGCCAGCTCCCAATCATCATTACCCCATCACAAGCCATGATTTCGAACCATCACTCCTGGTGACAGCTTGTGACGCACAAGTGCCGCATAAGCGCCACATCACTCGGCCATCTCATCCCCTTTCCCATCCGCCTGCCCAGCCTGCTCCTTCCCCACCGCGCCTTCTTCCCGTGCCAGCACAGCCATGGCAGTGGCGTCCTTCCTCCCCGCACGTGGCTTGGGGCCCCAGTATGCCTCTGGGTTGGGCACGAATCGTGCCACTCCCTTCTGCTGCGCCTTGCTCAACGCCTTGGGGGCCTTGGCAAAGTTGACCTGGGGAGGTGGAGAGGAGAGAAGCGAGAGAAGAGTGGGAAAAGGCATGTAGTTTGGGCCGAGGAGGGTGTGGGAAGATGTGAAACGAACAGTAACACATTCCCCCCCCCTCATCTGCAACTTGCGCAAGCAAGATCCGCTCATATCAAGTAAGAAGGGAATATTCAGCCCCTAAGTGACTCACAGCGTGCATAGACTCGTCGTACCTCAGTCGTGGGTGGCTTGGCCAGAATCGTGTCAGCTGGGCTGCCCTCCCCTTGGGACTTCACCGGATGGTCTCGGATCTGGTTACCACATCAGCACGGGGTGAGTGGCGTGTTACACCGTAAGCGTCGTATGAATGACATCATGGCCGTGACTCATGGAGAGGGTGATGCATAACTTGCACATTCGTGCTCACATCATTGCATCATGCATGATCACATGATCCCATGCTGTCTGAATACACAATCCAGCCCCTCTCCCCCCATCTCCCACGCATGACTCACCCAGCAGAGCATGACGTCCCAGATGAGCCCCAGGGGGGCATCCGTCTTGATGCCGAGTGAGTTGGAGGGCGTGCGCCCCGAACACGCGGTGCCCTCAATTCACCAGCGCGGAGCAGAACAGCCTCTCTCACCCCACCATTCCCCACGCATCACTCACCCAACAGCGCATGACATCCCAGATGAGCCCCAACGGGGCGTCGGTCTTGATGCCGAGTGGGTTGGAGTGCGCCCCCGACACGCGGTGCCCTGCATTGACCAGCGCGGAGCGGAACAGCAGCACTTGAGCGTGGCGCTCATCTCATGCAGATCTAGGTACAGCGGGATGTCGTGCAGCTCCTGGGGTGGCGGGAGGGGAAGGGAAAGGGGAGAGAGGGATAGGAGGGGAAGGACAAATGGGGAGAAGGGCGTGCACTTGAGTGTGGCGCTCATCTCATGCAGATCTAGGTACAGCGGGATGTCGTGCAGCTCCTGGGGTGGCGGGAGGGGAAGGGAAAGGGGAGAGAGGGATAGGAGGGGAAGGACAAATGGGGAGAAGGGCGTGCACTTGAGCGTGGCGCTGATCTCATGCAGATCTAGGTACAGCGGGATGTCGTGCAGCTCCTGGGGTGGCGGGAGGGGAAGGGAAAGGGGAGAGAGGGATAGGAGGGGAAGGACAAATGGGGAGAAGGGCGTGCACTTGAGCGTGGCGCTGATCTCATGCAGGTCGAGGTACAGTGGGATGTCGTGCAGCTCCTGGGGTGGCGGGAGAGGTGGATGGAAACTACATTTGAGTGTGGTGCAGGGGCGGAGGTAAAGGGAGGCGCGCACTTAAGCGTGGCGAGGGATGTCATGCAGCTCCTGTGATCATGGCAGGTTCTGGGACAGGAAGAAACAGGAAAGATTCTGAAAAATGATTCTCTAAATAGTACCAACTTTTCCTTCTGTTCGGCTCCTCTCTTCGGTCTGCCATGTCGTATCACCCGGTCCCCCTCTCTCTCCCATACTCCTATCTCAAACGCAGCAGTCAGCATCCCATGAGCACCTAGTGTCACAACAGACCATCATCGGCCTCTGCCCCTTCCCCCTACCCCCTTCCCCCTTCCCCCTTCCCCTTCCTCTCCCCCTTCACCCTCCCCCCTGCCACGCGCCCCCCTCCCTTACCTCAGACACGGCAGTCAGCAGCCCATGCACCTTGCCGAACCCAGCCAGTCTGCCCTTCCCCGCTTGCACCTCCCCCAGAACCAGCCGAACCCAGCTGGCGTCATGGATGGGCGCCGACCACATGGGCCCTCCAATGCTTAGATGCCGCCCGCAGTGCTCACACGCAGGGGGAATCACTGGGCCCAAACCGGGGAGGTACCTGGGGGGAGGGGGAGGGGCGTCTGGTTTCTGGAGGGCCGGGGGGTACGGAGGTAAAAAAAGGGAGGAAAGAGGAGGGTTGAGTCGGATGAGAAAGAAGAAAGAATTGTCTAGAATGTCTACAACACAGTTTGCATGTGGGGACGTTGTCTGGTCCACATGGATCCTCTGATTCCCAGATGCAATTGGAAGGGGAAAAAGGAAGGTGCCTGGATTCCTGGGACAAGGCAGGCAGGGATAGACGACGAGAGAAAGTGGACGTGATGGGGGTAGGAAGACGAGGAGAGTGGGGCTGGAAGGCTGGTGGCTGCTTCTGCTGCTGCTGCTGCTGCTGCTGCTGCTGCTGCTGCTGGCAGCGACAGTGCAAGGTGCGTGGATGTCATGACGCTGTTCTGTATGTGGCAGCATCTCTGTTCTGTTCTTCATTTCTTGCCCTTTCTCTCTGATTAGCCTAACCTTGGCACACCTCTCAACGACCCGCCCCACAGGCTGTAGGTGGTAGGAGCCGCAGTCGGAGCACTAGAAGACGTATGCCAGCTTGGTTCCATCATCAGAGGATCCTTACAATTCTCAGCCGCATGCCAGCTTGTTTTGAATCAACTCAAGTCTCACCTTTGCTCGCCCCTCAACAACCCGCCCCACGGGCTGCAGGTGGTAGGAGTCACATCCAGAGCATTGGAAGACGTGTGCCAGCTTGCTGGGGGTCACCTTCACTGCCTGCGCCGACCTGATGGCCGGCCAGCAGAAGAGCGGAGGCAGCAGAGGAGGCACAGTGGGAAGGGGAGACAAGACAGTTATGAGGCTCTGAACGGCAGGTCAGTTTAGTGCATAGAAAACAAATTCGATTTGCGTGTTGAATGATCACAGAAAGATGGTCCGAGACGCAGTGAGTCATTTCAGATCATATCATCCAGTGCAGCAGTGTTGCAGTTAACCTACACTCTCTCTCTACCCAATCCGAACGACTCACGTGAAGACGCGCACAAACACGCGGATGTAGAAATCAACGGACACGGACAGCACCGGCACTATGTGCCGCTTGAACCGGTTCGCTGCACTCTGATGGGCACCACCACCACAGGGCACGGGGGGGGGAATTGGTGTGGCATGTGGCGTCACACGTAGAGGGCGAAGGGATTGTTGAGGACGGGAGGAGAGATTGTGGTGACAATGTAATGTGAAGCTACGAGGAGCAACTGTATGGAAATGGGTGATGATTAGTGTTCCTATGAACACTGCCCCTATGATGGGAGCTCCTGTGAACTCTGCGGCGGCTAAGAGAAGTGATTCAAGCGAGGCTTACTTCGATGGAGGCAAGCAGTATGCGGATGGCCATCTCGTGGCAGTACTTGGCACGGTGTGGATAGGCCCCGTACCTGATACAGCCATACAGAGGACACACAAAAGGCGCACAATATTAATTCTGCGACGACTCGAAAGCCATCTGAAACAGTCAAACGATGCACAAACAGGGCAGACACACAACGGGTATGGATGGTAACAGAAGTGTCTGGGCAACCTGGACCTGCCTGTAAATTAACCTTTTTTTTTTTCTGAAAAACAGCATCTCACTTGGAGCAGCAGACCTCAGCGTTGTTCCGGCACATCACGGCCATGTTCGTGCTCTCACCAACGGCTTAGGCCCTTATCCGTATATGCACCTAAAAAAATCCTGAACCCAAATCCTCAACAGATATAAGAGTTGTGCCCGACACATGGGCTCACTTGGAGTAGCAGACCTCGGCGTTGTTGCCACACAGCACGGCCATATCAGTAGCTGTCACCAGCAGCATGCCCCCATCCGCCACTGCCTGCACCGCCCCGTCCAGGAAGACTGACGGCGTCCCATACGGGTCCAGATCCACCTGCAGTCACACGGGAGAGAAGGATTTGCAAATTGACTCGGATATCCGCCACTGCCTGCACCGCCCCATCTAAACAAATTTGACGGCGTCCCGTACGGGTCCAGATCCACCTGCAGTCACACGGGAGAGAAGGATTTGCAAATTGACTCGGATATCCGCCACTGCCTGCACCGCCCCATCTAAACAAATTTGACGGCGTCCCGTACGGGTCCAGATCCACCTGCAGTCACACGGGAGAGAAGGATTTGCAAATTGACTCGGATATCCGCCACTGCCTGCACCGCCCCATCTAAACAAATTTGACGGCGTCCCGTACGGGTCCAGATCCACCTGCAGTCACACGGGAGAGAAGGATTTGCAAATTGACTCGGATATCCGCCACTGCCTGCACCGCCCCATCTAAACAAATTTGACGGCGTCCCGTACGGGTCCAGATCCACCTGCAGTCACACGGGAGAGAAGGATTTGCAAATTGACTCGGATATCCGCCACTGCCTGCACCGCCCCATCTAAACAAATTTGACGGCGTCCCGTACGGGTCCAGATCCACCTGGGGAGATGAAGGTAGCAGGGTAGATGTTTGGATAGAGTTTAGGGCTGACTCGGCTCAGACTTCGACTCAGTCAACGCCTCTGCCTCCGCCTGCAGTACCCGATTAGGAAGACCGACAGTGAGCCGTGCAGGTCCGGCGTCAACTAAAAGCGAGTCAAGATTCGAATCGACTGAAAACACTGGCAATGCTTGCGTGGCCCCATTCATGAGGAGTGAAGGCAAGCAAGGGCGGAGGTGTTCCCACACTCAGAAGGGTGAATTGGAAAGGCAGCTTTACGCACGAGGTATTGGGGATGGGAATACATGAGAGCTGGACATAAGATGTTGCTGGGTCAGTCAATGTACCAATAATGTGTCCGTAACGTAAGCCTGGCACTGCTGCATTGCAGTCCCACACTCACTCACCGCATCAAACTGCTTCTCGTGCAGTATCATGTACACACGCGCATCGCCTTGCTCTGCTCTCACTGGTACCGCCCTCTCCCCCTCCCCCTTCCCTCCCTCACTCGCCGGCTTATCCCCTCCCTTACCCTCCTCCTTTCCCTCCCCTCCCTCCCCTTCAGCCACAGCAGCACCACCAGCAGTGGCGGGTGGTGGTGGAGCAGCATCAGTGGCGGTGGCGGGTGGTGGTGCACCACCGAAGTTGTGTGCCACGTTGCGTTGGCAGGCCTGCACGGCCACGGGGTCGTTGTCCAGTGCCACCACCGCGCCCACCCCCGGGATCTCCTTGGCATACCGGATCGACCTGAGGCCTGATGCTGCCAGGCCCTGCAAGGGGTAAGGTCAAGAGGAGAAGAAGAGGAGAAGGTGCGGTGTGGAGTAGCACGGAGGATGAGCGCTACATTGCGTTGGCAGGCCTGCACGGCCACGGGGTCGTTGTCCAGTGCCACCACCGCGCCCACCCCCGGGATCTCCTTCGCATACCGGATCGACCGCAGGCCTGATGCTGCTAATCCCCGGGAGGGGGGAGTGAGTGTGGGCAAAGAGACGAGTTGAAGTGTGGGCGAAGGTTCGAAGTGGGGAGGGCGGGTAACGAATGAGAGGGGCGGCTACCGGGTCCATGAAATGGTGGTGGATGGATGGATTAACCGAGTAACACCTACCTCTAAGATTCTCTGATTTTTTAGAATTCTCAAAAACCAGCATGGATTAGCGGCTAGCCGGGTAACACCTACCTCTAAGATTCTCAAAGGCTTCACTTCGGCCACCTTCGCCTGCTGCTGCTGCTGCTGCTGCCCCTCCCCCGCTTCAGCCGCTGCGTCTGTTGCAGTCGCGCCGTCCCCCTTCTCTCCGCTCGTCTCCTTCCCCTCCCCTCCTTCCCCTCCCGCGGCCCCTTCTGCTGCTCTTCCCTCTCTCTCCTTCACCTCTTTGTCTTCACCCTTCCCATCCCCCGCTTCCCCTTTCTCCCCGCCTTCCCCGCTTTCCGCGGCTCCACCTTTCTCCCCGCCTCTAAGCTTCGCCGCAGCAGCCGCCGCAGATTTCGCCGCAAGGTCCGCGTTGGGGTGTTTCAGGAGCGCGCGTCCCTTCACTCCCGCCGCCGCCGCCGCGGCCCGCTGATTCTCCTCCTCCCGCCGAACCGCGACGAACGCGCGGAGCACGCAAACGGACAGGTCGCGATTAACTACCTGCGCCTTGTTATAGAACACGTCGTTACCCTGTACTAAAATCTCCGCTGCACCCTCTTTCAAAACCTTAAACCCTGAGGGCCCCCCCATGACCTCGCCTCCCCCTCCCGCTGCCCCCCCTGCGCCTGCGGACCCTTCTTCTCCCGCTACCGCCGCCTTTGACTTCTTGTTCTCAGCCTCCCCTTCCCCGTTCGCTTTGCGCTTATCCCCCATTCGTGGGGCCGCTTGCGCGGAAGTCAGCCCGCGCGCAGATATCACTTGGCGCCCGAGTTCCGATACACGCGGTGCTCCCAGTGCGCGCGGGGATCCCAATGCACCTCCCGGAAACAACGCCCACACAACTTTCGGCGCGCTTTGGAGCAAAGAATAGTGCGGGGCGCAGGGTGACTGAGCCCGATGTGACTGTATCGAGCGGGTGAGCGTGGCAATCAGGAGGCGCCCGCTTGAGGGAAGCCCGCGCATGCACGCGCGCTCTTGCTGCTGCGGAGGCTGCTGCGCGCCGAGCTCAGTTAGTTGATCTTGGCTTGGATGCTCAAGCCAAAAAACAAGCCTTGTGTTCAAGACGCTTGCATCAAATCATTTCTGGGTTCTAGCAATGACGCGCTAAACGACATGCTTCGTTAGCAGTACAGCGCACGCTTAAACAGGGAGTTTCTTACACACATTTTCACAGCAAGTATTGCGTTTTACAGCAAAGCCTCACATTCCTCATAGAACCGAATCGCTTCGTCATACTTGTCCCGCCTGACATTACATCGAGGCTCCGCCACGGCCAGAAAATTCGAAACAGGCCCTAACACACTTCCCCCCACTCCTACATCCACACTAGCCGCAGCTTGCTGGGGGGCATGGGTGTGGGTGGGTAAGGCCACTGGATGGGAGTGCTGAGCCGCTGTGAGGCCACTGAGGGCGTAGCATGTGTGGTAGTAGTCGCGTGCCTTGCCTGGCTTGTCCCTCAGTCCCCCCTCTGGCATCTGCACGCACGGCAAGTGAAGAGAGGGGAGTGCCGAGGTGCAAAGAGGATCATGATGATGGTGGAGGCTGGCATGGCATACAGACGGCAGACAAGGGAAGGGCTTCGGAAATGGAAAGGCAAGAGGCAGTCTCCATGACTGGATTTGGGGGCAGGAAGGGAAGTGGGAGGGAAAGGTGGTGAAGCGTCAAGAGAAGATTGAGGTGGTGTGGTGAGGTACGGTACCAACCTTGCAGCAGGTATGGCACTAACCTGGCAGCAGAGCAGCAGGTATGCCTGTAACGCCACGTTGTTGTAACAGAAGCTGCCAACCCAATCACTCCCACCACGTGCAGTTGCCCTGTCCCCCGACTCCCCTCGCACTGCACCTGCCGCCCCTTCCCTCCCCTCCTCTCCCTCCCCTCCCCTCTCCTCTCCTCCCCCCCTCTCTCCTCCCGTCCTCTCGCCTCCCTCCCCAGCTCCAGCAGGCGGTAAGAGAGACTCGGGGCAAGGGAAGAGGTCAGCAGCAGCCGCCAAGGGAACACGGTGAAACGACTCCACATCTGCTTCCTCCCACTCATCCTCCTCATCTTCCTCCTCCTCATCCTCCTCATCCTCCGCCCCCTCTCCACCTCTCCCATCACCTCCACCGCCTTCGCTTCCACTGGAGCGCTCTTCAGCGCCGCTCTCTTCTTGCCTCTTTTCTTGCCCGGAACAACCAGCGACACCACTGGGCTCACCAACAGCCCCCCTCACCTCCCCATTGTTGTCCGCCTGCATGGCTTGCTGGTCTCCCCCTGCACCCTCTGTACGCGGCACTGAGCTCACGTTGCTCGGCTGTTGCGCTGAGCTGGCATCGCCAGTGGGGCGGGTGTGGGAGGAGGAGCAGAGGGCGAGGAGAGGGAAGAGGCCACCCTGCCAGAGGCTGTAGCAGGCGTCCACCAGCTTGTTGCTTCGCCCCTGAAAGCCCCCCTCCACACTGCCCTGCCTAAACACCAGCCAGTCCTGGAATGGAAAGATGGCAGGACGGGTGATGGGGACAGGAGAGGATGGGCAGGAGGTGGTTGGGTGAAAGAGGGGATGAGATGCTGTCAAAGAAGCAGCATTCTGGTGCAGCAACTAGTTTCTGAAAAGAAACTAGAAAATCGTCGACATCAACTACAGGTACGAATCTACGATGCAGAAGCAGGAAGGGGTGAAAAGGGCATTGCTTTTAAGTATGCTTGTCTCACTTGTGTTATTTTATTAATCTCAAAAAGGATATTTACTGGAGGAGGAAACGGGGAAGGGGGGGGGGGGGGGGGGCAATGATACAGACCAGGAGCAGGGGCAGGTTGAGATGCTCCCAAGGGTCAGCACCAGCCAATAGCATCGCAGCGAGCGCACAGAATGTGTAACTGCGTGGCGAGCAGTGAGAGGCAGTGTGATAAGGAAAAGACGCGGCGAGTGAAGAGGCATGACGAGGAAATGGAGAAGGAGCATGATGATCGCATAGAAGGGGATGGGGCTCGCGCGGACGGAATGCCTGTATCATCCCAAAACGCCAGGGCTCCCAAGAGCATGATGATGTGATGCCATGAAGCCAATCCCCTTCCTTCCCTTCATGCTCCTCGCCTCACACCCCATGCTGTCTGTCTCCTATGCACTTTCATCCCAACCCACTCTTCAACTCACACCCTCCCCTCCGCCCCTCACATTCCATTTCCCCCACTGGAAGACCATTACAACTCCGCCCACTCACCCCCCATGCGCCTCTGCGCCAGGCTCTCCCCCAATGCCCCCTTCATAAGTCTGACACCTGTGAAGGCGGACAGGAGAGGACATGGGAAGGCAATGCGCACTTTGCAAGTGAGCTGCACATTGCATTGCACAACCTAAATTCTACCCAGATTGCACCATGATATATTTTTTCCATGCACAGAACCCAGACCTTTGCAGGCATAATCTCTCATCACCTCTCATCACCCCTCTCAACCGCCCACCTGTATACGTATGCTGCCACGTTCTCTGTAAGGTCAGGTGGGCGGATGCAGAGAAGGTCAGCCACCTGGGAGGGAGGAGGAGGGGGGGGGAGGGGGGGAGCGTTGAGACATCTCGACAAGGAGAGCGCAAACAACTGACAAATGATGAAGGAGGCGCAGGCGAGGCACTCAAGTAGCCTGCCTCAAAACTTTTGAGGCGCCTCTAAACCCAGAGCAGCAGTATATGACTCACCGCCATAGCAGTATAACACCCCCTCACGTCCGTTTCCCCCCCTTGATGGAGCCTGCACAACCGATGGGCGGCAGAGATGGAATAAGCAAGAGGGGTTCAAGCAGGGCCTGCCCCCTGGGAGGCCGAGGGAAGCAGCGCAATGGTCAAGAAAAGAGACGTCCAAGTTTGATGCTTGCAATGGAAACATGATCTCGGTGCTCTTATGGTGGCCTCTCAAGACAAGACACGTCCATCCCATGGCATGGCATGGCATGGCATGGCATGGCATGGCATGGCATGGCATGGCATGGCAGCCGTTCTGACATGGTTCGAGAGAGAACCAGCTCACCTGAAACCTCCTGATTGGCACTTCATGCGGCGCAGAAAGGCAAGCATCGATTTCCTAGTCCTCAGACGGAGGAGAGTAAGTGCGAGGGAGGGACATGCGGGAAGAGGAGGGACATGTGGGAAGACGAGGGAGTTACAGTTAAGGGCTAGAGGAGGGAAGAGGAAAGATAGAGAACAATGAAATGAGCAGAGGAAGAGGAGAAGGGGAAGAGACGGCGGGGGGAAGAGGACGAGGAGGGAGGGGGGGAAGGGTGAAAGAACGAACTGAGCAGAGGCGTAAGAGAAGGGCTATGGAAGCACGCTACGAGGGGTATGGAAGCAGGGTGGAGAGGAGGAGTGTGGGAGAGGAGGAGTGTGGGAACAGGGTGGAGAGGCGGAGTGAGGGCGCAGGCAGGCACACCTGTTGACCACGGAGAGAGCCTCCTCCCCTCCCACCGTCACCAGCGCTGCCACAGCTGCATACGTGGTGGCTAAGTGGGCCAGCTGCTTGGCATGCAGTGCAGGAGACGCACAGCACAGCACACAAGGTGGGTTGGGGGCGGGGTTCGGGGAACCGAAGGGGGGGGAGAGAGAGGGGGAATGAGGGGAGAGGAATGCTGAGGAGCAGACAGAAGGGTGTGGTGCCATTGTGAGGAGGAGGAGGAGGAGGAGGAGGAGGAGGAGGAGGAGGAGGAGGAGGAGGAGGAGGAGGAGGAGGAGGAGGAGGACGACGACGACGACGACGACGAAGGGATGGGGCAAGGAAGGTGAAGAACGCAGGGAAGAGAACGGGGAGACTCTGACCTAGACTGCTGATAGGAGTCTTGTGCGTCAATACGAATGATGTACGTGAGAGGGTGCGGGTGCACGTGAGAGGGTGGGAGTGCATGTGAGGGGGTGGATGGGAGTGCATGTGAGGGGGTGGATGGGAGTGCATGTGAGGGGGTGGATGGGAGTGCATGTGAGGGGGTGGATGGGAGTGCATGTGAGGGGGTGGATGGGAGTGCATGTGAGGGGGTGGATGGGAGTGCATGTGAGGGGGTGGATGGGAGTGCATGTGAGGGGGTGGATGGGAGTGCATGTGAGGGGGTGGATGGGAGTGCATGTGAGGGGGTGGATGGGAGTGCATGTGAGGGGGTGGATGGGAGTGCATGTGAGGGGGTGGATGGGAGTGCATGTGAGGGGGTGGATGGGAGTGCATGTGAGGGGGTGGATGGGAGTGCATGTGAGGGGGTGGATGGGAGTGCATGTGAGGGGGTGGATGGGAGTGCATGTGAGGGGGTGGATGGGAGTGCATGTGACTGTTCTCACCTGCCCAGGCCCACCTCCAAAGCCGCCCTCTGGATTCTGTGGGGGAGGGGAGGAGAGAAGGATGGGCCAAATGAGGGAAGAACGAGAAGGCAAGGAATGGAGGGGAGGAGATTGCGAGAGCAGAATTGAGAGGGAGGAGTTGAAATGACGATTTGACCATACATGAGCGAATGAGTGAAGTCATAGACAAGATGTGGATCAGTGAGGCTGACTGGATCACGGCACTCGGGCCGTTCACCATTGTAATGCCGCCTCAACTCCCAGCCTGAGCTGAGCCCATCCGAGTTCACCTGAAGCACACCTGGCGGCACCTGAAGCTCACCTGATGGCACCTGAAGCTCAAATGGCGGCGGCACCTGAAGCTCACCTGGCGGCACCTGAAGCTCACCTGGCGGCACCTGAAGCTCACCTGGCGGCACCTGAAGCTCACCTGGCGGCACCTGAAGCTCACCTGGCGGCACCTGAAGCTCACCTGGCAGCGGCGCAGTGTGTCGGCGCACCGAGCAGCAAGAGAGGCGTCAAGAGGATGCTCGAGGAGGGCGAGGGAGTGCACGATCCAAAACACCAGCCATGGCCGACTGGTAACCGACAGACCCAAGAGAAAAAGGTGCGACGCAGGGAGGAGGGAGGCAGGGATTGGAAAGGGCAGGCAGGGTCGGGAGGATGTTGGAGGAGGGCGAGGGAGTGCACGATCCAAAACACCAGCCATGGCCGACTGGTAACCACACTCCACGGAGAGGAAGGTGTGGGGCGGGAAGGAGGAAGGGAGATGGAATGGTGGAGAGGGGTGAGCAGGGATTGGAAAGGGCGAGGGGTTGAAAGGGTATTGGAGGAGGGCGAGGGAGTGCACATTCCAAAACACCAGCCACACTCGACTGGTAACCACACAATCAGAGGTGAAGGAGGCGATGGGGATAAGTGGTAGATAAATTGGTGGAGAGGGGTGAGCATGGAAAGCGATGCTTGCTGGACAAGCGCGCTGTGAAGTTTGAATGGACAAACGGAATTTGATATGCTGACCTGGCATCCAGGCTGGCATAGCTGCTCGAGACTACAGAAGGTGATATGCTGACCTGGCATCCAGGCTGGCATAGCTGCTCGAGAGGTGGTCCAATCCTTTCAACAAGAATCGCACGTGGCGTTCCCGTAGCAGTCGCAGCCCCTCTCCCCCGCTCCCGCCCCGCTCCTTCCGCCTTCCGCCCGCCGCCTGTTCCCCCTCCGCGCCCCTGCGGGAGAAGCAAACAAGAGAATCGCGGAGAGAAGCGCGTGACGGAAGCAGCGTGAAACGAATGAAAAACTAACTATTGAAGCAGTGCAAGTGTAGATAGAAGATTCCCGGAGGACGTTCAGCCGCTACGATTGGGGCATCCCAGGTCCGGAAGGCAGTAAGACGCGCATAGCGATTCGTGCGCGCCAAAACTCGGCGCGCAGTGCGTACCGAGTCCGAGAGCCGGAGCGGCCGCCGCCTCGCGCAAGCCACTCGCCGTAAATTCGGCTCACCGCCTCCTCCAGCTCATCCTGCGCGTCCATTGTCGACATGGCGCCGCACCGGTGGAGCCGGCTGGATAAAAAGGTAATGACCGCGGTGAGTCCTAAACGTAAACCAGAAGTCAAGTGAGTGTGAAACGCGGTACGCCGGATTTAACGTTTTAAACGGCGCGCGCTCCAAGGTAAGTCCAAGCACCAGGTTGCTGATTGGGGTCGACGTAACGACCTGAGAGGGCGAGTAACGAAATTGTGGTGAGATACAAATGGCACAGGGAGAGAAAAAGTAGCAGGGTGGGGAACGAAAATATCAGAGCCAGGTTTCGATCCTGGGACCTGTGGGTTATGGGCCCACCACGCTTCCGCTGCGCCACTCTGATATGCTTATCTGGTGAGTAAAAGTTTCAAGTCCAAGTTAACGACTTTTAGGCACCACATTGAATGATTTGGCGAGCTGCCGGAATGAGGCGGCTACTGGGGTCGTCGGTGGGCGGTTCGCGCGTGGGCGTGGCGCTGCTGTTCGTCGCACTCGTCGTCGCATGGACCGTCGCATACTTCGCCACGGCGCACTTCACGCTGCTCACTTCGCCGTCCGCCTTCGCTCTTCTCCCAGCCGGCAATGCCACCTCCCGTGCATGGCTTCAACGGCTGCAAAGTAGCCTCTCCGTGCTGCCGCAGCAAGGGCAACCGCCACAGCCACAGCACGAGCAACAGGAGAATGGGCAACAGAGTAAGGAGCAGGAGCAGGGGCGGCAGGGGCAGCAAAAGGAGCAGAGCGCCGGTCAGCAGAGCGGCGACGGGCGGGACGTGTGGGACAAGCGGGAACAGAAACCTGCGAAGCAGAACGACTCGGCGTCGCACGCTTCTGCGAACGAACTTTTAACGCAGGAGCAGCAGTCGCAGCAGCACGTGGGGAAACAGGTTGACACTGCGAGTGTTGATACTGCTGCCAATGACGGCCCGGTTGCCATCTGCCTCGTGGGCGGCGCTCGGGACTTCGAGGCCACGTGGCCTTCCATCCTGCGCCACGTCATCAGCCGCTACCCGCCAGCTCACCTCTTCCTGCACTCGCCGCTGGACGAGCGCGCCAGCAAGCTGTGGGCGCTGCTGCTCGCCTCCCCTGCCAATGCCACCACCGCCTCCTCTGCTGCTGCTGCTGCTGCTGCTGCTGCTACCAACAGCACACAGAGTGCAGTGAGCACGGCAGTTAGTATAGCAGCGGTGCGCATCTTCCCCAGTGCGGACATTGCAGAGACGGACCAGCACTGCGCGGTGCTCACCAGTAACGGCTCGCCACATGGCATCCAGGTGGGGCACGTGGTGTGGGGGCAGCATGGCATGTGCATGGATGGAGTAGGCAGTGCTGTGTTGGACACGCGGTGTTGCTGGTGGGGTACGCAGTATGGGCACCAGAGCCTGCAGAGGAATCTTTTGAGTCGACTCAAAAGTCACCTCGTGGGGAACGCAGTATGGGCACCAGAGCCTGCAGAGGAATCTTTTGAGTCGACTCAAAAGTCACCTCGTGGGGTACGCAGTATGGGCACCAGAGCCTGCAGAGGAACGGACTAACACCGCCATACTGCGTACCCCACCAGGGCCTGTCCAAGGGCTTGAATACTGTTGAGAGTAAGGGCTTGTCTGGCCAATTCAACAGCTTCTCTCCCCTCCCACATCTACTCTTCATTTCCTTCTCTCTCTCTCTCTCCGTATTCCCTTTCCCCCCATCTTCCGCCTTCATCCAACCCACCAGGGTCTGCTGCAGTACTTTCGTCTCGTGGAGGGCTGTATCGATCTCATATCCACCCACCAACTGCAGCACAACATCTCCTACCGCTGGGTCATCCGCACACGAGTCGACGGCTACTGGACCGCCCCCCCTCCCTCCTTGGCGGATGGTTAGTGGCGTGCCAAGTCAGTGTCTCTCCCCCCCTACACCACTCTTCACCTCCCTTCCCTCTCCCCCCTCGCGCCACACACCCCCCTCCCCCCTCTCGCAGGGTCTGCTGCAGTATTTCCGTCTCGTGGAGGGCTGTGTCGATCTCATCGCCACCCACCAGCAGCAACACAACATCTCCTACCGCTGGGTCATCCGCACACGAGTCGACGGCTACTGGACCGCCCCTCCTCCCCTTCTCCCCTCCCTCCACCCCTCTGCCTACACCATCCCCTTCGGTTTCGACTGGGGGGGCCTCAACGACCGCCTCGGGATTGGCTCTTGGGACGCCTCCAAAGTGGCTCTCAGGCGTTTATCTGCGTTACAAGACTTGTTCAGTGCAGGGTATAGGGCGCTGACGTCTGAGAAGGCGTTTCGGGCGCAGATGGAGGCTGTGGGGGTGGCAGTGGCAAGAAAGCATTTTCACTTCTGTGTTGTGACGCGGAGGCGGTCCCGAGGAGGCGATGGGTGTGCTGCCATGATGTTTTCAACTGCCACCTACGGGCCGCTGAATGGGGCCAAGTGCCGGCCCTGCTCCTCCCCGTGTGCTGTTGATGATCAGGTGAGTGGGGTGGAGCATCGGGGTCGTGTGAGGGAAGGGGAAGGGGGTAGTGGTGCAGTGAAGCAGTGAAAGCATGGGACAGTAGGGGCATGGGCTGGGACAGCCACTTTACAGTTGACTCAGCATCCATCCACTCCACCCACCCCAACCCCTCCCCATCAGGCGGTGGCTCTGATTAACACAGTGCGCAAAAACCCTGAAAGTCACTCAACAGTTGACTCAGCATCCACCCACCCACCCCAACCCCTCCCCATCAGGCGGCGGCAATCATCAACACAGTGCGCGCGGCGGGCGGCATGTACCGCCACCCGTTGCCGCCCGGGATGCAGCTGTGCGACGCGAAGCAGGCGTGGGAGGGCGCGTGGGAGCGGCAGTTCGACCGGGACGTGGAGCGGCAGCGCGGCGGGAAGACCCTGAGCTGGCAGCGCCGCAACATTGGGCTGGTTGCTGCTAGCCTTGCACATTGCACGGAACAGTTTAACAAGGTGAGCTGGTTATTGCGAATTCTCAAGAAGCAGGCGTGGGAGGGCGCGTGGGAGCGGCAGTTCGACCGGGACGTGGAGCAGCAGGGCGGGGGGAAGACTCTGAGCTGGCAGCGCCGCAACATCGCCCGGGTTGCTGCCAGCCTCACGCACTGCACGGAGCAGTTTGAAAAGGTGTGGTGCGTGTTTGAGTTGGTTCTGTACATTCTCCATGTGGGGCGGCAGTGTAATTGACTCCATGCCATCTGATTTAATGCCATGCAGCATTATCGCATGAACAATCAACCCATGCGTCATCACCCCATGCACCATGACCCCATGCACCATCACCCCATGCACCATCACCCCATACACCATGACCCATGGCATCCCAACACCAGCTCAAGGCCGTGAGTGTGACGTGGGACTCGCCTCCCCCAGTGGCTGTGTGCATCCGGGCGCAGCTGGGGGAGGTAGAGCTGATGGGCAGCAAGACCGGCGAGTTCAACACCTTCACCTCTCTTCTCACCAGCAAAAGGTAAGGGGTCAACTGGGGGAGTTATTTGGGGGATGTGAGGGGCCAACTGGGGGAGGTGAGAGGTCAACTGGGGGAGGTGAGGGGTCAACTGGGGGAGGTGAGGGGTCAACTGGGGGAGGTGAGGAGTCAACTGGGGGAGGTGAGGAGTCAACTGGGGGAGGTGAGGAGTCAACTGGGGGAGGTGAGGAGTCAACTGGGGGAGGTGAGGAGTCAACTGGGGGAGGTGAGGAGTCAACTGGGGGAGGTGAGGAGTCAACTGGGGGAGGTGAGGAGTACACCAGGGGAGGTGAGGAGTCAACTGGGGGAGGTGAGGAGTCAACTGGGGGAGGTGAGGAGTCAACTGGGGGAGGTGAGGAGTACACCAGGGGAGGTGAGGGGTCGACTACGAGAATTGAGAGCCTGTTGAGCGTGAGGAGAACCATCTACCACTCTTCTTAGTAGCGACAAGTGAGTTCAACTCCTTCATTCCCTGCTCCCATCATTCTTCTCTGCATACCCTACTGCGTGTTTTTTTTTTTTTTTTATGCAACTGAAACCTGCAATATGTAGACCCCCCAATCTGCACATGTGTGTCTGCCGCGTGTGGCATGTGTGGTGTGTCCCCCATGTCTGTCGTGTGTGGTGGGACCGGAGCAGCACGTTCATATCGGTGACGAACAGCAAGGCCAGCCAGAGCTGGGAGCGGCATCTCTTCAGGCGCTACGGCAAGGTGCGCGTGGGATTCAGGAATGCCGATTGGCTGGCGTCCCCTCAATCCGCCAATGCGAGCGCGACAACTACCCGGCCTTTCAATGCCGTCAGGGTGAGTGTAGCTTGGTTTCTTAAGTTTATTGTTTTTATTGTATGTAAATGCTCAACTTCCTCTTCGTTTCCTTGATAATATTTGTTTGTGTGTGCCCCTTTGTTGCAGGTTGAGATGAGAGTTATGAAAGAATATTCTTCTCAGAAATGGTTGAGCATCCTCGGCAGTATCAAGACGTGTCAGCTGCTCGTAGGGTTTACAGGGAGGGAGCGAAAGAGCTTCACACCAGAAAGGGTTACGGCGCTACTTGCATCGTCCCATTACTTCCAATTAGACTCGTGCAAACGGACTGTGTCCTTGCAGGGAGAAAGATGCACCTATTTTTCTTTACGTTATTGTGTTAAAAACTCGCTGTATACTTCCGTAAATAGTGGATCAACTTGATTCTAAAAGCGGGTCTTCCACACTCGAAGAGGCCTGTAAGGAATTTTCTCGATATTCCTTAGAGCACCCTGCAACATCGCGTACAGCAGCAGCCGTTGTTCGCCCGTTACTGCTAACGGGGCTTCGCCGACTTCGCGCGCACTGTTTCACCAAACCTCGCACTGCTGGCCTGGCCGTGTCGGCGTACGCTTCGGAACTAGCCCGAGCCTCGCTCCAGCGTAGCACTAGCTAGCTCGCACGCACCGCGTTACCGTTTGCATGTTTCGCGTATAAATGTTCGCTCATGCCTTCGCTCACATTTTGTACTCGTTTGACACCTTAGTGCAATTCTCGCTACTTCGATCCATTGCACCCGTAACACTTGGTATTCAGAGCCTCTTTCCTTTCGGACCGCACATCTCCGCACCCCAGGAAATCAACTTTTGATTTTTCACTCGAAAGGACTCACGTACCTTAGCACCTAGGAGCCGCTGTCCTCGCGTTCTCTCGTAAACGCGTGCAGCCACGACTGCGCCTAGACTAAGACGAGCCGACGCCCTTTGAAATGGCTGAACATATCGACGTCACGACTCTCACGCAGGAGCACTTGAACGATCTGCTGCGACAAATCCGCGAGAGCGCCGAGGAAATCGCGACGCTGACGGCAGAACGCTCGTCCCTGCAAAACGACCTCACATGGGCACAATCCCAAGCACCTGGCATTCCGATTCAGCCCGCACCACAGACATCACAGCACGGAAGTGTGGGGCAACCCGCAAGCGCCGCAAGTGATGGCGTCGTCCGCCATGACGGAGACGACGACCACGGCACGACACACCCCGACGCGACGAATGCGGCCAGGACTCAGCCTCGAGTCACGATTTCGGTGCCGGCCGGCGAATCAACTCTTCCGTCGCCGATGCCGCTAAAGCCGCAGCGTCCGCCATGCTTTGACCCAAGTCAGCGGGGTGGTCCTACCGTTCAGGCGTGGCTCTTCACGTTGAACGTCTTCTTCGACGCGAACTACGTCTCGGAGGATACGGCGAAGATTCGCTACGCCGTGTCGTTGCTGCGAGGACCCGCCATGGACTGGTGGCGCGTCATCGTCACGAAGCCGGTGGACTACGCGACTCTACCGACACGGGAAGGACAAACCGGACCCTGGGCGCCGTCGTATTTCGTGGAGGTGCCCCAGTATCGCACGTGGGACGCGTGGTGTGCAGGTCTGCGCGCTCGTTTCGAGCCAATCGCGGCTTCGATCGCGGCGCGACAGAAGCTCCGCACTTGGCGCCAACTCGGTTCCGTCCAAGATTACACGAGCGGATTTCTGGCGCTATGCGAGCAGGTGGGATATATGCACGAGAGCGAGCGCATCGACCGCTACATCGGCGGCCTGAACCAGGACATCGCTCAGGAAATCCAGCTTCGCGGCGTCACCAACTTTCAAAAAATTCTCGCTATGGCGGAGAAACTTGACTTCTTCCGCCGACCGGGACCAGGGTCCTACGGAAGCAGCCATTGGGGACATCGGCCTCGTGGGACGAACGAGGGCGCCACGATACGTGCCGTCGCCGCAAATGCCGCTGCCGCACCGTTCAAAAGGCGCTGCTTTGCGTGCAATCGGCCGGGACATCGCAAGAGCGAATGCCCGGAAAACGCTAAGGGAAAGGGGGAAGCTGAGCAGCAGAAACAGACCAAGCAGCAGGGAAACGCTGGGAGTCAGTAGCAGACGGGCCCTCTACTGACAGGTCACGCCGCTCGCCCGACCCAACCGACCCTCACCGAGTGATTGTGCCGGTTCACGCAATCGACCACACTCGGCCGAATAAGGAGGGGACTACGGTAGACAGCCCCATACTGCTTAGTGGGAAAATCGGGACGGACTTAGTTAAAATCTTCGTAGACGGGGGAGCTAGCCACAGCCTCATCAACACTGCTAGAGCACGAAAGCTGCGACTGCCACTAGACAGATGTTTACCTGAGATCGACGCACGACTGGTAGACGGCACGCCGCTGGCAATACGGGAACGCGTAAAACGGGTTCGGATTCGATGTGGGGGTAACTTCACGTTTAGACAGGAAATGCTCGCAACGACCCTCGATGGAACCGATATTTTACTCGGGCGTGATTGGCTGCGACGACACAATCCGCGAATCGACTGGACGACGGGTGACTGCACCGTGCGAGTGAACGGTAACAACATCGCCCTACCTCGCTGGGGCTCGCCTGAGTCTTCGTCGGTGCGTGTCAACGCGATCACGATGAAACGCGCCGTAGCGGCAGCAGCTGACGTGTACGCGGTCGACATTCGGGAAGCCGAGGCAGCAGACAAAGGAGGGGATTTACAGAAACTGCTGGCCGACGTACCGAGTGACCTGGCAGCACTGTTGAAGTAGTACAACGACATTTTCCCGGACGATTTACCGACGGGACTGCCACCTCAGCGACCGCACGACCACATGATAGAGTTAGAACCGGGGGCACAGCCAACAGTACAGCGACAGTTCCGACTGACCCAGCCCGAACTGGACGAACTGAGGAAGCAGCATGATTACCTGCTCGAGAAGGAATTCATTCGCCCTAGTTCGTCGCCTTTCGCAACACCGATACTGTTCACACCGAAAAAAGACGGGGGATTTCGCATGTGCATAGACTACCGAGCACTGAACAGGGTTACCATCAAATCCCGTTACCCCATCCCGCGAGCCGACGAACTGATCGACCAACTGCGCACAGCCCGGGTTTTCTTGAAAATCGACCTTCGAGGGGGTTACCACCAGATCCGCGTCAACCCGCCCGACTGCCCTAAGACCGCATTTCGCACACGCTACGGATCCTTCGAATACACCGTCATGCCCTTCGGACTGACCAACGCCCCCGCCACTTTTCAAATGACGATGAACGAAGCTTTCCGCCCGCTCTTAGATAAGTGCGTCATAGTATACCTGGACGACATACTGATTTACAGCCCTGACAGAGCACAGCACTTACAGGATATCGAAGCAATTTTTAAAATACTGAGTGAAAACCGCCTACTGACAAAAGCGTCTAAATGTGAGTTTTTACAGGACCGCCTGGAGTTTTTGGGACACGTTATTTCAGCTGCAGGAGTGGAAATAGACCCGAAGAAAATTGCAACGATTCAAGCATGGCACGCGCCGACCAACTTGACCGAGTTGCAGAGTTTTTTGGGGTTCGTCAACTACGTGCGCCGGTTCGTCCCCGACATGGCGAAGCTGACTGCCCCGCTGACAGACCTGCTGAGGAAGGGGGTTGAGTACACGTGGGGGGAGAAAGAGCAAGCTGCCTTCTCGGCCCTCAAAAACATTTTGTGCTCACCGCCCGTGCTTCACATCGCAGACCCACACCGTCCGTTCGAGCTCGTCACTGACGCAAGTGACATCGCTGTGGGAGCAGTACTGTTGCAGGATTTTGGGAACGGCCTCCAGCCAATCGCGTATGAGTCCCGCAAGCTGCACCCGCCCGAACGCAACTACCCGATACACGACCGCGAAATGTTGGCGATTGTGCACGCGTTCAAGGTTTGGCGGTGTTACTTGACTGGCGCCGACGTGACAGTACGGACAGACCACCGATCACTACAGTACTTACGCGCCCAACCGAATCTCAATCCACGACAGATTCGCTGGTTGGACTACCTCGAGTCCAACTTCCACTACACGGTTACGTACAAGAAAGGCGCATCCAACATCGCCGACGCACTCACCCGCCCTACCGCCCAACTCCACGCCATCCTACTCGCCCAGACCAACCCGCTTTTAACAGGCCTATTCACCCACGGATACCGCACCGACCCATTTTTCACGACTGGAAACTCACAGCAATTGGCAGAAGCTAAAGGAGTTTATTACGTAAAAACAGGCACCAACCGCATCTGGGTACCCGCGTACTCACTACTGAGGGAGCTGCTACTGCAGGAGGCACACGACGGAATTACCTCGGGACATTTTGGGGTTAAAAAAACGCGACAGCAACTGCAGCGGTATTACTACTGGCCGGAGCTGTTGACCGACGTGCAGCAGCACGTGGGCTCGTGCCCCACGTGTCAGGTGATGAAGAGCTCGAGGAAGCGGAAGGCGGGTCAATTGCAGCCGATACCACCGCCCGAGCGCGCCTGGCAGCAGGTCACCATGGACTTCGTCACAGGGTTACCTTCGAACCCTGGGGGTAACGACGCGGTGATGGTCGTCGTTGATAGGTTGACGAAGATGGCACACTTCGCTGCGTGCAAAAAGTCGATCTCAGCCGAGGAAACCGCTCGTCTGTTCATCGCAGCCGTTGTTCGCCTGCACGGGATACCAGCAGCAATTATCAGCGACAGGGACACGAAGTTCACCAACAACTTCTGGAAGAACCTCTGGGAGCAGTTCGGGACCAGGCTACAGTTCAGTTCGTCGTACCACCCCGAGACCGACGGTCAAACGGAGCGGACGAATCAGACGATGGAGCAGTTGATTCGTGCCACGTGCGACGACCCCACGACCTGGGAGCAGCAGCTGCCGCTGATCGAGTTCGCGTACAATAATGCCACGTCAGCGACGACGCAGCAGTCCCCCTTCTACCTGAACCACGGGCAAAACCCTACAGTGCCCATGACGCCGAGTCCGGACAACCCAACACCACGTGCACAGCAATTCGCCGAAATTCTGCAAGCTGCCCGCACCAGAGCCGCAGAAGCAATTAAAAAAGCAAACGTCATCGCTAAGCGCAACGCTGACCGCCACCGCCGCCCAGTCACATACCAGTCAGGGGATTACGTACTACTCGACACGCAAAATCTGCGACTGCCCGACGTACCAAAACTGCGACCGCGCTACTGTGGCCCATTCCAAATCAGCCACATGATCACGCCAGTAACCGCGCACCTACTGTTACCGACCGACTGGTATATCTGCCCTTCGTTCCACGTCAGCCTGCTTCGCCCCTACATCCCAACCACAAGCCAATTGCCTCGCCACCGCCCGCCATCCATGACTCGCCCTGCATCGGAGCCGATCATCGCGCCTGAAAAATTCCTGAGCCATCGGATTCGACACCCCACGGGAATCAAGAGGATTGAATTCCTCGTTCGCTGGAAGGATCGCACGCCAACTGAGGACAGCTGGGTGCCCCTGGCCAACATCGAAAACCACCCTGCCCTGCAAGTGTACCTGAGGAGCCGGGGCTTCCGCGATATTCACGCACTCGCGTAGCGGAGGGGGCTTCTTGAGGGGGGGGGGGGGTAGTGTAAGGAATTTTCTCGATATTCCTTAGAGCACCCTGCAACATCGCGTACAGCAGCAGCCGTTGTTCGCTCGTTACTGCTAACGGGGCTTCGCCGACTTCGCGCGCACTGTTTCACCAAACCTCGCACTGCTGGCCTGGCCGTGTCGGCCTACGCTTCGGAACTAGCCCGAGCCTCGCTCCAGCGTAGCACTAGCTAGCTCGCACGCACCGCGTTACCGTTTGCATGTTTCGCGTATAAATGTTCGCTCATGCCTTCGCTCACATTTTGTACTCGTTTGACACCTTAGTGCAATTCTCGCTACTTCGATCCATTGCACCCGTAACAAGGCCCCAGAACCTCAGCCTAGCCTAGAAGTTGTCGCGCTTCGCGCCGTGTTTTTTGTCAGACTGGTTTTTGGAAGTGAGTGCGTAGTCCGATTTTAGTGGTAGATTAGTGGTGCTCTGAAGACCTCAGGTTCTGAGAACCACCTTAAAGGGATATTTCGCCTCATATCTCCGGCTGCGTTAGATTTCCTGTATATGGGGGTTCGTTCGACCATTACTCAGCGTAGTGTCTCGAATTAACTTCTGAGCCGAGTCGACTGAAACGTTCGTTCGATAATTAGTTCGTCTCCATGGGAGCGTTATCCGAGTTCGGGGGGGGTGGCGGAGCCGCTTCCGCGGACTCTTCCGCCATCGGCGGAAAGAAGCCCACGCCGGGGCGCGGCGGGGTCGTTATTTCCGCGTCCCCGGAAGAATCCCGCGTGCGCGCGATCTCCGAGATCGTGCGGGCGATGATCGACGGCGTGCGCGCGGGTCGCGACGTCAATTTGAACGCGATCAAATCCGACGCGTCGCGAAAGCACGGGCTGTCACGCGCTCCGAAGCTCGTCGAGATCATCGCCGCGGTTCCCGAGGAGCACCGCGACGCGCTGATTCCAAGGCTCCGCGCGAAGCCCGTTCGCACGGCCTCGGGAATCGCCGTCGTCGCCGTGATGTCGAAACCGCATAGATGCCCGCACATAGCGACGACAGGGAATATTTGCGTGTACTGCCCTGGCGGGCCCGATTCCGATTTCGAGTATTCGACGCAGTCTTACACCGGGTATGAGCCGACGAGTATGCGCGCGATTCGGGCGAGGTACCATCCGTACGTTCAGGCGCGCGGTCGGGTCGACCAACTGAGGCGACTCGGGCATAGTGTGGATAAGGTACGGGTGGGTCACAGCTTCTTATATAATCACAAGCTTCTCCACAATCACATCCGCAGCATATCGGTGGAGTACAATGCACATACATCCTCATGGCTGGCACCTTCTTGTCCCTCCGTGGCGATTCATATCCTTGCACTCAAATCCTCTCAATACAGTCATCCTCTCCACAATCACTCCTCAACCACATCCCCATAAACAGGTGGAGTATATCCTCATGGGCGGCACCTTCAGTCACTGCCAGCAGACTACCGTTGCATGCCAAACGCTCTCCATGTATAATCAACCCCTCCATATAATCACCCCCTCCTTTTTATCACCCCCTCCATATAATCACCCTCTCTCCGCCATCAGGGGGAGTATACTGTATATCACATGGCCGGCACGTTCATGTCACTACCAGCAGATTACCGGGACTTTTTTTCGTGTGCATGCAATCTGCACAATGCCCTCTCTGCTCTGCAGTCACACCACGCTCTCTGTAATCACACCCGCCTCGCCCCACCACCCTCACATCTCCGCCATCAGGTAGAGTACATCCTGATGGGCGGCACCTTCATGTCGCTCCCAGCGGACTACCGTTACATGCCAATTCACCCCCTCCATATAAAATCACCCCCTCCATATAAAATCACCCCCTCCATATAATCACCCCCTCCATATAATCACCCCCTCCATATTATCACCCCCTCCATACAATCACCCTCTCCCCACCATCAGGTGGAGTACATCCTAATGGGCGGCACGTTCATGTCCCTCCCAGCGGACTACCGCGACTTCTTCGTGCGCAATCTGCACGACGCGCTCTCAGGCCGCTCCTCCGCGTCTGTAGCCGAGGCAGTGCAGTACGCCGAGCATGCCGCCACACGCTGCATCGGCCTCACCATCGAAACGTGAGCACATCCGCACATAATTGCTTCAGGAACGAATGTTCACTCTCCTGGTTTCCAAGTTTCAACTCTCAGCGCCCTTCCCCTCCTCGCCTCACTCTCCTCTCCCCATACTGACTGGGACCTCACCTGGGGCAGATTCTACCGTACAGGTGCATGCAGCGTGCAATCGACCCCTCATCCCCAACCCTGCCAATCCACCTCGCCTCCTCTCCTCCCGTCCCTGCCTGCCTTCCACCCATCAACCCACCAGCCGTCCAGACTACTGCCTAGGACCGCACCTGCGGCAGATGTTAGCATACGGGTGCACGCGGCTGGAGATCGGAGTGCAGAGCACTTACGAGGACGTGGCCAGGGACACCAACCGCGGCCACACTGTCGCTGCTGTCGCCGACTGCTTCTGCCTCGCCAAGGACGCGGGCTTTAAGGTGCTTCTCGTGTGCGTGCTGGCTTTAAGGTGTGTGGTGTGCGGGTTTTAAGGCCAGGGACACCAACCGCGGTCACACTCTTGCAGCCGTCGCTGACTGCTTCTGCCTCGCCAAGGACGCGGGCTTCAAGGTGCGCTGTGTGTGCGTGCTTTAAGGTGTACTACCTGCCTGTTGTGTGCTGGCTACTACTGGCTACTAACTAGGACATACCGAATCCCAATGTGGCCATGGGGAGGGACATGGAGTCTTGCCTTGCATACCTCACCCTTCTTCCATATCTGAAACCTTCTCTCCGTTCCCTCACTCTTCTCTTCTCCCCTCCCCAGGTGGTGGCGCACATGATGCCGGATCTACCCAGCGTGGGCATGGAGAGGGACATGGAGTCATTCAGGGAGTTCATGCCGCATGACTCTCTATCCCACCCCCCCCCCCCACTCACTCTCTCACACACACACACACACACACTCGCAGGTGGTGGCGCACATGATGCCGGATCTACCCAGCGTGGGCATGGAGAGGGACATGGAGTCATTCAGGGAGTTCATGCCGCATGACTCTCTATCCCACCCCCCCCCCCACTCACTCACACACACACACACACACACACACTCTCTCTCGCAGGTGGTGGCACACATGATGCCGGATCTACCCAGCGTGGGCATGGAGAGGGACATGGAGTCATTCAGGGAGTTCATGCCTCATGACTCTCTCTCCCACCCCCACCCCCACTCACACACACACACACACACACACACTCTCGCAGGTGGTGGCACACATGATGCCGGATCTACCCAGCGTGGGCATGGAGAGGGACATGGAGTCATTCAGGGAGTTCATGCCTCATGACTCTCTATCCCACCCCCCCCCCCACTCACACACACACACACACACACACACACACTCTCGCAGGTGGTGGCACACATGATGCCGGATCTACCCAGCGTGGGCATGGAGAGGGACATGGAGTCATTCAGGGAGTTCATGCCTCATGACTCTCTATCCCACCCCCCCCCCCCACTCACTCACACACACACACACACACACTCTCGCAGGTGGTGGCACACATGATGCCGGATCTACCCAGCGTGGGCATGGAGAGGGACATGGAGTCATTCAGGGAGTTCATGCCTCATGACTCTCTATCCCACCCCCCCCCCCACTCACACACACACACACACACACACACACTCTCTCGCAGGTGGTGGCACACATGATGCCGGATCTACCCAGCGTGGGCATGGAGAGGGACATGGAGTCATTCAGGGAGTTCATGCCTCATGACTCTCTATCCCACCCCCCCCCCCACTCACTCACACACACACACACACACACACACACACACACTCTCACAGGTGGTGGCACACATGATGCCGGATCTACCCAGCGTGGGCATGGAGAGGGACATGGAGTCATTCAGGGAGTTCATGCCTCATGACTCTCTATCCCACCCCCCCCCCCACTCACTCACACACACACACACACACACACACTCTCTCTCTCTCTCTCGCAGGTGGTGGCACACATGATGCCGGATCTACCCAGCGTGGGCATGGAGAGGGACATGGAGTCGTTCCGCGAGTTCATGCACAGCCCCGCCTTCCGCACGGACGGGCTCAAGCTCTACCCCACGCTCGTCATCCGCGGCACAGGGCTCTACGAGCTCTGGAAGACCGGCAGGTGGGTAAGGGGAGGAGAGGATGAGGTGGGGAGGGGTCACCTTACCCGTCCTGCCTTCCGCACGGACGGGCTCAAACTCTACCCCACGCTCGTCATCCGTGGCACAGGCCTTTACGAGCTCTGGAAGACTGGCAGGTGAGGGGAGGGGAGAGGAGGGGGGGAGAGGGGGGGGGGGGAGATGGGGGGTCACCATACCAGCCCCGCTTTCTGCAAGGACAAGCTCAAGCTCTACCCCACGCTCGTCATCCGCGGCACAGGGCTCTACGAGCTCTGGAAGACCGGCAGGTAAGGGGCTACCACATCAGCTGATGAGGGGTTACCACATCAGCTCTGCCTTTTTCACCGATGGGCAAAATCTCTCTACCCCACCCGGGCCCTCATGCCCCCCTGGGCTCAAGTCTACTGTATCGTGTATGTCTGTCTGCTGCTTCCTCTCTCCCCTCGTGCCCCTGCCCTCCTCCCTCCTTCTCTCCTTCCCCCCAGGTATCGCAACTACCCACCAGAGAGCTTACTTGATCTAGTAGCTCGCTTCCTGGCCCTCGTGTCCCCCTGGACGCGCGTCTTCTACCCCATCATGCAACTTTTGAGTCGACTCAAAAGTCACCTCGTTTCCCCCTGGACGCGCGTCTTCTACCCCATCATGTGTGGTACCCTCTGCTCCCCCTCCCTCCCCATCCCCATCCCCGTCCTCTCCCTCTGCTGCCCTCCTCCACCCTGCCTTCCGCCCTCCCAGGTATCGCAACTACCCACCAGAGAAGCTAATCGGCCTAGTAGCTCGCATCCTCGCCCTGGTCCCACCCTGGACGCGCGTCTACCGCATCATGCGTGACATGCCATCCCGCTGCCTCCTCTCCCTCCTTCCCCCTCCTCCTTCTCCGCCCTCCCAGGTATCGCAACTACCCGACAGAGAAGCTAATTGGCCTAGTAGCGCGCATCCTGGCCCTGGTGCCCCCCCTGGACGTGTGTCTACCGTATCAAGCGCCACATCCCACTGCGCCACCTCCCTCCCCATTCCCGCTCCTCTCCCGCACCGCAGGCAACATCTGGGTCCGACACTGGAGTCGTATTTTGTTGACTCGAGAGGCCTGCTCCCGTTCCTCCTCCCCCTCCCCAATCCCCAGGTACCGCAATCATCCACCCGGAAAAATAATCGACCTAGAAGCTCGCATCCTGGCCCTGGTGCCCCCCTGGACGCGTGTCTACCACATCACGCATGACATCCCGCTGCGTCCACCCCTTCCTCCTGCTTCCTCCCCCTTCCTCTCCTTTAGGCGATTCTTTCAGTCGTCTCGTGAGTCATTTTTCGTTGACTCAAGAAACTTGCCATCCTTACCACTCCTCCCATCCCTCCCCCAGGTATCGCAACTACCCACCAGAGAAGCTGATCGACCTAGTAGCTCGCATCCTGGCCCTGGTCCCACCCTGGACGCGCGTGTACCGCATAATGCGAGACATCCCGCTGCCACTGGTCACGTCGGGAATCGACAAGGGCAACCTGCGCGAGCTGGCGCTGGCACGCATGGTAGAGCTGGGGCTGTTTTGTTGACTCGACAATCTTGCCGTCCTTCCTCCTCCCTCCAACCCCCTCCCCCCCCCTCTCAGGTACCGCAATTACCCGCCAGAAAAATTGATCGACCTAGTCGCGCGCATCCTGGCCCTGGTCCCACCCTGGACGCGCGTGTACCGCATAATGCGAGACATCCCGCTGCCACTGGTCACGTCGGGAATTGACAAGGGCAACCTGCGCGAGCTGGCGCTGGCGCGCATGGCAGAGCTGGGGCTGCGGTGCCGGGATGTGCGCACGCGGGAGGCGGGCATTCAGGACATCCACCATGCCGTGCGGCCGCACGACGTGCAGCTCGTGCGGCGGGACTATGCTGCGAATGATGGATGGGAGACATTCCTGTCTTATGAAGATGTGACGCAGGTGAGACAGCAAGTTTTATCCAAGGTGTTTACCATGTGGTAACCTGGTTAGAGAGAGTCGGTAACCTATTGTTCACGCATGGCAGAGCTGGAGCTGCGGTGCCGCGATGTGCGCACACGGGAGGCGGGCATTCAGGGCATTCACCCCAATGCCCTCCCTCCCCTTGCGCCTCAAAAAACTCCCCGTGTGCCCATCGCTCCTTGGTCCCGACAGGACATTCTGGTGGGGCTGCTGCGGTTAAGGAGGTGTGGGGCACACGTGACGTGTCCGGAGCTGAAGGGGCGGTGCTCCTTAGTGCGAGAGCTGCATGTGTATGGCACGGCTGTGCCTGTGCACACACGCGACACCGACAAGCTGCAACACCAGGTTAGATCGGCCATCTCGGAGCCACCTTTGAGCATCGAGAAATTCCTCCTTAATGCGAGAGCTACATGTGGTGGCAGGGCTGTGCCCGTGCACACCCGCGACACCGACAAGCTACAACACCAGGCGAGTGGGAGTTGATTCAGTAGTATGTGGCTTATGTGTGGCTAGAGCTGCATGTGTATGGGACTGCCGTGCCCGTGCACACCCGCGACACCGACAAGCTACAACACCATGCGAGTGGCATATGCGTGGCGTGAGCTTTACTACATGTGTATGGGACTGCTGTGCCTGAGCACACTCACGACACTGACAAGCAAGCTACAACACCAGGTAGATCAGCTATGTTGGCGTCTGCTTTGAGCATTCACAATGATGCTCCATAGTGCGAGAGCTGCATGTGTATGGCTCTGGTGTGCCCGTGCACACCCGCGACACCGACAAGCTACAACACCAGGCGAGTGGGTAACACGAGGTAGTGACAGCGCGACGCGAGTGGGAAGGACAAGGCACTTGGCAGCACCAGGGAGTGGGTAGGACGAGGCACTTGGCAGCACCAGGGAGTGGGTAGGACGAGGCACTTGGCAGCACCAGGGAGTGGCTAGGTACAGTGCTGCGAAGTGATTACCAGTTCATCGTTATGGTTATCAGCACGGTTGCCATTTGACCTTTCAAGCAATTAATTTGTTTCTTCCTGTTTTAATATTTCCTCTTTCGGTGGTTTGGGTTGGCTATGATGGTGCACTGCGGTAATTTGTGGTTTCAGGGATATGGCACATTGCTGATGGAGGAAGCAGAGCGCATTGCGCGGTGGGAGCATGGCTCGAGGAAGCTGGCAGTGATATCAGGTATAGGGACGCGCCACTACTACAGGAAACTCGGTTATGAGCTCGAGGGGCCTTACATGGTCAAAACTTTGCCGCGTGCTGTGAGGGGGATTGGGCGTGGGAAGGCCAGCAAAAGGCGTGCAAAGCAAGTGGTACACTGATGGAAACACACCTTTGTTTTGCAGTCCTAGTGATGTGCACCCTTTTCTTGTGACAGGGAGGCATCGATACCTTGACAACTGTTCCAGCTTTACTTGAAAGAGAAGCAAAAAATATGAAGTTTTGTTCAAGTTGGAGAAGTTTGATGCTTTCACTTCACATACATACAGTATGATTTCCCAGCAAACATTGAGGTGAAGTGACTGATATTGGGTTGGGACACCTACGTACATGAGGGTTTGTGAGTAGTCGTCTACCCATGCACTCACAGAGAAGTGAAACATTACAGTGCCAGTTGACATTTGCCCCTGGACGCTTGATCATTAGCATTATGATAAAAAAAAAACGCGTAAGAAAACGTAGAGGGGCACAGAGCTTCACCATATGCACGTAGAAATAGCGTCAGACTGCCACACAGGCCCACTGGCATCCCAATGGCCCACTGCTATAGTAAATGCCTCTGCATGGAAACATGGCATGGCACATGCAGGCACGTTGCAGACTGCTGTAAAGCACACAACAACAAATAATAAGTGAGTTTTAAAGGAAGCAAAGAAGAGTGCTGTAATGAAAAGCAAAGAGAGCACCGTAATCCACAGCTTCGCACTCGTTTGGCCTTATGCCAAACCTTCACGAATTCACAGCTCATTGTTGCTCCATGAACCTGACTTCCGTATCAAATCGATGCAATCTGGCACGCGGAGTCGTTGACAAGTGGTGGTGATGGTGAGGTGACAGTTGAGGAGAGGCTGCTGTGCCGGACAGTTACATTTCACTTGATGCCTTACAGTATTTTCAAGGGCAGTTTGTTTTCCGGGCGGTTACTCTGACACGTTTTTTTTTTATTGATATCGCATACATTACAAGAATGTACAGACACCGGCAGTCGTAACTGTACACGATGGTTCAGTCGTGTAGGGTTCTTGTACACCGCCTGAGAGGCTCCCTCCAAGCCAAACCCCCATCAAGAGCCATGTGCCCAGTGGGCCTTGGGGGGAGGTGAATGTTGGGGGGGAAGTCCCAAGTCCCCCAAGGAGAGGTGACGTCACTCGAATTCTCATTACTTTCCGGGTTGCTTCTTTCCACATTAAGAATCGGATCTAATCTGGGCCCTACAGTTCTGAGCAGTCTCTCGAATTTTGTAAGTACAGAAACTCCTTTTCCCTGTGATATGATGTATAATCTCTAATTTGGTATAACCTGCGTTACATCCTCCTTCATACGAATTACATGATTGAAACTTGTTTTATTGGTGTTGAGTGCTGCCCATTGAGCCAGCCACAGCAAACTTCATGCATAATTGGCAGCAGGATCCAGTTGTACGCCTTGCATGCGTGGCACGTGTGGCTCGCTCGCCATTCGTGAGCCGTGTGAGCTTTCGCACGAACTGCACCCTGCTGGGTCGTCGTGTCGTGACTTCGAGGGGAAGGGTCCGTGCGGCCGATTGCCTGTTCGACCATGCGTGCGCAACTCCCAAATTCTCGTTTGGCAGCTTGCTTCCCTGAAAACCGTACTGCGCGCACACTACGCGCACATCTTCATACGTACACCCAGTGATGCGCTGTCGTGCACCCAGCAGCTTCTTCTCCCCCCCACCACCCCCCCCCCCCCCCTTCAAGTTTGCACACCGTTCTCCCCCTCATCCTCCCCGCGCTGCTTTGGACGATGACCACCAGCGCAGAAAAACCACTGGGCCGGACCACGCGGTTACACACCACGTACGGGGTACAATTGATGCCCAACCAGTGCACGCGGGTTTGCCTTGCGCCGGATGGAAACGCTGCACCCGAGGTTGTTTCCCCAGCCTGTTGCTCCCACATTATAAGCGTGTCGCGTATCAACCAATAGTAACGAACAGACCGAGGTCAAGCAGAAGATACTGAAGTCAAATAAGGTAACAGATCTTGTTTATAAGCACCTGCGAGCCTTTTTAGCTAGCTGCGAATTGACGAAACTTATAAAGGCAACCGGGAGGGGGCTCAAACAGGCATCAATTGTACCCCCCCACCACCACCCCAGTCGTCAGGCATCGTCTTCTCGCCATATCCACCTCCACCTGCACGAGCGCCTGCGATCAAAGTTGCATGCGCTTCCACCAAGTTGAGCATGTCGCTATTGTCTTTTGCGCTAGTTTTGAGCGGAGCCTCCGTGCGACAAGTCTGATGAATCCAACTCGAAAATCTGAGGGGAGTTCAGTTCAGTTGTGCGCGCAACAATCTGCGCACAGCCCCGACCTTCCCGAGGATGTCACGGACGGGTGACGGGATGCGAATGAACAGCACCTGGCGGATAAGGATTGGATCTCCTTCTCGCTTCCCGCGCAGGATTATGTCTGCCCCCAACCCCAACGCAACCCCAACGCAAGCCTCCGTTTGAGATGCCACACGTACGTAGCACTACACCGGCGGAGAATGCACCCAACAAACTCGTTTATTCACCTCCACAACCAAACGCAAACAAACCCCAAATTGGGCACTACCCTCTCTCCATAAATTTCCTGACTCGTTCTCTCCAGCCATTCTTTTCCTGTTGTGCTGTGCATCCTGTTGTTCGTTGTTCCTGGCCTTCTGTCACCGCCTGTGTCACACATTCTGGCTGAGCGTTTCTATCTCGGGTCGGTTTAGGGCTATTTTACATCTTTTAGCTTTGTTAAGGTTTCGACCATGGATCTGGCTACGAGTTATGCGGACGACCTGGAGGAGGATTCGAAGCTGTTCCAGCGCGACAACAATCGGCTGATTGCATCGAATCGTGGCTCGACTGCTCAGCGCTTGCCGACGTGGAAGGAGCGGGAGAATAACAAACGAAGGGAGAGGAGACGACGCGCTATAGCAGCGAAGATCTTCACCGGCCTGCGCACCTACGGAAACTACGATCTTCCGAAACATTGCGACAACAACGAGGTGCTCAAGGCAGTGTGCAAAGAGGCCGGCTGGATCGTCGAGGAGGACGGCACGACTTACCGAAAGGTACACGCTAATCCGCGCCGCGCTGCGTCGCTCCAACGCACACTTCTTTTGCCTCTATTCCACGGACGAAAACCTATCTGTTTGCATATTATTTATTTTTCCATGTATCGTTCTACCGTTCTTCGTTGCCGACTTCTCATACATACCGTTTTTTTTTTTTTTTTTTTTCGTCTCCGCGTTTCAGGGTCAGCCTCGTCCACAGCAACCGGAGCCGTCAGCAGGAATCGACTCCGCGTACCCCACAGACAGCGCCGTGCAACCCTACGCGTCTTCCAATGCCAACGCCCTCGATAGTACCGACTACGACCATCCAGCGTCTCTTGCGGGAAGCACCGACCATGGCCGCGGCCCCGTCAACGGCGTCGGTGTCACGATGCACGGGCGGGATGCCGGACTCACTGCCGTTGGCGCCGCCGCCGCCGCTCCGATGGTTGAAAATAGACCTGCGCCCGGAGGAGGAAGCTCGAGTGGAACTATCCAGACTGGCGGAACTGCGCTGGCTGGCGGAGCGGCAGCGCCGCCGGCAGCGGAGCTGCTGAAGCTCATGTCCGCGCTCGCCGCTTTCCCCGCGGCGGCGGCGCAGCTGGGCGCAGCGCTGAACTCTTCCGCCGCGTCCCTTGCGGCCGTTGCGTCGTCGCTCGGCCTCCCTCCGTCGTTCGCCTCGTCGTCGGACGTGCAGCAGGTGCTGATGTTGCTCGCTAAAGGAGGTGCTAATAACGGGGATCAGTCGCTGCCTGGTAGTCGACCGCCTGCTCCCGCTTCTTCCGCCGTGCCGTCGGATCTCTACTCTCTGCTGCAGTCGTCTCGTAGCGCTGCCGCACCGTCCTCGGCAATCCCAAGACCGATGGCTCCTGCCCATGCAGCCAATCCCGTGGTTCCGCTGCATCCGCTGCAGCAACATCAGCAGCATCCACAATATCAGCCGCAGCAGCAGCAGCATCAGCAACAACTTCAGCAACAGCTGGCTTTCTCTCATCAACAACAACATCAGCAGCAGCAGCAGCAGCACCACCACCAACAGCAGCAGTTGCTGCTCGGTCTGCTTCAAGGCGCTTCCAACGTCGTCCAGTCTTCCGCATCTTCCTCTCTCCCTCCCGCCGTTGCTCCTCCCCCCGACCGTTCCATGCCTGCTCCTTCCCCGAGCGGCAACTTCAGCGGCGGCGCGCACAACAGCATCAGCCCTCAGTGCGGAAGCGCGACACGCGGCGGAACCCTCGGACCTCAACGAACGGTGGAGTTTAAATCCGCGGGAGGGAAGGACAGCAAGTGGGCAGCAGGTGTGCGGCGCATGGCGACGAGCTGGGATGTAGAGGCGCCCATGAAGCCCCCCCCTGTGATGCGCTCAGACGACCTTGAGCTCAGCCTTGGCCTTGGCTAAATGCCAATAGCAAGGGCCTTGGGTATCTTGGAAGTGTCTTGTAAGGCCATACTGGGATTTTTCTTCCCGGACAGATCATCCCAGTATGGCCTTACAGAGCTGCACCGCACCAGCTTGTGAAGGATGGTACCTAGTACTGGGTACAAACAACACATGCTGGGATTTCTATCGCAAGCTGAGAACGCGTGTTGCGGGAGTGGAGAACGCCAAATGGCCTGCTGCACTGCTGCATGCTCATGGATCCAGTCCAGAGCGCTTGCTGCTCCATATTTTTTTTTGCATGAGACAAGGACTTGGCATAATCTGTCCCTTGGCTGAAGCATGTCTGTTTCTGAGTGCTTGGGTTCCGTTGTGTGATAAATTATCCGTCTTGATATATTTGCTACTTTGTGCTATAACTAGATGTACTTTGAACATTTGCTAGGTCTTCAATAAAAACGTATTATCGGTTTGTTATTGCTGAAGCTGCAATAATATAAAGCCTGAAATGCAGTGAGCTGACATGCAACGAAGTCATAGGTTACAGGCCGCTTGAAGCTTTCGTTGGCAGTCACTCCCCTCTATACGAACTTGCACGACCATCACCCCTCGCACCACTGACGTTTCCTGTTGGCGCACTGTGCTGAGTTTCCCGCCACTCTGCAGGTCACTTATCGCTTCAACCTGACGCCTCTGGATTGTCGAACAGCCACAGACTCTCACCGCACTCTACCCTACACCACTTCATCTCAACCTTAGTTTCTGTCCTTGCCTCCATTGCTGAACCCTTTTCAAGTCAAGCAGCTTTTCAAATTTCGAACTAGCATTTTGGACTCGCAAACAAGAACACCATGCCATTTCGTGGAATTCAGGGCGTGTCCAATACAGCTCACCTCGCGCTACAGTTACCACTTTTTCGAATTGTAACCACATTTTTACATCTTTTTTGGACACGAACACCTATGATACGTAAACCAGTAACAGCCCACACGTGCGCCGAATCGTTAACATGACGCGAAACGCACGTAACAAACCTCAGAATCAGACTTGCACGCGCCCACGTTGCTACAGTGACGGTTCAACGAAGTCAAGGCCGAATTTCGTGAGAATCTGGGGTTTTCGCGAAACTGAATCTTGCGAATATTTCTGGGAATCGAATTGTCGCCCTTCTGGTTACAGAGTTGTGCTGTCGCCACTGTCGCGCAACATGATGTTCGGCTTGTGCTGAGGGGCGAATTGTGTCTTTCCGCACATTTTTGGACGCGAAACCAGAAGGGTACACCTGGCGGTACTGTTTCTGTGAGTGATTCAAAATACGTTTAAATTTAGTAAAAATCCCAAAGTGTACGCGCTGGACACGCCCTCAGAGGCATGGTCGCGCGCTTCAGACTCGCGTGCGCAAGCTCCTCCTGACACTTCGTATAAGGGATAGATGTCCCTTAGCAGCTTGCGCAAGCCATCCCTGTTCGTCATTCAGTTGCCGACATTTAGAGACTCCTTTAGCGCTTATGCAAGCCATTCCTGTTTGTTAATAAGCTATAAACCATTTAGAGACTCCCTTTTTCTTGTCTGAAAACTGGATTTCCTCAAAATGGCGAGCTTCGGGACTCCCGAGGCTTTCGAGGCTATGCGAGCAGTTCTAGGCACCGAGCCGTCGGAAACGTCGCTCTTCAGAGCACTCTATCTCGCGCGAGGCGACGTCGCGAAGGCGATAAACTACCACTTAGACCTTGTTCAGGTTGAAAAGTTCACGCTCGAACAGTTAGCTTCATCGCGTCAACCGCTTCCCCTCGCCTCCCCTCCGCCGAAAACGGGCGGAGAGCTTTTAGCGCTTCCGCCACCCCAACCGCACCCCGTTACCGCCACCTCTCCGCCGCTCTCCCCGCGCCCCCCTTGTGTCGCCGCTGCTTCTCTTGCAGAAAAAAAGATCGGAGAAAATAATGCGCCGGAGGTTGCGGGAGCGGCAATGGAGGAAGCCGCGATGCCGGAAGCGGGCGTAGCCGTTGATCCTGCGGAGCGCGGAGGAGGCTCTGCGCTTTTCGAGGCAGAGGCGACTCGTCGAACGGGCGCTATCACTGGTGGAGACTGCACATCACATTCCCCGTTCGAAGAACCAAATGCTGGCGCTTCACCGCCCGCAGCGTTGAGCCTTTCCCCGGACAGCATCCGCGAGCCCGCGCATCCCGAGGCGGAGTGTCAGTTCGCGGGGAACGGTGCGATCGGAGGCGGAGTTGGCTCAGTGGGCGCACCTTGTGCCGCAGTTTCCCCCGACGGTGCGCCAAACGATGATGCAGTTCCCCCCACGTCGAGGATTTCCCCGGACACCGTGGTTGAGCCCGTGCCTAGCACCTTAGAGACTCTCCCCGTATGTTCCAGCGCAAACCGTGGCCCTGGCGGAGAGTGCGCAGTGCACTCGCCTTGCGCTGCAGTTTCCCCGCGCGAGGAGCCGCGCGCACACCAAACGCAGCCGTTTGCTGAATCCTCCCCGCTAGACTCAATGGATCCGCCTGATTCAGTGCCGCCCCTATCTCCATCGGTAGTGCCGCCCACATCTACAGTATCACCTGTAGCTACGGCTCAACCCCTTTCCAAAGTTTCCCCCGTATCTACAGTTCCTCCCACATCTACAATCCCCCCGTTATCTACAGATGCTCCTATATCTACAGTTCCTCCCGTTTCTATAGATGATCGCATGCCTACAGTTCCTCCCGTTCCAACAAATGCTCCCATGCCTACAGTTGCTACTGTAGCTACTGCACTCCCTCCCGTAACTGAACTTCCACGTCAGCAACCAGTCCCCATCGACCCGTTACCGCATCCGAAGCTGAAGAACCAGTGGAGAGAAGCGAAGGCGGAAGCGTCGCGCTGGTGGCTCCTGGGAGAGCGCCAGCTGTCCTGCGTCTCGCTGACACGTGGCGCCAAGGTGGAAGCGTTCGACCCCGTAGATTTCCACTTCCCGAAAGGCGAGGCGAGCGGTGGTGGCGAGGGGAGCGGACACGTTGGCGGAAAGCAGGGCGGAAAGGATGGCGGAAGGGCGCGCGGAAGGCCGCCCAAGTGGAGCAAGACGTTATCCCGGGTGTCGTCCGCTGGGAGCTCAATCGTCCGCTTTGGGACAAAGCGAGGAGGCGAGGTACGAGCCCCCCCTCAGAGAGAACATTGCTTGTAGTGAAAAGACTTTTGCGGCGCCTTAAAAAGTATCTTCGGGTGTCGTCCGCTGGGAGCTCTATTGCCCGCTTTGGGACAAAGCGAGTAGGCGAGGTACGTGCCTTCAGTTAAGAGTGAACCCCGCGTGTAGTGAAAAGGCTTTTAAATTGCCAGTCTTTTCGGGGGTCGACTGCTGGGAGCTCCATTGTCCGCTTTGGAATGGCCAGAGGAGGGGAGGTATCCCTCACTCCACTTCCTAGTCCGTTTTCTTCCTCGCCCGCTCAATCTCTCCCTCTCACCGCCTCTCCTTCCCCCCTCTCCATCCCCGCTTCATGTCCGCCCCTCCTACCCACTTCGCTCCCCCCTTTCGCGCGGCTGCCAGGTGGGATCGCTCCCGCGAGAGTGGGCAGCGGCGCTGATACCACTGGAGGCGGAGGGGAAGGTCAGGCTGCGCGGATATGTGTGCTCCGCGCCGCCATGCCTCGCCATGTTCTCCGAGATCCTACTCACTGTCAGGTGCGTTATGCCAACTCAGGTGCGGTATGCAACTGCAATATAATTAGTTTTTGCTCCTTTCAGTGTGCTCCCTTCTAGGGGGTTCGTGCAGTGGTGCTGTTTCCAGAACTCTGTTCCTAGGGCGCTTCAGGAGCCCATTGCTCATTGCTCGCGGCTCATTGCTCGCTGCTCTCTCGCGGCTCCTTGGTTGCTCCATGCCAGGTGTGCGTGCAATGAGCCGTGTTTTGAGTCGACTCAAAACATTTTCCATGCCAGGTGTGCGTGCAGCAGTGGTGCCTTTGGAAATACATTCTTAACGGGCCTCAGAGGTTGAGTTGGAGCACTTGTGTGCGCTCGCTCCTCCTTTCTCCGTGCTCCATGGCAGGGTGTACGTGCAGCAGTGCTGCTTCCAGAAGCTCACTCGGGTGAAGGAGCGCGCAGCACACGCGCTGTATGTCTGCACAGCCGCCCACATCACCAGGCTGCTGCGCTTCCTGGAGCTGCGCCCTACCCGCCCGGTGGGTCTTGGAAACTGCTTCTGGTAGGTAGATTTATCGGAACTGTACAAAATAGTAATATTAATAACAAAATAAATTCAAATCCGTCACAAACCTGGAGCAGGTTGAGGGAAATAATCAGTCGACCATCCGGCCAGACAAATTCTTCCGCACCCCTACTTCTGCCATGGGAACTCCCCTTGTAATCACTCCTCGATCCCCTCGATCCCCGTTCTTCCCCCATGCTTCTCCCCCGCGCCCCTCCTGCTGTGGCGTGTGCTGTGCAGGCGGAGTTCACTCCAGCGGATTTCAACCATCACACAGAGAAGCTGGGCTTTAGCTTTGCCTTTGCAGACCGGGTGAGCACCAGGGATTGGGATCTTTGAGGCGCCTTAAAAAAGCCCGTCTTTGCTGACCGGGTTTGTTTTGAGGCGTTTCAAAAGCCAGGTGAGCACCTGGGCTTGGGATCTGCTTCACTTCACCCATGTTTTCCCCACTCACCCAAGTGTTTCTCATTCTGTCTGTCCTCGTGCCCCTCCTACTCTCCTCGCGACCCGCCCACTTTCCTCACACCCGTCCCCCTCCCTCCCACGTGGGCTGCCCTCGCTCCAATATATACACACACACACATATATATATATACATATATATATATATATATATATATATATATATGTTTCCATGAGCTCTCCCCTCAATGGCCCCCTTTTTCCTGTGCGCTTTCCTCAATGCCCCCCCTTCTCCCCCACGCCCGCCGCCCTCATTCCATCTGCCAGCAGGCAGCGACTAAGAGAGTGCGGGCAACTGCAGGAGGGGGTGAGAGTAACGAGGGGGGGGAGGAGGAGGCAAAGTCGATGACAGATGAGGAGGTGAACCGCTACGTGGGTGTCACCACCAACAATCAAGCGCTGCCAGTGGGTTGGGTTGGGACTTCCTTCACTTTTCTGTCTGCTGATGTTTGAGTCAACGGGCGATAGGGCGATGACAGATGAGGACTTGAACCGCTACGTGGGTGTCACCACCAACAATCAAGTGCTGCCGGTGGGTTGGGTTGGGACTTCCTTCACTTTTCTGTCTGCTGATGTTTGAGTCAACGGGCGATAGGGCGATGACAGATGAGGAGGTGAACCGCTACGTGGGTGTCACCACCAACAATCAAGCGCTGCCGGTGGGTTGGGTTGGGACTTCCTTCACTTTTCTGTCTGCTGATGTTTGAGTCAACGGGCGATAGGTTGATGACAGATGAGGACTTGAACCGCTACGTGGGTGTCACCACCATCAATCAAGCGCTGCCGGTGGGTTGGGTTGGGACTTCCTTCACTTTTCTGTCTGCTGATGTTTGAGTCAACGGGCGATAGGGCGATGACAGATGAGGACTTGAACCGCTACGTGGGTGTCACCACCAAAAACCAGGCGCTGCCAGTGAGTTGGGTTGGAGCCGCCTGTCCCAGGCCTTAATTTCCTCACGCCCACTCCCTCCATGTCGCCCTCCGCACACCTCTTGGCAGGAAACGGAGCCTCCCCCGGGTGTGACCTCGCAGCTGCGGTGCTACCAGAAGCAGACGCTGCACTGGATGCTGTCCATGGAGGCTTTGGGACGGGGTAGTCTGTGCCAGGACTTGATTTCCTCACACCCATTCCCTCCCTGTCACCCGTCACACGCCTCTTGCCAGGAGATGGAGCCTCCCCCGGGTGTGACCTCGCAGCTGCGGTGCTACCAGAAGCAGGCGCTGCACTGGATGCTGTCCATGGAGGCTTTGGGACGGGGTAGTCTGTGCCAGGACTTGATTTCCTCACACCCATTCCCTCCCTGTCACCCGTCACACGCCTCTTGCCAGGAGATGGAGCCTCCCCCGGGTGTGACCTCGCAGCTGCGGTGCTACCAGAAGCAGGCGCTGCACTGGATGCTGTCCATGGAGGCCCTTGGGCAGACCGTGCCGGGGATTGGCGAGCTTGTGCCGGGGAATGGCCAGGCCGTGCCAGGGATTGGCGAGCTTGTGCCGGGGAATGGCCAGGCCGTGCCAGGGATTGGCGAGCTTGTGCCGGGGAATGGCCAGGCCGTGCCAGGGAATGCTGCAACTGCTGAAGTCTCCACTTCTCTATGTCCAGGAGCTGCTGATGCCAGTGGTACTGCTGCTGCTGCTGCTGCTGCTGCTGCCGATGGTGGTGGCGGTGCTGGTGGTGGCAAGAGGACGAGTGCAGTGAACGAGTGTGATGCGCTGCACCCGTGTTGGGAGGAGTACACGCTTCAGCACAAGTGCGTGAGTGAGAGAATCAAAGTCCCAACGCCGTGGGCCCACAGCATCTTTGCCCACTGCACACTCCGCAGTCCCCATCAAATCCCGTTTTGTGAGAAATCACAAAAAACAGGTTCCCCATCACATTCCATGTGGCCCTCATTCAACTTTTGAGAATTCTCTGAAGTGACATTCCCCATCACATTCCATTCTCCATGTTCCAGGCTGCACTGCGCGTGTTTCAGATGCACCACTCTGGACTGTTCTTCCGGTTTTCCCTTTGCATTCATCTGTGCGCCCCCTCCCTTAACCCCTCACCCCGGTCCCCTCTGAATCCCTTTATCCTTCTCCTCCCTCTTCCATCCCCCTCACCATCTCCCCACCTCAATTCTCTTCGCACTCACATCCACCTCGTTTCTTTAACCCTGCTTCCTCCGCCCTCTCAGTGGCGGCACGCCGTTCTACCACAACGTTTTCTCAGGGGAAGTTACCCTGGAGTTTCCAAGCGCAATGGAGAGAAGCAGGGGAGGGGTGAGTGGGAAGAGGCGGAGGATATTGAGGGAGTTAGGGGTGTTGGGTGGTGGAGGGGAAACGGGATTGGAACATTGAACCCATGGATTTAGACAAGTCAACTATCATTGTCAAGAACAGCGAGTTTTGAGGCGAAATTTGAGGCGAAATTTGAGGCGCCTCAAAAATCAGAACATTGAACCCATGGATCTGGACAAGTCAAATGTTACTGTCAATAACAGTGAGTTCCAATGGGATTAGCAACATTGCTTCTAATTCTCCATGTGTATTGAGTTTTGAGACGTATCAGGACTTCTTTGCACCTACCCCTTCCGCTACCCTCCACCCCCGTTTCCCCCTCTTTCCCTCGATTTTCCTCACTTCATTCAGAGTCTAGCAGGCACGATGGGCTTATGCTAGACAGGTATGGACCGTTACACTGGTTTAAACTCGTCTTTCCCTGTCCCCCCTCTTTTCCCCTTCCTGCCTCACCTCTCGCGCCTTCCCTTGGGTCAGATTCTAGCAGACGCCATGGGTCTGGGCAAGACGGTCATGACCATTGCTCTCATTGCTGCGAGCAGGGCGAACAGGGAGAGGGGGAAGGCGATGGCGACGGGAACAAGGGGGAAACTGGGAGGAGTGGTGGGGAAGATGGACGGAGGAGGGTCGGGGAAACAAGTGAGGGATGAGAGGCGAGGTGGTAATAGAAACGGGGAATGCGCTGTTTCCAATGGTGCTGACTGTAAGCAGGACGAGGAGGCAGCTGGGGGTGTGAAGCGGAAGAGAGGGGAGTGCAGTGCGGTGGCGGGAGAAGGGAGAGGTGTTCGTGTTGGTTCAAGGAGGAAGAAGCGAGTGAAAAGGGAGGCGGGCGAGGGTGTGATGGGAGAGGGGGAGGGGGGAACAGGAGAAGGAGGTGACGTATGGTTTTCAGACCAGGATGAGGATGAGGAAGAGGATGAGGATGAGGATAAGGATAAGGATAAGGATGGAGACTATTTGCCTGGTGAGGAGGGAGGCGATATTGGTGCCGATGCCGGCGGATCTGACAGCGATGCAGAGGTGCAGGAGGTTGGAGGTGACACGTGGAGGGCGGAAGAGACACCAGAGGAGATGCAAGCGGAGGGTGGTAGGGAGGTAGAGGAGTGGAATGGCAGGGGCGGCAACAGCAGCAGGGACAGGAGGGTGCAAGGAGGGACGCTCATAGTGTGCCCCATGTCGCTCCTCAGCCAGTGGAAGGTGCGCGCTCTGCCCGCTTGCTCCTATGCTTTCTCACCCACCTTTTCTCAAACGTCTCTCCTGTGTCTTCTTCCGAATCTATACTTCCTGGGGAAGGGGAAGGTGTTCTCTCCAGGAAGCCCTTTGCGAGCAAGTGGAAGGTGCGCTTTCTGCCCTGTGGCATCTCGTCTCCTGCGGCATCTCCCCCGTCGCATTTCACCCCTCTCTTAATCTTCCCCTGCTGGCATCCATAATCCAGGGAGAGAGCAGAGCGGGTACTCCGCTCTGCTCTCCCCCTCCCTCCTCTCCCTCTTTCCCTCCCCTCAACCTCAGGCCGAGTATGAGGCGCACACAGCGCCGGGTGTGCTGTCAGTGATGGCGTACCATGGCTTGCAGCGGCAGAAATGTCAAGCTTGGTCTCTGTGAAATGTATTGGCTGTCAAATATATCTTTTGTCAAATGAATTTTCTGTCATTGTTTCCCCTTCTTCTCTCCTCCACAGGCCGAGTGTGAGGCGCACACAGCGCCAGGTGTGCTGTCAGTGATGGTCTACTATGGCTCGCAGCGGCGCGATTTTGAAGCGCGCTATCTGGCGAAGCATGATGTAGTCATCACCACGTATGGCACACTGCAAGCCGAGTACAAGGTGAGACGGCCTTTCATGAGATAACTCGTTAGGCGCTTTTTTCTTCTTCTTATTTTTCTAGTTTGCCTTGTGAATTGTCGTCCAGATTGTTCACTCCCCTCCAAATTGACACAATCAAGCACCTCAGAATTGATTTTCCCTCCCTGCCGCCCCCTCCACCAAACACCCCACATCCATCCACAGGAGCTCAACAAGAAGGACAACAGGAGCGCAACACAAGACAGTGTGTTGGCGCAGCAGGCCTCTCTGCCCGCGGATTTCCTCACCTCCACCTGTTGAGCGGCCCTCCGCGGCCCTCCGCCGGTCCTGTTTCTGAAGTGCCTTACAAATAGTCTCCATTTCCTTCCAACACCTCCCACCCCGTCTTCTTCCATCCACAGAAGTTCAACAAGAAGGCAGCAGAGGACAGCGTGGCAGCACAGCAGGTCCCCCTCCCCGCGGAGTTCCTGACCTCCGCCTGCACGCCCCCGCCCTCGCGCTTCAACCCGCCCCCACCACCGCCGTCCCCGGTGCGCCAGGGGCCGCTGCACAGTGTGCAGTGGTGCAGAGCGGTGCTGGACGAGGCTCATTTTATTAAGAACCGTGCGTCTGGTGCTGCTGCTGCCACCTTCGCCCTCCAAGCCGATGCCCGCTGGTGCCTCACTGGCACGCCCATCCAGGTGAGCGGAGAGGGGAGGGGGTAAGGGGGAAGGGGCAGTGGAACAAATCGTGCGATCCACACGTTGTGGTGGTTGTTAACTCAAGACGACAGTGCTGCTGCCACCTTTGCCCTGCAAGCCGATGCCCGCTGGTGCCTCACAGGCACGCCCATCCAGGTGAGAGGGGAGAGAGAGGAGGGGGGTAGTGGGGTGGTACGGACAGGAAAGAGGGACGCGAAACAAAGGGTGGGGTGTGATCCACAGTGTTGGGGCTGCTGAGTCAAGGCAACAGTGCTGCTGCCACCTTCGCCCTGCAAGCTGATGCGCGGTGGTGCCTCACTGGCACGCCCATCCAGGTGAGGGGAGAGAGGAGGGGGAAAATGGGGTGGCATGGGGGTAAGCGGCATGGGGGTAAGCGGGGCGTGGAACAGAGGGTGTGATACACAAAGTGCTGTGTGTGGCGGTTGAATCAATTCCGTAGTTCCCTCTCTGCCTTAGCAAGGTGGTGTCAGAGTGTTGGGGAGGGAGGGATGACGGGGAGACGGCAAGAGGAGGGAGGTGATAGAGAGGATGTTGAGCTGACTCGAATCACTTGATGGCTTACCAGTTTGGTTTTCTCAACAGCCATCCTGTCTGGGATGCTGTGTCCGATCCTGGCACGATGTGGCACATGGCATGACGTGGCATGATGTGGCATGACGTGGCAGAACCAACTGGAGGACGTGTACAGTCTGCTGCGCTTCCTGAGGGTGCAGCCGTGGGACAACTGGGGGTGGTGGCAGCGCCTGGTGCAGCAGCCGTACGAGCGCGGGGACATGAGAAGCATCAAGCTGCTGCAGGGGCTGCTGAAGCCGCTCATGCTGCGACGAACCAAGGACTCCAAAGACAGGTAATCTTGGGCTGGGCTGGGCTGTACCTCCAAAGGTAGGCATGTGTTTTGAGATCCGTACGTTGCTGCACTTTCCTCACTCTCTTGGTCCTCCACATGAAAGGATGAACCTTGTTCCTTAACATTGCTCCCCTCCAATATGCCGCTTTCTGCAGTTTGAAATATTTGTTTTACTATCATTGTATATAGCTTCTGGCAATAATGTAGTTTTAGGAACTTATTCCACCCCCTGTGAATACCAACGCACCGAAACTCTCCGCTTTTTGAATTCTCATTCGTCTTAATCACCCATTCTCTCTGTCTCTGTCTCTGTGCCTGGTCTGGCTTCAGGAACGGGCAACCCATCCTTCTGCTGCCGCCCATATCTTTCCGTGTGATCTCGTGTGAGTTCTCCGCGGAGGAAAGGGACTTCTACGACGCATTGCATAATAAGTCCAAGGTATGCCGCCCAGCACAACAGATTCAAGGTATGCCGCCTGGCACAACAAGTCACGGCTCAAAGTACCACCACCTATGCTGCACGGCGTGATGCTCAGGTTTGGCGAGCAAGTTTGCTTCACTCCTCTTCCTTATCCGTGCCCCATCATCCGTCTCTCTCCTTCCTCCCATACCTCTCCACCACGTCAAGTTCGACAGCTTTGAGGCTCAGGGCCGATCGTTGCACATCTGCCTTCCATTCGTCCTTCCTTCCTTCCTTCCTTCTCTCCCTCCCTCCCTCCCTCCCTCCCTCCCTCCCTCCCTCCCTCCCTCCCTCCCTCCCTCCCTCCCTCCCTCCCTCCCTCCCTCCCTCCCTCCCTCCCTCTGCGCTCCACCCCATTCCTTTCCTCCCCACCGCCCCCCACAAGGTCAAGTTTGACAGCTTTGTGGCGCAAGGACGAGTGCTGCACAACTACTCTTCCTCCCACTCTCTCACACGTTCTCTACTGTCTCTGCGCACCACTTCCCTCTCCCTCTCCCCATTGCCTCCCCACCCCACCAGGTCAAGTTCGACAGCTTCGTGGCGCAGGGCCGAGTGCTGCACAACTATGCCTCCATTCTTGAGATGCTGCTGCGCCTGCGCCAGGTGGGTGCTGGGTGGTGCTGCTGGGTGCAGAGGAGGGTGCTGTGTGGTGGGTATGGGACGAGTGCTGCACAACTATGCCTCCATTCTCGAGATGCTGCTGCGCCTGCTCCAGGTGGGGGGCGGCTGCTGGTGCTGGGTTCTGGGTGCTGTGTGGTGGTGCTTGGTGCCGGGTGGTGGTGGTGGGCGTTGGGTGTTGCAGGTTGTGGTGGGTGATGGGTATGGATAGGGTGCTGCACAACCACGCCCCCATCCTTCAGATGCTGCTGTGCCTGCGCCAGCTGGGGTGACAGGTGGTGTCGGTGAGTGCTGGGCGGTGCTGGTGCTGTGCGGTGGTGGTGGGTTCTGGGTGGTGGGTGTTCGGTTCTGGGTGATAAGTATGGGTGGTGGGCGGCCAGACGGCATGCATCACATGGGCTCCTTCGCGCTGCTGGGTTTTGGACCTCTTGAGACGCCTCAACACGAAACGCTCCTTCTTTCTTCCCCTCCTTTTTTTTTTAAAATTCTCAAAAAACAGGTTTCGACCTCTTGAGACGCCTCAACAAGAAAATGGTCCTTCTTTCTTCCCCTCCTTACTTCCCTTCCCTCAATCCCACTTACGCACCAACCAGGTGTGCGACCACCCGTTTCTCGTTTTGAGCCGCTCTGACACAATGGACGACGAGGACCTCAGCAAGCTGGGACGAAAGTTCCTTGCAGCTTCCTCACAAGGAACAGCAGGGTCCGCCGCTGCTGCTGCTGCTGCTGCTTCTGCTGCTGGTGCTGGTGGCACCACCACGACTGCCGATGCTGCTGCCACCGGTGCAGGAGCATGGGGAGAAGCAGGCAGCAGCTGTCCTATTGGGTGGGACCACGGGGACGAAACCCACGAGTCCCACAAGGGCCCGTCCCGGGAGTATGTGCAGTCAGTAATGGAACAACTGAAGAGGAGGAGAGAGGGGTTAACGCAGGGAGGGGACGAGTGTCCGGTGTGTTTGGAGGCGGCAGAGGATGCGGTGTTCATGCCCTGTGCGCACATTGCGTGCCGCGAGTGCCTGCTCACCGCCTGGAGGCCTTCAGTCAATGGCCCTTGTCCTGTCTGCCGGTACGTGTTGCTTGTTTGTTTTTTTCAATGTATCAGCTAGTGAACTGAACTCGTCATATCTGCATGATAACCTTTCGAAAAGATAAAGGTACATTCCATGTCGCTTATTGCTCAACCCTTTTAGAACACACAATCCTTCTTCTGTCGCCGCTACAAGCATTGTGAGTCGATTCAGAGATCAATCCCCCCTGCGTTTTCCCAACAATCTTCCCTCCTGCCAACCCCTTCCAATCCAGTCGGCCAATCCTGCGCTCCCAGCTCATCACAGTGCCACGTGCCAGCCGCTTCTCATTGGACGTGGAGGCCAGCTGGCAGGACTCTGTGAAGGTCCGCCAGCTGCTACAGTGCCTGGGGGAGATCCGGGCGGCATCGGCTTGGAAGGGAGCGAATGGGGGGGGAGGAGGAGAGAAGAGCGTGGTTTTCAGCCAGTGGACGGCATTTCTTGACTTGTTGGAGATCGCATTTAAGAGGTGTGAAGGGCGGTTTGTTTTCTACGCACTTGAAAAATATGTCTCTTGACCTGCTGGAGGTCGCACTCAAAAGGTTGTGAATAGGGGGCTATTTCCAAGGCACTTCAGAAAAAAGTAGTTTCTTGACTTGTTGGAAATTGTACCTCCAAAGGTGTTAAGAGAGAGGGCAAGCCCAGGCGAGTGCGAAGGACTTTTCCTCTAAAGTACGAGGCACTTTCCCGATTCGCCTCATTGCTCTCTCCCACTCCATCCCTTTGTCTGTGCAGAGCAAAGGTGCCATACGTGAGATGCAAGTGAATGGCAGAATGAGATGTTCTTCACTGATTTGCTTTCTCCTCCTATCTCTCCTTCCCCATCACTTGATGTGGTCTGTGGATGCATGCAGGGCCAAGGTGCTGTATGTGCGGCTGGACGGCAGCATGTCGCAGCAGCAGCGGGAGAGGGCGATTAACGAGTTCCGGGAGAATCCCAAGGTGGAGGTGCTGCTGGTGTCACTTAAGGCGGGCGGCGTGGGGCTCAACCTCACCGCAGCCTCCCATGCCTTTGTCATGGTACGTTCAATAAAAAAACTCCTAACACGCGCTCCTCATGGCATTCAAGGAGAATCCCAAGGTGGAGGTGCTGCTGGTGTCACTCAAAGCAGGCGGCGTGGGGCTCAACCTCACTGCTGCCTCACACGCCTTTGTCATGGTATGTTTCGAACATCAAACATGCAGTAACAGTAACAGTTATAGTAAACCTTGCTTACGATACGAACGGGCGTTCCTCATAGTGGTAGCGCCGTCTCACCCTTGTGTTCTCTGCTCCATCCCACCCAACCCCTCAGGACCCCTGGTGGAACCCGTCAGTGGAGGAGCAGGCAGTGATGAGAGTGCACCGCATAGGGCAGACTCGCCCTGTTACAGTAACGCGCTTCATAGTGCGCGACTCAGTAGAGGAGCGCATGCAGAAGGTGCAGCTGCGCAAGGATCAGATGGTGCAGGGAGCACTCATGGATGATGGCGCACGCAGTGCAAGGATCAACGAGCTCAAAATGCTCTTTAGATAGGTAGTAGTACCAGGGTAGATGTTTACAGGTACAGGGGTAGATATAAAGTTTGACATGGTAGTCAATGCTAATGTAAAGGTAATGTAGCGGTAATGAAAATGTAGCGTCTGAAGTTGTATCAAGGATGTCGTGAACGCATGGCAAAAAGTTGTTTCCCTGGCCGGTGAGATCACCGGGATCAAGAATGCACTACAAACAATACATTCCATATATGGAGCAGTGGGGCAGTGGCAGATGTTATTGCGTGATACAGCCAGTGCTGGTGATTAGTGGGGACTCTTTATTGCTAATCCACCCTACGCAACATATTAGGGAGGGAAAGGTGCCTTGTTTGACAGCCCAACGGGCAGCACAGGCCTTATTGACTGTTCCTTCAAATTCCCTATTCTGTAGTTGATTGATACATTTTGAATAATATATCTGTTTGCGTGGAAGGGAGCAGCCTTAGCATGAGCATAAGGAATGTACAATATTGAGGGTCTTTTAGCTAGTGTCACATTTCCATATCATCATCATCTACATCATCTAGCTGGAAGCACGTGCCTGCAGCGCCTATTCCCTGTGATGACTGGTGATTTTGCGACGGTGGTAACCCGTTTCGCGACTGATGAAACATGCCTCGTGACTGGCCGAAGCTGGAAAACGAGGAGCACGATTCACCTTCTCCGACAACCCCCCAACCCCGCGCTGCTCCCCACATTCCGGTTCCGCTGGTTTCCCCCGACGAAGACTCACACGAACCCGCTCCCCCACATTCCGCGCGCTGTTGCGGATAAGAGGCCATGCCCCCCGTAGCGCACGCTGACGCGCATCCCGCTGCTACGGACGTGCCCGCAGTTGCCGTATGTGACCGTTGCGATTGCCAGCCATTCGAGCCACTCGCGCCACTGCTAGAGCCACTCCAACTTGCGCACATGCTCTCGGGCGCGTTTCTCGCCACCTTGTCCGCCGCGTCCAGCGCCGGATGCTGCGGCGGCGCCGACGCGATCTGCATGTTCCAAGCGCCCCACCGGATGTGCGGAACGCGCAGCCACGGGCTCGACCAGGACAGACGCGGGACGGTCACAGTGAGCGACCCCACCGTGTGCGCTGCCGTCGCGCGCTCTGGACTCGCGTCAAACGGTAACTTAAACCGGCACCCGAACTTCCACGGGTTAGATATCGACGAATGAATGCTGCTACTGCTGCAGCTGTTGCAGAAAGAGCTCGTGCCTGGCGGTGCTGGGAGCAACGAGCGCTCGCAATGACGCGAGCAAAAAATGGTCAGAAGCGCACCATCACGGCACAAATCAGGATCGCCATCCACCTCAGCGGTAGACGTTCCCCGCATTCCGCAGGCTCTTCCTCCGCCATTCCGAGCCGCAAACCGGCCAGGACCCCCTCCCTGATCTGTACAGCCATTTGGGCAAGGCGAGCTCGACTGTCCAGATTCACTGGACTCAACTCGTTCCACGACCACCTCCACCTCCTCCTGGCGCAACCCGTCCCTTTGGACTTCAAACGAGTACGTTTCGCCTGTCTCAGATATAAGCCACGTGGGTTTCCGGATGTCACCCTGGTACTCCTTTATAATCTCGAACTCGATAGTGGTGAAAGAGGGAGCGAAATCCCCGCTGTGCCGAAATGGCTTTCCTCGACATGAGTTTGTGTCGTACGGCTCTGGCGCTGTGGGTCTGAAGATTCCCCGTGACCTACGGGACGCCATAACAGCTACACTCCGCCAGAGAAAAACGACGGCTAAACCAAGAGAAAGCCTCTGCTTTTGCCTCGACAGGCGCGATAACTAACAAGTTGACTCGAGGTGGTGCTGCAAGATCAACCTAGGCGACGCGGCCTGTAGTCTTCAGCTAGAGAGCGTCTGCTGCAAAAAGGGAGCGGAGGGGAGGGCCAAGTCATCTCTAGGACAGGCAGTCTAGATTCTTACTGCAAGGTATGCCTAGTTGGCCAGATAGGGTATAGTCGATAACGAAGGGTACCTTCTAGAACTGGGCTGCCTGCTAGGTGAAGGTGAAGATGAGGATGAGAGCGAGGGTGAGGCAAGGGCAGCATAGTGAAGGTGAGTGATGGGTGGTGAGGTGATTCACGAGTTACGCCAACTGGTGCCAGGGGAAAAGGTTGGATTCTTTGTTCAGCTGCTAGGTTCCAACTCAGCTCCTCCATGAGGGCTTCCAGCTCCTTCGAAGTTATCCCATAGGTTGCGAAACTAGCGAGACCTCGGCGAAGCTCGTGTGTGTGCTGGAACTGGGTTGCGGAAGTACGGTGATTGCCCACTTTCGCCAACATGTTTCGGGGACAAGTTGGTTGGTGATCAGCAGCATTCTTCCCGCCTCGTGTCGCACACATCCCTGTCAAATTTGACAAAAACTCGACTCGACCCCCTCGAGCGCTATTGGAGGAGGTCTGTTCGTAAAGGCGAGGTTCGTGCGTTTCCAGCCACTCAAGTGAGCTTCTAGCAGCTTCCGCTAACCATTGGGATTGACGCATTTGGCAAGTCCCATTCCACCGTATCATACGCGCCACAAGCTCTTCGTAGTATCCCGCTGAACAACGCCAATAAAACCTAATACAATCGAATTCTTCAAAATACATCCACAGCACTCCAGTTCGAAAACGCTATCCGAAATTGTTCCAACAAAGAATGACCTGTTTGGGTACTGTTTTAGTGACACGTCACGGGACGTGACGTGGCAATATTAGGCAATTCCGTCTTTGCCATCACGTCCCTCCCCACACCATACCACACCCGCCAGACCCATCCATCTTCCCACCTTTTTCTGTTGCTCTCTCAGCATTCTTACTACTGTATCTCATCCCACCTTTCTTAATCTTTCTCAATCGATCTTGATCTCTCTCCCTTCCCTCACCATATATTCTCCGCAAATAATTTCTCTCGCCTCCTCCAATCCAAGCCCCTCCTCACAACACCACACCACCGCACCCCTTCCAACTTCTCCAACCTCACCTCTTCGCCTCCCCCCTGCGCATTCCTCTCTCACCCCTATTGTCGAATTAGGGTTTTCGCATTGCCGGACATGGCGCTCGCCTGTCCGTCCTCCGTGTCCTTCAAGTCCTTCCAAGGGCTCAAGGCCAGTCCTGCTGTCTCGTCCCAAGCGCGCATTAGTCGCTCTAATGTAGCTTTCCCGAATGCCGCGTCCAAGCGTCTGGTAGCCGTCGCGGCCGTTGCAGAGGCACCAGCAGCTGCCGGCCCGGCAGTTCTGCCGGTCCTGACCATGGACGGTGCGAACTCCGGCAAGACGGCGGAGCTGAACCTGCGGACGGCACGGCCAGAGACGGCAAAAGCCGTTGTCCACCGCGCCGTGGTCACCTACATGCAGAACAAGCGCGCGGGTACCGCGAGCACGAAGACCCGCGCGGAGGTGCGGGGAGGCGGGCGGAAGCCGATGAAGCAGAAGGGAACCGGCAGCGCTCGCCGGGGATCGCAGCGGACGCCGCTGCGCCCCGGTGGTGGTGTGGTGTTCGGGCCTAAACCCAAGGACTGGACTATTAAGATCAACAAGAAGGAGAAGCTGCTCGCCGTGGGGACCGCTCTGCAGAACGCGGCGACCGCGAATGGCGGCGCGAGCTTCATCGTGATCGAGGACGTCCACGACAAGGTCGCGGCGCCTAAGACTAAGGACTTCGTCGCGGCGCTCGCGCGGTGGGGCGTGGATTACAAGAAGGACCACGCGCTGCTGCTTACCGGCGAAGCGTCGGAGAACCTGCTGCTGTCGACGCGGAACATTGAGAATCTGAAGGTGGTGACGCCGAACGCGCTGAACATCTACGACGTGCTGCGCGCCGATAAGCTGCTGGTGACGGAGTCCGGGCTTGAGTACCTTAACCAACGGTTCGGCGATGACATTCTGTTTGTAGATGGCGAGGAGGATGAGGAGGAGGGAGAGGAGGCGTCGGATGCTTAGATTCGTTGAGGGGATGAAGGGACGGATGCCAAGAATGGGAATAGCAGGGCTTGCAGGGTTACCATGCTGGAAAGTGAAGCAGACAGGTGGACTAGAGTTGCGGTGGGTGAAAGGTAGGGGAAATGTTCACTTGCATTGGGTTTGTGTTATCTAGCCTACGGTAAGCTTCTGCTGCTGCTGCTGTCACATTTTACGTTTTTCTGAGGCATCTCCGCCTACGGCTCTTAGCTTCATGTGTACAAGCATTCTTACATTACCATACTAAGAAAACACTACCAGTGTCACGCTTAACGTGTTCCCAGATGTCTGCATTCCCACCTTTGACGAGCCTACGACTCTTTTCGCCGTCCATCATCCCCATCCCTCCCTTACCCTTCCCTTCATCCTCGCTCTATCATCTTCCGTTCTACCCTCGCTCCTCCCCTCTGAAAATACACACACACTCTCGTCACCCTCCCCTTCCCCCCTCCTCCCTTTCATCACCCGTTCCCCTCCGTCTAGTGCCTTCCCCTCCACTCCTCACACCTCCTGCCTCCGCTTCCCTCACGCCTCCTGCCTCCTCACGTCTCTTCCCCCTCTTTTCACATGCGTGCCATTTCTTCCCTCTCCCTCCTCCCCTGCTTCCATGCCCCCTCTCCTCGCTTCTTGCCAACTCTTTCCCTCCTGCCGACTCCACCTCGCTTGCCCCATTTTGGACCTTTGCCCTCTGGCAAGTTCATTCCCTCCCCTCCCAATTCCCTGCCGTGCTTTTTTCCTTCCACTCATTGCCAAATCCATTCTACCTTCTGCCGCCTGACATGCGCGTTCATCTTGTTGGCAATCATAATTAGTGCCTCACACCTATGAACTATACCTGACTAATGTTTTTACAGCATGGAACTCTAACAGGCAGGGAATTGAGGCTACCTTGAAGCAGGCTTTTGTGAAGCATGTAGGTGATGATGAACTACACTGTAGTAGAATTCAAACGTAACAGTACGCTTCCACGCCTAGGCATGGACCTTGGGTTCCTCATCACGCCTTCAATAGCGGCTCTGATTGGCTGCGAGCTTGCGCCTCGACCTTCGCAAACATATTGATTTCCTGGACCACCCTTCTGGCTTTAGTTAGACAAGTGCGCTAGTTAGAAACTGCATTGTTCCTGCAAGCGCTCCACACGCGCACCGTGCATGTCGCAAAGGTTGCGGCGACGAGGACAGCCCGGTGAAAGCCGCCAACTAAGGGAGAGCCGCTGTGCAGGTGGTTCCGACGAGCTCACTAAGTGCATGAAGCTCCATGCGTGTGCTCCCTACCAGGGCTCAATCTCTAGGCGACAAGAGAATGGAGCTCCATGCGTCCACGGAACGTCCATACCACGCCCTGCTGACGCCTCCTCGCGGCGCAAAAATCGGGTTCATGTGCCACTCCCGCTGTGTGGGCCCTGTCGGAAGTCGAGCGAATTTTGACAGACGAGCGAGGAGCCTGTTAGGAGGCTGGAGTCTCGTCACGAGGGGTCCGCATTGAGATATCATGTGCGCCATGGCGGATAGGATGTGTGTTTTTTAAGTACAGTGTCACTTCAGTGAGTCTGTGCGTGCACCCAGGCCACAGAATCGCACAGGGGTCGTGAAGCCTTTAATCGCTGGAGGAATCCTGGAGTTGGTTGCAAGTGATAAAATCAACAAGTGGGCAGTAGGGTGAACGGCTAGGTGAAGATTTATTGCGGCGCCTCAAAAGTACAATAAGCAAGTGGGCAGTGCGGACAGTGAGGTGAACGGCTAGCTGAAGCACCAGGACCAGGAAAAGGCAGGAGCAAATCCGGCACTGTAAGGAGGGAAACGAACGCAGCGGTAGGAGAAGGCAGCAGCAAATCCGCCATGGCTGCCCCATCCATGAGCACCACGGTGGCTCTTCGCAGCAAGGGCAACGCCTTCTACGCCAGTGCTTTCACCGACGGCATCAACCCGCTCCTGAAGCGCAGCCGCCTCAACATCGCCATCTCCAAGTATCGAGAGGCGCTGCGCCGCCACGTGGCAGAATCTCAGCCGTCCGCGGATGAGCTGTCTTCGTTGTGGAAGAACGTAGCTATGGTTTCATCTGCCCTGGCAGCTTGCCATGCAGATGCTTATAAGGCGTACAAGCCCCCTGTGATAGACGCTGCTGCATCGGAACGGGTCATGGTGAGAGCCATGCGCCGAGCCATGGAGGAAAGGGAGTGGGACTATAAGCAAATCGAGGAGCACTATAAGGAGGCTGTCAAGGCGTTCTGCCTGGCCCTTCTTTTTGGCAGTTGCGAGGCACGGAATAGGGCGGCAAAGGGTGGCAGCAACCGTCCAGCTCGCAGCACTCCAGCCAAACCGGAGGAGTGGCAGCAGATGGTTCTGGGATCTTTCACCGATGTGATCTCCCAAATCACGGCGTTTGCCCGCGTTGCTAGTAGCAGCACGGGGGGCAGGGCAGGGGGCATTTGCACATCTGCAGCAGGTGCCGGTGTGCGGGACAATGGAGAGCGGTTGCTGTGGGTGGTAATGGGTGCGTTTGGTGAGATGCGCGCACGGGACAGCTGGAAGCAGCACTTTGGTGATAAGGACGCTAACAAAGGTTCGCTCAATTCCCATTAAAACTTCCCCGTTCTTCTTGTTTTTACCCTTTTTTTTCACTTACTTTTTCGTGCCTATGCATGCGCCATCTTCGTCCCTTGTTGGAAAGCAGCAGTATTAGGGTATTTTCTCAGACTTCTCAGAGACTGGAAATCTGCTGCTGTCGACGCCTCCCCACACCCGCACCGCCAGTTGATTGGACAGCAACCTCCACACGCCACGTGGAGGCCTTTGCAGCCTTCCACGTGGCATTCTCTCAGTTCCTCCTGCACAAGGGCCAATCACTGCTCACCATCAACCTCGCGCGCTGCTCGCACTCCCCCCAGCCAACCACTGCGGCCGGGATCACGGCGGGGGTTAACGGTATCAATCTGGGAGCTGGGGGGAAGAAGCCGACGCAGCTGGAGGTGCAGAGGGAGAGTGCGCGGTGCTTTGCCGAGTGTGAGCGCCCGCTGCGGCTGCTGGATGATGCTCTGCTCACGCTTGAGAGAAACGTGGCGGGTGAGTGGAGGCGATGGGTAAAAAGTTTCACCGAAATTTTCAGCAAATGTTCGGTCACTCTATCGTGAAGGTTAAGTACAGGTGAGTGGGTCTGTTTACTGTGGCTCCTTGTGATTGCTTGTCTACTTGAAGCCTCGACTCCCATGCCTCTTTGGATGGTTTCTCATGTCTGCAGGAAGGTCGTGTGGTAACCAGTCGGTAACACAAGCCACCCTCACTGCCCTGCGCGATCAAGCCAAGGACCTGCAGGCCACCCACTTCACCGGCAGCTGTCTGTGTGATTCAGTTGAAACACTTGTCCGCACAATGGCCCTCTTTGCACGAGCAACAGCAGCAGAAAAAACAGATGGGGGCAGCACGGATGGCGGTAGTCCGGGCGGCAGTGCTGCTGACGTGGCGCTGCTGTGGGCGGCAGTGGATGGGTTTAAGGAGGCGGTAGTGCTGACGAGGGAGCGCCACGTGGACATGGAAGCGTATGCGCTGAGCTGGCTGGGGCATGTGTATGACGTGGCACTGCAGATGGACGACATTGGCCATCGCTACCACCAGCGCGCTGTGCAGGTACTTTTTCTGACAAAGATGGGTGACCAGATTTAAGTTGCAACTTGACTACTAGAATCCTACTGTTAGTGCAGATGGGTAACTAGTGTAGCTGGATAACCAGTGCAGCTGGTTGATTCATGCAGGGGGGTAACCAGTGCAGCAGCTCATCAGTGCATTTGCCTTCTGTGTGCCTGTCTCCCACATGCCCCTCCGCAGCTGGTGCTCTCGGCCGTGCAATCCCACCCCAAGCTCGCTCTTTCCACCTGGTACTGTGCCTCGGTAAAAGCCATTGACCGCCACCAGGCCAAGGTGAGGCGGCAGGAGGAGCAGCAGCGCGAGCAGGAGCGCGGACCTCTGCTGGCAAAGATGAAACCGGAGCTTGAAACCCTCTCCAAGATGAGTGAGAGCGGGTGGAAGCAGCTTCTGACTCACATCTACAGCAAGTACCCGCCTAAGAGCGGTAACGGGAATTTGACGTGTCCTTCGTTGAACGCGGATGATGCAAAGGCGTCGCTGCGAACAGCCATTCTGCATTACCATCCGGATAAGAACGGTGAGCATGGCGACAGGTGGAAGATCCTGTGTGAGGAGATCACCAAGTGTCTCAACGCCAAGTATCTCAGCTTCAAGTAGGTACTACAGTCTTCACCTGTGTGTTGTGCAAGTTTGCTTGGGCTCACTCAAGCAAGACTAGAGGATTCTGAATGAGAAAGCTTGGACCTGCAGTAATGAGAAAGCTGTCAGCGATGAGTTTCCGGATCCTAGTCCATATTAGGCTTCATGCTGTGGAACTGGTTGTGTGTTGTGTCTTTTCTGCTGGAAATTCTGTGCGCGACGCACGTTCAACATTGCAAACAATGATAGTGCCTCACCAAACCAAACACTACAGTACTACAGCGATTTGCTTTCAGCAGCATACTGGTAATTGGTTCCATGCGCAAACATCACAAGGCAATGCAAATAACCAAGACGTGTGCATTCAGTGTTTCACAAATCAGCAGCCCAGCCAAACACGCCAGCAAATCCGGACTTCCGGAAGCAGCTCGGTCAAGCAAGTCATGCCATCTAGATTCTTCACTGCTGCCTTTCCTCTGCTGTTCCTCCTGCTCCCTAAGGAAGCTGAAAGACCCAAGTACAGCTAGATGTTTCGATTATAACCTTGGAGCAACGTGGAAGACTTAGTCGGAGGAGAGGACGTTGAGGTACTGCTCCCACCCATCCGTCTCCAGCTGCCCTGCCTTCTCCAGCACCATGCCCTCTAGGTCCTTCTGGTACGCCACCATGCTGTGGGCAAGAGAGGAGTGGAGAGAAGTGGAGAGGAGAGGAAGGGAGTGGAGAGGAGTGGAAGGGAAGTGGGGGTTATGGAGCGAAAGAGATGGTGAGCACAAGGGGTCCGCCCTGCCTTCTCCAGCACCATGCCCTCTAGGCCCTTCTGGTATGCCACAATGCTGTGGACACGGGGAATAGAGGAGTGGAGGGGTGTGGAGAGGAATGGAGAGGAGAGGAGTGGAGTGGAGAAGACTGGAGAGAGTGGAAGGGTTTGGGGTAGGGGGGAGACTGCCTTTTCCAGCACCATGCCCTCTACCCGTCTGGTACACCACCATGCCTTGATGGTGGCGCGGAGAGAGGGGGTGGGGGGGAGGAGGGGGAAGGGGGAAGGGGGATGATGGAGGGAAATCAGAGGAACACAAGGAAACCCTGCCTTGTCAAAGACACCTGGACACCACTCGAGACTTGAAAGCGTGCAATGCTGACCAGATACGTACCGGTCCAAGAGAGCAGGATCGGACGCTCCCAGCATGCGCACGGCCAGCAGAGCAGCGTTGACTGCATTGTTGATCGCCACTGTGGCCACTGGAATGCCACGTGGCATCTGGTGATTGGAGAGGGGGAGGAACGGGAAAAGGAGGGGCAGAGAGGAGCGTTAGGGAATGGTGGGTAAGGCTGATGACAGTGCTTCAATTAAATGGACAGAAGGAGTTTAGCCAAAACAAGGAGATTTGTGAAAGCACGCCATGGCATTTTCTCTTCAAGATTCAACCACAAAATAAAAAGGAAAGCCTCAGAATCCCCCCCAGGAATCACCTGAACGATGGAGAGCAGCGAGTCCATGCCACCGAGAGCCGAGCCCTTCACTGGCACGCCAATCACCGGGAGAGGTGACATTGATGCGACCATGCCTGGTGGTCGGTGGGGGGAGGGGAGATGTGAAAGACCGAGTTTGGGTGGACGAAAGATTGTTGCTTTGGTTCTACTCGAGTTTAGGCCTGAAGCCCTTGACTGGCACGCGGGGAGAGGACATCACCAGAGGAGGTGACATGGATGCGACCATGCCTGGTGGTTGTTAGTGGGGAGAGGGGAGGGGAAAGGGAGAGGGGATGAGTGGAGAATGGTGTTGAGTTGAAGTCACGAGCAGGCTTGAAGGCACTTGAGTTGAAATGTTGGAGCATCGTACGGGTGAAAGGACGAGGTAAGAAGGGGAGAATGGGGTGCGAGAGAAAGGAGCGTCGAGGAGGGGATTGAGGAGGGGCGCGGAGGAGGGGCATAAATGCCAAGTTGCCAGTGCTCTGTTGTTTTCACCTGGCAGGTGGGCGGCACCGCCGGCGCCAGCAATGATGACTCGGATGCCCCTTGTGTGTGCTGACTGCGCGAATGAGAACATGCGGTCCGGCGTGCGATGGGCCGACACTATGGTCAGCTGGTGGGGGGGGGGGGGACGTGAGGAAACGGGAAGGGGAGATGGAAACGAGATGAGTTAAAAGGGAGAATGAGCAAGAGCCGGGAAGCAGTGGTCGGAATGAATGAGAACAAGCGGTCTGACGTGCGATGAGCCGACGCTATGGTCAACTGGAAAGGGAGACATTGGGGGGGGGGCGGGAGGGAGTAGGAGTAAAGGGGCAGGGGGGGCGGGCGGAAGGTGATGAATAACAGTGGAGAAGCAAGAGGAAGCGAACGACAATAATAGGGGAGAGGTCGTAGTAGGGGAAGGGGAAAGAGGGACGGTGAGTCATCTTTTCGAGCCATTGCTCATGCCTACCCCACAGCGCTCACCTCAAAAGGCACTTGGAAGAAATCGAGGATCTGAGCCGCCCCTTTCATGACGGGCAGGTCCGAGTCGCTGCCCATTATGATCGCCACCTGTGGCGCTGCATCGTGATGGACGGGCGATTAGGTGTGACCGGGAGAGAAAGAGGAGAGAGGGGGTGTAGGATGGAACGATTAGCTTAGCGCCCTTCATGACTGGTAGGTCCGAGTCACTGCCCATTATGATCGCCACCTGTGGCGGTGCAGAAGGTTAGGTGCAAGGGAATAAGAGGGAGTGAGAAGGATTGAGAGGGAGTAAGAGGTGGAGAGAGGGAACAGAGATCAGTGACTGGTAAGTCAGAGTAGCTTTTTCGAAATTTCCACCCGGGGCGCTGGAAACACATAAGACGAGAAAAAATCATAGCTGGTAGAGACATTCACTCCCCTTCCCCTATCTGCCACTCCCTTTCCCCTACACACTCCCCTATCATGTACCACCACCCCGTATCCCTGCTCACCTCTCCCACCCCCTCCTCACCTCGCCCATCCCCTGCCTGCCCATCTCCCATGGCGTCTGTCTGGCACAATGGCAGATAGTACCATGCACGCAACCAGCTTTCACTTAAGGCAAGGTACCAACACCACGATTCCACCCATTCCCCTCCCTACCACTCCACTTCTCCTCCCCACCACCCCATACCCCTCTTCACCCGACTCCTTCTCACCTTGCCCGTCCCCGGCCTGCCCATCCCCCATGGCTTGTGGCACGATGGCATTGATTCGCCTCACTGCCTCCTGCACCGTCGGCGCCACCACCGTCACATGCCCCATCTTGCGCTTCGCCCGCATGTCTGGGGAGGGGGAGGAGGGTGTGGGGGGAGAGGCGAAGGGGCGAGTAACAGTGAGGAAATGAGCTCTTGGAGCCACCACCGTCACATGCCCCATCTTGCGCTTGGCGCGCATGTCTGCAGTGGGAAGCAGGGTGTGGGGGGAGAGGCGGTCGAGAAAGGGAGGTGAGGGGCGACACGAGAGGTGAAGGGGCGAGGAGCAGGGGAGTGCAGAGGGAGAAAGGGCGAGAAAGGGAGTGCAGTGCAGAGGGGGAAAGGGCGAGAAAGGGAGTGCAGAGGGAGAAAGGGCGAGAAAGGGAGTGGGGGAAAGGGAGCGGGTGGGAGCGGGGTGGAGGGTGGAGGGAAAGAGGAGAGGGAAGCGAGAGTGGTGATGTGTAGGGGACAAAAGGAGAAGAAACACCGGGGGAGGGGAGAGGGGGGGGAGTGGGAGGGGGGAAGGAGGGGGGAGAAGGAGGGAGGGAGGGATGGTGGGGGAGGAGGGGACGGGGGAAAACATACGAGCAGTGAATGAACTGATTCGCCACATAAGCAATGACTGACCAGATCTTTCCAGTTAAAGTACTGACCTGACTTGTCGTACCAACCCCCCATGTGCTTCCACATGAGCACTGACCTGACTTGTCGTACCAGTGGATGGACGCCCCCGGCACCACCAGCGCCTGCTTCAGAATGGCCTGCGATATCTCAAAGCCCTCGTCTCCCTGAGAGGGGATGCACCAGATGACGCAAGGAGGGAGATGAGAGGTGGGAGATGAGAGGTGGGAGATGAGAGGTCGGAGATGGGAGGTGGGAGATGGGAGGTGGGAGATGGGAGGTAGGCAAGCAACGTTGAGAGAACCGGGGCATGATTGAGCTGCCAATTAGCATAGGCTTGGGAAGCCCTTCAAAACAAACTACGCCAACCCTCTCTCTCATCACGCCCCTCCCTCCCACCCACACTCACATCAGCCTCCCCCAGGATGTTGACCATAGCGGCAGCGCCAACTTTAAGCGAGGGGTCCCCCAGGGGCAGCCCCAGCACGGCCCTGAGGTGCTGCTCGTACTGCGACACGTGGCACGCCTCTATGCTGTAGTGCCCGCTGTTGTGCGGCCGCGGCGCCACCTCATTGAGTAGGACGGAGTTGTCGGCCAGCAGGAACAGCTCCACGCCAAAAACGCCCGCCCCGGCGAGCGAGCCGATCGCCAGCTCGGCCACTCGCAGCGCCTGCTGCTGCACTGCGGGCGGCACACCGGCCGGCACGACCACTGTGTTGCAGATGTTGTCTCTGGTGAGCGCAAGGGCGGGCGGCAGGGAAGAGGACAAGGGAAGCAGGAGAGGCAGATGATATAGGTAGAAGCTTCAAATAGAGGTGAACTCGGCTGCTCTTCAAATTGTTCTCCCTTGTCCTTCATTTCTCACCTCTCACAGCCTCTCGCCCCTCAATGTCGCTCACCACCCCTCACCACCTCTCACCACCGCTCACCGGTGGGTGGTCTCCACAACAGGGAAGCTCTTGATCTCCCCGTCCCGCCCTCTCGCCACCATCACTGCCAACTCCTGCCATGCCACGAGCACACGAGGATGGGTGTGAAGCATACGCAACAACAGAACTGACTTTTGAGTCAACTCAAAAGTCAGCTCATAGGTGTGTCTGAAGCATACGCAACAACAGAATCAAGCCATACGTAACCGACATGGGTTTTGAGGCGCCTCAAAACACGTGCAAACGAGCATGGCTGTGAAGCATATGAAACAGATTGCAGCCGTATTTCATACGTGCTTCACTGTAGTGAGTAAACGAAGTGCAAACAGGTGCAATGCAGTGCAGAGAGAAGCAGTGCACACAGCTTTGAGACGTCTCAAAAGCAGTGCACACAGGCCTCACTCACCTTGGTGAAGGGAGCCCACTTCTCAGCATACAGCCCTCGCTCAAAGCCCCCCAGGTCTGTGAGGGTGGCACAAGGGAATGGCATAGCCAGAAAGCAAGGCAGTCTGTGAGGAAACGAGGAAGCAGAAAGGAGCAGATAGTCCTTCCTACCGCTCAAAGCAATGCTACACCTTGTGGCCCTGTGTGCTGAAACCAGGTTGCAAGAACTCAAACGCCCAGTTAGGGTTTAAACTGACCTGCCAAAGCTTCCCAAAGCTTGCTTGTTACAGAAAAATACCGGAAAAATAAATCTAAAAAAAGAAAAAAAGAAAACAACAACAACAACAACAACAACAACAACAACTACAACTACAACTACTACAACAAAAACACAACTGCTACGACCCACACACCTGCAACAGCTTGCTCAATGTCTTCTTGTGAGTTCACGACAACGTTTCCGCGGCCATCATACGCGTTCTTGCGACTCTTGAGCATGAAGGGGTAAGAGAACTCCTCCCCTGCCGCCTCCGCTGCAGCCATATCTGGTATCTGATGGCATGGCAAGGCATCAGATGGGGGCGTGGTGTGGGCTAATGTCTACTTTTGAGGCGCCTCAAAAGTCGCCTCCGCTGCTGCCATATCTGGTAACTTTGGCACGGCAAGGCATTGGATGGGGGCGTGGTGTGGGCAAGTTGAGACGTCTAATAGAAAGTGGGATGAGGAAACGAACCCGTGCTATAATGTCCGGAGCACACCTGATGGCAATGCAGAGGATGGGGCACAGAACGGGGATCGCGATGGGGCAAACGACGAGGCAAGGCAAGTGATGTGACATGAGATGACACTTATCATGAAACACGTACCGAGATGTACGGTGCATGTGCAACCCTGTGATTCGCAGCATAGATCAAACCATGCATGCTTTCTTGCTTGTGCAAAAAGGCAATGTTTCAGTGAGGCCTAAACAAGAGATGAAGGGGACGAGGGGAAGGAGGCGAGAGCAAACACGAGGGCGAGAAGATGCCAAAAAGAGGGCAAGCAGAGCAAAGAGAGGGTAGAGAGCAAGGAGTGGGCAAGGAGCAACTAACCGACACGAAGTCTGGGAGAGGCACACCACGATTCCTGAAGTGAACCTTCTGCAAGTACTTGTCCTGGTGGGGTGAGGGACAGGGTGAGGGACCGGGGGGAGGGACGGGGGAGAGAAGGAAAGGTGAGGGGGTGAGGAATGAATAGGAGTGAGGTTAGAGAGAGATGAGAGAAGCAACCACCTGGATACGGTCACATAACAGCTTATAGTCACGTTACAGGTTACAGTCACGTTACAGGTTACATTCACGTTACAGGTTACAGTCACGTTACAGATTACAGTCACAGTCACTTGGGTGACGCGGAATGGGTGAAAGGGCTTGGGTTCGATGTCAATGCAGTTGCCGTCCTCCAAGTGTGTTTGAGGTGCCTCAAAGACCATTACAGTCACACTCGACCCTTGTTACAGTCACAATCTACCTGAATGACGCCGATGGTGGACGGCTTAGGCTCGATATCAATGCAATCGTCGTCCTCCAGGTGCTGTAGCGCATCCTAGACCATCACAGTCACACTCGTTACACTCACACTCACCTGAATCACACCAATGGTGGAGGGCTTAGGTTCGATATCAATGCAATCGTCGTCCTCCAGGTGCTGTAGCGCATCCTAGAGACCATCACAGTCACACTCGTTACACTCACACTCACCTGAATGACACCAATGGTGGAGGGCTTAGGTTCGATGTCAATGCAGTCGTCGTCCTCCAGGTGCTGCAGCGCGTCCACGTTCACGTGTTCTATCTCCACCGTCACCACGTCGCTCCTGTTTATAACGAGGACAGAGAACCACGCACATATCCAGCGAGTTTGAGAGCATCTGAGAACAGAACGGACGGAGCTTGAGTGACTGCATATCACAGGGAAGGAGAACTAAGCTAATGCGCAGCTGATATGCGCCTAGGAGAACTAATGCGCAGTTCGCTAACTAATGTTTGTAGACTGAATCGTTCTGCCCGACAGATGATTGTGAGTACCTTTTATCGCGGCGGATTCGACTCACTTCTTCGCGAATTCTCGCACGGTGTCCATGTCCTGGAAGCTTCCTACCACGTGGCGGAACGCCACTGGACGAGCCGGCGCGTCTGGCAGCGGGTCGAGCACCGCGACCTTGATCCCTAAAGGCGACGCCGCCTCGCACAGCATTCGACCCAGCTGCCCGCCGCCCAAAACTCCCACGATTTGGCGGGAAACTCCGCGTCCCTCGGGCTCCCGCTCCCACACCTCCTCATCTTCCGCCATCGCCGCTGCGCCGTTTCCCGCCGCTTCTTCCGCGTCGAACGCGACGACGCCGCCGTTCAAGCTCTCGCCTTCCTCCGCGATTACCGCTCCTTCAAGAGCGCGCGGGACGAGTCGCGATTTCGCGGCGCGCGCGGGTGTTAAAGGGTTGAGCGGTACGCGCGAGTAGGGCTTCTGAAGAGCGAAGCAGCGCGACATGGTAGGGGTGGAGGAATTACAAAGGGGAGCTTCAGCGCGTGACGTCAGCAGTTGAGCTCGGTAAAGCGCCACGTGGCAACCAAGTGAGGAAGCGGCCATGGGGTTTTGCTGACGTAGAGCGAGGAGCGACACGGGCCCGACTATCCTGAACACGACGAAGTGGGCGACTTAGGACGCACTCTGCAGCGAGCTAGGTGTCGAAGGGTGAGATCAGTAGAATACCACTGCTTGAAGGGGTTAGGCGCGACGCCTGACTGACCCTAGACGCCAAGCTAAGAGAAGGGGGAGGAAGCGCAGTGTGCGTGAAGGACCAAGTCACCTTGGGAATTCACTGTGCAGTGGAGACACATATCTGCTATGAAGCAATTTTCTTAAACACAAGCGTGTTTCTTATATGGGATACATTAGGTGTCCTCCATGTTCTGAATATCTGGAAACGAAACGTATGTACAATATCGAGGTTTACCATATCCACCTTCCCCCCAATCACAGCATTGCGCCGTCAGAAATGTGTCGGCTACAGTGTTCGCGCGAATTGAACCTCGCCGTCACATCCCCACCAGAAGACGGAGTCGCGGTCAGGAATTTAGGACTTGTTGCGTCCAGGAACCAATCAGGCAGGGGCGCAGGCGCGCGGTCAACTGTGCGCCCGAAGCAAACTGAGAAATGTTTTTCTGTGCAGCTGGAATTGGGTGGGTCAGCCAGCTGATGACATCACACTTGCATGGGGTCCCCACTTGCATTGCAACCAGATGACAGATGCTGCTATGCTATGCCCGCAGCAAAAACATTCAAAAGTTCGCGCGAAAACGGAGGGGGAGGTGAGACCAACCAACTTCTAGGCTGCCTTGACGATGCATACAAGGTATGGTAAAGCCCAGGGGCGACGGTTTCTGGCGATTTATTAGCACTGCCTCGTAGATATCACGCAAGCTTTTGGGTAGTTCTGGACGTCAGGGACGTCGAAGGAGCGTACGGTACGGAACCTCCTGCGCAATGGCCGTTCAAGTATTACTGTAACAGCAGCCGCTAGTGATTATAGACGCGCCTATGGCGGCCTTTCGGGCGCGAGCCCGTAGAGGCTGGCCAGCGACGACCCGAAAACCTTTTCGAAGGCGTCAACAGTCCTCGCTTTTCGTTATGCCTGCGCACGAAGCCCTCCTGATCCTCGTCATCAGCTGTCTCGCTTTTAGCGCCACCGTAACAGCCGCTCCCGACTACCGCGACGCGTTGTCGAAAGCGCTTCTGTTCTTCGACGGCCAACGGTCGGGTAACCTCTCAGGCGCCGCGATCAAGACCAGGGCGAAGTGGCGCGGCGACTCCGGCCTCACCGACGGCAAAGCGCAGAAGGTGCGGCGTTGCGATCTTGACAACGGAATGACTTTTGAGACGTCTCAAAACTTGACAACGGAATGCGATACTAACTGCCCATCGATCATTCCCGTCCGTTCCATCAGCGGCCCTCACGCTGATCGACTCTTCGTTCTCTCCGTCCCCTTCTCTGCTTCCCGTTCTCCCTTTCCCTCCCATCCCCTCTTCTTTCCGCGCAGGTCGACTTGGTAGGCGGCTACTATGACGGCGCGGGGAACGTTAAGTACGGCCTGCCGCTGGCCTTCTCCCTCACGCTGCTCTCCTGGGCCGCCGTCGATTACCAGTCGCAGCTCGCCGCGTCAGGCGGCCAGCTCTCCGCGGCTCGCGACGCGATTCGCTGGGGGACGGACTACCTCCTTAAAGCGCACACGAGCGCGAATGAGCTCTGGGTGCAAGTAGGTGACGGTCCGAGCGACGACCTGTGCTGGCAGCGGCCCGAGGACATGACGACGGACCGCACCGCGTACCGCGTGAACGCGACGCGGCCGGGATCTGACGTGGCAGGGGAGACGGCGGCGGCGATGGCGGCGGCGTCGCTGGTGTTCGCGAAAGTGGATCCGCCGTATTCGTCGCTGCTGCTGAACCGCTCGCAGCAGCTGTTCACATTTGCGGACACTTATCGCGGTGTATATTCGGATTCTATCCCCATTGCGAGGCGGAACTATCCCTCGTGGACCGGATACGAGGTGAGGAAGGGTGACGTGGAAATCTAGGCGCGGGATCACGACACTGCCTAGTTCTGCGCGGGATCACGACACTCCTGGTTCTATCTCGCACCAAGCGACGAGCAGCGCGTTCGATGCATTCAAACTCTTCCTCTCCTCCGAACGTGCCCCTAACAGGACGAGTTGGCGTGGGCGGCGGCGTGGCTGCACCGAGCCACGGGGTCATCGCAGTACCTCGAGTACCTGGCGACGAACGACGAGCAGCTGCAGGGGTCGTCGCAGGCCACCACGGAGTTGAGCTGGGACGACAAGTTCGCCGGCGCTCAAGTGCTGGTGGCTAAGGTATGTTGCTTTACCTTGAAGCGTGGCGAGGGGAGTGTTGCAGGTGCAGCTGCAGGGGTCGTCGCAGGCCACCAGGGAGTTGAGCTGGGACGACAAGTTCGCCGGCGCGCAAGTGCTGGTGGCTAAGGTTCGGCCTTTTGCCATCCGCGATGGTCAGGGGGTGCTGGTGTGCAAGAGGGGTAACGATCTCTCTCCATCCCTCCGTCCATCCCTGCCCCTTGTCTTCCGGCACAGGTTGCACTGCAAGGCAGCGGGGCGGGTAATCTGAGCACAGCAGCACAGGCCGTGGTGGAGGGGTATCGCGGCATGGCGGACGCCTTTGCATGTGCCTACATGCCCGATAACCCACTGCACTCCGTCTACATCACGCCAGGTGAAGATTCTGATTCATGGGTGTTTCTCATTCCAAGTACAGCCTTCACCGCTTTTGTTGTGTCGAGCCTGCCTGCCCAATGCTGCCCTCCTCCCCGTGCCTCATATGCCCTGCCACTAAGACTATTGGCTGCTCAGCGCCTTCGCTTCTTGGCCCTCTCAAATCCAGTCCCTGCATCAAACCTCCCTGCATCAACCCTTCTCTTGCAGGCGGGCTGGTGTACATTCGAGCGCGCAACAGCCAGTACGCCACGTCAGCCGCGTTCCTGCTGCTGCTCTACAGTGACTACCTGGCGTCGGCCAATCAGACGCTCTCGTGCGACGGCACGCAGTACTCGCCTGCTGACATGGCAGCCTTCTCCAAGTCACAGGTGGGATTCGCTACAGTCACACCGGATGGGTTACCCGCCGACCTCCAACCCTCTCAACGCATTTCAAACATTCCCCTCCACTTCCCCCCTCTAAACTGATTCCTTCCCTCTCTCTCCACCCTCCTCCACCGTACTCAACCCAGGTGGATTACCTGCTAGGCGCCAACTCCCTCAACGCCTCGTACATGGTCGGCTTCAGTGTTTGAGGTGCCTCCAAGCTAGATGAAATTTTAGTTTTGACTCAAAAGTCACCTCACCCCCTTCCCATTCACCCCAGATGGATTACCTGCTAGGGGTCAACCCCCTCAACGCCTCCTACATGGTCGGCTTCGGCCAGTCCTACCCGCAGAAGCTGCGCCACCGGGCGGCGTCCATCGTCTCTTTCAAAGCGGACAGCACGCCGGTTACCTGTGAGGGCGGCAAGACGGATTGGCTGCTGAGCCCCGACCCCAACCCCAACGTGCACGTGGGAGCCATTGTTGGGGGCCCTGATGCGGTGAGCGAAGCGAAGCACTTGTACTGATTATGCTACTACGGTGTGTGAGTACCTGCTGTGACCCCATCGCACCCCCAAGAGAGCGATGCATGCTTGAATGAATCGCTGCTAGCAGCAGCAGTCACCGAGCCTGTGCCCAACCCTCGTCTAGTAAGTCGATTTTTTAGTCGACTCAAAAATCGAGCCTGTGCCCAACCCTCGTCTAGTAAGTCGATTTTTTAGTCGACTCAAAAATCGAGCCTGTGCCCAACCCTCGTCTAGTAAGTCGATTTTTTAGTCGACTCAAAAATCGAGCCTGTGCCCAACCCTCGTCTAGTAAGTCGATTTTTTAGTCGACTCAAAAATCGAGCCTGTGCCCAACCCTCGTCCGCCCCCTTCGTTTCCCTTTCCCCCTCGCACTCCACCCCCTCCCCTCATCCCACCCACAGGACGATGCATTCATGGACGACAGGCAGCAGGCAGCATTCAACGAGCCGTCTCTCTTCACCAACGCTGCTGCCGTCGGTGCCTTCGCCCGCCTTGCTGCAGGCGCTCTCCCTCCCGGCCCCTCGCCCCCCCCTGCTCCGCCCTCCCCTCCCCCTCCGCCATCCCCTCCCCCCGCTCCCCCCCCTCCCCCACGCCCGCCCAAGCCCCCTCCGCCTCCCCCCAGCCCGCCCTTCCCCCTGCCATCGCCCCCGCCTCCAGGTATGCATCCCTAAGTTACTGTCATAAGAACGCACCCCTCTATTTTTATCATGAGCTGAGTGTTTTTATCTTGTCTTTCTCCCGTTCCCTTGCTGGCGCGTGTGTATGCCCCTTGATCTTCCTGCTCTTTCACCTCCGCTCTTGTCCATTTTTGTGCATCACCTGCCCACCCTCCTGCCCTTCTGGTAAAGCTATTCTCGGTGCTGTAGGGTTTTTTTTGAAAATTCTCAAAAAAACCGTAGAGCCATTCTCGGTGCTTATCCTCCTTCCTCGTGCTCTCATTCACCTTTTTCCCAACCCTCTCCAACGTTTTTTCCCTCTCCCACCCCCTTCCCCCCAGCCTCGCAAGTCACCGTCACCTGCACCATCTCGGGAGGCTGGACGGCCGACGGCAAGGACGTGGCACAGTGGGGATGCACCCTCACCAACACAGACCCCCTCTACCCCGTCACAGCCATCTCGCTGCTCTGTTCCTCCTTCCCTCCTTCCCTCCCTCCTCTCAACATGTGCCTCTCGTCTCGCCCCCCACCCTCCCCAAACCCCCCAAACCCCACTCCCACCAGCCTCGCAAGTCACTGTAACCTGCACCATCTCGGGAGGCTGGACAGCGGACGGCAAGGACGTGGCACAGTGGGGATGCACCCTCACCAACACAGACCCCCTCTACCCCGTCACAGCCATCTCTCTCCTCTGCTCCTCCTTCCAGCCACAACAATACTGGAACATCGACCCGCTAGCCTGCGCTCTCCCGGACTGGGCCCGGAACCTGGGTCCAGGCGGGAGTGCGTCGTTTGGGTTCATTCAGGAGAAGGCAGTCACGCCGCAGTTTAGCGTTCTCGGGTATTTCTCGAATGCACCCCCCGCGCCTAGTGTAAATGGCGGGTCTCCTCCTCCCCCTCAACCGCCTCCCTCTCCCCCGCCGCTTCCGCCGCCTCCCCGCTCATCTCCTCCTCCCCCTCCGCCGCCCACAAGCTCCCCCCGCCCCCCTCCCCCTGCAGCATCTTCCCCCCGGCCTCCTCCCCCGCTGCAGACCGGGTTCCCCCCTCCTCCAACCAACACCCCTCCTGCTGCCACTCCCCCTCCTGCCTCTCCTCCTCCCTCCTCTGCCTCTCTCTCGCTCGAGCAGAACCTGCTGTACGAATGGCCTCCTGACGCTGCTGCATTCAACATCACCATTTCCAACCCCTCCACCCGCACCGCTGTTGCGGTTACCATATCTGTAACCGTACCGGTAGACGATCCGCCTATCACCAGCGTCTGGGGTCTTTCCGCTGCGGGCAGCTCCACCGACAGCTCCTCGGGCAGCTTGAAAATTGTGACGCTGTACCGGGTTTCGGCGAATCTCTTGCCCATGCTGCCCGGAGAGTCGGCGCAGGTGGGGTACATCAAGTCTGGGCTGCCCGGAAATGTTTCCATTGCAGAGGTTGCATGGTTGGAGCAGTCCCCTCCTCCCCCTTCTCCCACCAAACGGTCCCCTCCTCCTAAACCCCCCCAACCCCCTCCCCATCGGCCCCCAAAGCCACCTCCTCGACCCCCACCCCGCCCTCCCCCACGCCCTCCCCCACGCCCTCCCCCACGCCCTCCCCCACGCCCTCCCCCACGCCCTCCCCCACGCCCTCCCCCACGCCCTCCCCCACGCCCTCCCCCACGCCCTCCCCCACGCCCTCCTCCACGCCCTCCCCCACGCCCTCCACCAAGACCTCCTCCCCCCAAAAAAAGGTAGGTAACAACTGGATATGGACGTAAGCGGTTAGCTTCGTAGTGGAGCAGATATGGTGCAGGATTGAAGTTAATGAGTGCTTCGGTGCCTGCAAGAGTTTGAGCCTTACCTTGAGGCAGTCAAATGGACAATATCAAACTTTACTACCCTACCGTACATGTTTGTCTCTGAAATGAGAAAATTGTTGCCTGCTCAAGATCCTATGAGTATAGTAGAACGGTACCTACATTGCGGGCTCTTTTCAATCACAAGTTGCATCCTTACCGGTACACGCGGCAGTATCGGTAGCTCGACTGTGCATCACATTACCATGAACTCGCAGCTTTGCTGCCGTTTCATCAAGCCATGTGTCCCATGCACGTGGCGAGTGCACCATGTGCTTCCTGCGTTACACCCAACTGATGGGTGGTGAAACTCAGTGTATACAGTTGCTGTCAGTGGTGCTATAGAATGAACATATCTGATTAAAATTGAATCAATGCAAGCACAAGCAGAGATGCAGCACATGGCACTGGTTAATAAACGGCAGATGAATGGCAAATAATCATAATCAGTAAATAACACGAGCAAGAATGTAGGGCTATGAACGAATGGAGCAATGCAGAAACACCACCACACGGCCATGATGCCTGATATTATTGTATCGTATGTGTTGCTGACTCTGACACTGTCCGAGACTCCTTTTACCATAAGCAGCACAGTACAATGACACGTGATGTTTCACGTATTGCATATGGTACTGTTTATTATTGGTTATAAAATGGAGGGTTACTGATGACCGCTGGTGTAACCCCGATTTCGCGGAGCTGCTGCGACAGAGCCCCGTTCTGCCGCTCGAGCGCTTTACACCGCGCCTGCAGCGACTGAATGTACACCACCGCGTCTTCCAGCATAGCTGACGTGTCAGTCTTAGCGTCCATCTTAGGAAGCACCTCCTTGAGATTTTGAAGCCGCGACGTGATCTTTTCTCTTCGCATGCGCTCCGCGACGCTCCGCGGCTTGGTAGAGTACCCAGCCATGTTGCCGTGCGCGTTCGCGTTTCCGCCGGTCCCCCCGCCTCCGGCACCTCCGCCGTCGGCGCCGGGACTGCCGGCAAACGCCGTCGCGCCTTCTGTATGGCCGTCCATTGAGTAATCTGATCCGGATCCCTGCTTCTGCAGCGACTGCTGCTGTCCCCCGCCCGCAATCTGCTGCTGCGCTCCCAGACTGCGCGCACTCGAAACACTTCCGCTTGCCCCCGGCGGGCTGTCGTCCTGCTGCGGAAATAATCCCGCCATACCCCCTGACCCCGCAAACCCCCCTGCGCCAGCGTGTCTTTTCCCCCCTTCCTTGCCTTCCCAACTCCCCGTCCGCGCTTTAGGGTTTAGCCCTCCCCTTCCCCATTGCGCGGAAGCATCCCCCATGCCGCCTCCTACATGCCCGCCGCCGCCTCCCGACACGTTGCGACCCGACGCGCCAGCGGCGGCGGCAATGACGGCAGGCGACACGCCGATCTTCGAAAGCTCCGCCGCCAAAACCGCTTCCGGGCTGATGGACAGGTGCGCGCTGTCCCCGGATCCTCCGCCTCCTCCTGCCAGAGAGCCTGCGCCCATCCCTTGCGCTTCCGCCACTTGAAGGGGTCCGCGCGGGCTGGCTCCTAGCGTCGAAAAGCGTCCCGGCGTGCTTACAACAAGGTTTCCCTCCGCGTCGCGCTTCCCGGAGGGGCTCGGGCGGGTAAGAGGTGAACCCGAGCCGCCGCCGTGGCCTGAATTTAAACCACGGACTTGATGTAGGTCCGGAAGTCCGCGCCTCGACCGTAGACCACCCGAACCTCCTAGCGACGAATGATCGCCGGCTATCCCGGCGGAGCTAGCGGCGATCTGTTGGCCGACGGAAAATGACGCTGATTTCCTGTGTCCGCCGCTTCTGGAGTCCTCGCCAGCGCCGCCTGCGGCGTGATCGGCGGCGCCTGTTGCGGCGGTAAACTCGCTGAAGCGCGCGGGAGGAGACGGGCCGAAAGACTTCACTCGCGGCACGATCTCCGCAGCAGTTCCCCCCGGTCTGCGCGCGACGGGTTGCGCCACCGCCGCCGCCGATTCCTGAGCCTCTTTTTGCAGCGCCGCCAGCAGCAGCTGCTGCTCGGACGGCGTTAAAGCCGCGACGCCGGAGCAGCGAATGCGGTGGCCCACGTCAGACTTGGGGTCTAGAAGCGCCGCGGCGAGGGATTTGGCCGACAAATTCTGGGGGTTCTCGTGCTCGCCGTGCCCTCGCATCGCTGCAGCGGACACGGAGCCGTCTTGCTGCTGAATCTGCTGCTGCTGCTGAAGTTGCGATTGTTGCTGCTGCTGCTGCTGCTGCTGGAGCTGTTGCTGCAGCTCCTGCTGTTGTTGCTGCTGCTGCTGCTGCTGGGAAGCGGCTGACTGGAGTTGCGGCGCGGGGTCGTTCTGCTGCATGAGTTGATCGTAGAAGCTACTTAGGTCCCTATCCTGCACGAAAGCAGGGACTAAGTTAGCTTGCGCGGGAGTTTCGAGCGGCAGACTGTCGGTCGACGTATCAAAGAAGGTGTTGTCGTCCCTGCCGCCGATGTTCTGCATGTCGTCGTCCATTTGCACCCACGTTTCTGGAATTTCCTGTTCGTTGGGTCTCTTGCTAAGTTTGGATCGAAATTGCAGACTTGTAGTGATGGGAAACGGTGGTCAACGTATGAATACGAGTGGGTCTTTCAAGGGGGAATCGCTACGCGTCGTGTTGAGGAAAATGTTGACGGACAAATTAGCAAGTAGTCAGATCAAAGGCCCTGAACTGTCCATCCACTGACGATGCGCGTTCTTTTAAACTCAAAAGCGGATGAGGCGTGAGGCGCGAGTCGAGATACATGAGCCAGGCAGCGAGAGAGAGAAACAGGGAGAGGCAGCCGCCATAGGGGTGTATGTCAACAAAACCGAGTGGTGGTGTGGAGGGTATGAAAAATCGAACTGTTAACGCATGTGATAGCTTTTGACAGCTGCTGGAAAGGCCTTCGAGGAGGGTGGGGTGGGTGGGAGGGGATGGAAGGTTGGACACGAAATGTGGGATTGAGGAGGAGATGGGGTGAGAAAGTGCGCGGGAAGCGAGGTTCCGGCTTGCTTTCGAGGTCCGGGTTTGTGGTGGTGAGGCTCGGCGGCCTTGCCATTGGCTGGCCTGAACAGGCTGGGGCAGCACTTCAACCGTTCTGCTCTCATGTTGGGGCGGGCAGTTTATTGAAATCTGGGCTTCCTTCATTTCGGTGCTGCGCTGGCTCCAACGGAAGGTGGTTCCAATTTCCAAATCAGGCCTGGGATCCATACTTGCGCTCCCCAGCTCCTCCCCATCTGACCCTGTTTTTGGTGTACTGAGCGTTTGGGCGCCCTTAACGGTCATGGGCGCACCCCAAAGTGAAAACTTAAAAATCCGGGCCTGTGAAGAGTTTGCACTTAGACGCTAAGGGGAAATTCGGGTGCTCCAAAGCTGACTTAGACACTTTAAAACCACAGGATCGGCTAGAAAACGATAAGGGAAAAACCCACTCCTCTCGCGCAACCTAAGGAGAAAGGGGGGTTAGGGTCAGGCAGAATTTGAAGGGGGGTGGGTCCTATAACCAGAAACCAAAACTTCGAGACAGGGGAAGGCCTGGTTTGGGCCTTAACGCATACCGGGAAGGGTCGAGCGAGGCACTTAGTAGCACGGGTACAGTGCGAATCTAACACTTTTGGCAGTCGAGCTGGAGCAAAAGTAGCCCAGAATGTTCAGGGCATTAAGGGCATATGCCTTTGAATCGACAGGCCTGTTCCAAATGCGCCAGTGGCGGAATGAACCGTCAGCGCATTGGAAGCCATGCTCAGCGAGACGAGAAGCATGCGCGCGGCTCAAAGCTTGCGGACGACCTGGGGGCGGAAGTGGTCGTGCGAGAGCAGTGGCTAGGTTGGGGGGAGAAATACACGTGGGCGGTTGGGAGGATTTGGTTGGGGAGATACACCAACGCCCATCATGCTGTATGTGGTGAAAAGCCTCCACGCCCATCATGCTGTATGTGGTGAAAAGCATGATGGGCGTGGAGGGGAGTAGCCATAATTTATGGTTGCGGCAGCTTAGAAATCATTGTTTCTTGTTGGAACGTGGGACCTTGTCGCTCCTGGTGTGCGAATGAAACGTGCTCGTTGGCGCATTTTTTCAGATTAGGGTGTACCTTCTCTTTCGATCCGTTCTATACTTCAATAAAAGAGAAGAGAAGCAGTACTGACCAAGAGCTTCGTGAAATTGAAATAGCAGAGATACACCTACCACTAACATTCACAATCTCCATTCACCCATACGAATACATGGTTGCTAACGAGGGTTTCTAGAATTCCGAGATTCTTCTGAAAGCCTAGACACTTCGAGAAAAAACTTTGAAAGGTGGTTGAACTCACTGCCCTGGCGCACTAATTTCGGTTGTCATTATGAGCTCATAACACCAGCAGTCCACATTGATCTTTGAAAATTTGAGTACACCTGATGCCCGGTTGAGCCATCCAAAGGTCCCCTACTCTCTAGCTGTATAAGCGATTCTTACATTTCCCAAAAAAATCGTCAGCGCGCACCGTGCAAAAGGGCTTACAAAAAACAGTTGTAGCTGACCGTTGTCGTTTTGACTTCGGTCTTCTGTCAAACTTCGGTTTCTGTGGCTGTTACTAATTCAAAACACTGCTCGAGGGGCTTGTAAATAGGGTGCAACTTCACGGCACAAAACCCACGGTTGCAAGGTTTCCATCCTACACAAGGGAATCTTTCATGCAGGGGGTGAGCATCATGTGTACTGAATTGCATTTCCTGCCTGACATACATTTTGGTAGGGAACAAGAAATCCCCAAGGGGCAGCCAGTGGACAACTGGCAGACGGGACAGTTGCGACGCAAAAGCAGCGACAGCAATATTGAATGGAGACTGGTTGAAGGTTAGGGTGCTTCTGATTAGGGTGCGATAAACTATCTTATATTACACGTGATGCCCATTTCAGTCCCCTTCCCCATCTTTCCCTGTGCTCCTCTCTCGAGCATGCGTTCACTAGGGGCAGAATGGGACTGAATGTAGAACAAAGGTTGACAAAAAAACTACAGTTGCGGAAATTGTGGGTAGCCCAGCGTGTTTTGTCTGGGAAACTCGAACATCTTGGTTTTGTCGTGGGCTAGTAACGCGCGGGCCGTTGGCTGTGAATGTCGACCACTGGGCGTATGGAGTGGCAGCGGGCGTGTTCAGAGTGGGCGGTTGAGTGAGCATTAGGGTGTACACGCGCACCAACCAAAGGCTGGCCCACCTTCTCAATAAACTGCCCTCCAACCAACACCATTCCCTTAGCCATTTTCACAGTATCCTGCTATTTTCTTAGAGCTTTATGTTACAGCCATGGCCCTCTATGTAAAGAAAACCTTTTTTCCCCCAACCTGCACCCAACTTCGTGTTCCTCGCAATAAATTATCGTGTGTCTTTCATTGTATCGCCAGTTTCATTTAGTGACAACACAACCTTCGTTATTCGCTTTCCGTGGGACTCTGTTTTACAACCCATAAAACTCAAACCGTTTTGGGCCATGCTGATCCATCAAAATTTGTGCAGGAAAAAAACGTTTGGAAGTGTTGAAAAATCAGTGTCGGTACCCAAATGTTTACTACAATTATTTGTCGGGTTATCCGGTCTTGTACAAAATGCTTTGGCCTTCTCCCTTTCTGAATTAGATGGCTGACAGCAGTGAACCTTGGGGTCTAGTATCTGGTAGATTATGTCTCTGGGTGGGTGAGATAGTGCCTCACAGCCTGTAGGTGGGTGCCCAAATCTATTTGGTGGATCCAATCATCCAACTACCGTTTATCAGATATTTGTAACAAAAAGTGCCTGGCAATGAGCCACCAACATATGCTCCTAGGCATCAAGGCTCAAGGCCCAAATTGCACAGAAATAGTAATCTTGATTGGGGGGGTTCAGCCTGGCGAGAGAATCCCAACAGGAAGTGTGTCGGAAGTGAGGTACTTCATCAGCGAATTTGACGATTTGGCCGGTGGCGACAGCCTTTTCCGCCCAAGGAAACGATAGCCAATCAAATTGAAGAAACAGTTTGTCGCCGAAAACAGCAGCTCAATATGGGCGTGCCAACTACCCGTGTATAAGACCCTAGGGTCTTATGATAATCACCCATCAAAAGGCTGGGGGGTATAATTAAATGGTATATATTTTATAAGATCCGGGTCTTTTCAAATTGGCATTTATAAGAATGTAGTGTTGGAGCTCAAAGAAGTGATTTCGATATTGCTCCGTTTTTAGCTCCTCCCAAAAATACTCGAATTGGTCTCTACACGGGCCGTACCCACATCATCACGAACCCTACCTGGGAACTTCTTCCCATTGGCCATAAACACCACTTGGTGTTCACACGACAGCGCAGGGCACCGTTTGATGACTCTGCGCGCAGTGTCGTCTCGGCGTTCATCGGTGTGATTTCTCCAAATCATCATAGAATATGACCATTTTCAATTGCATTTTTGGAAAATCCCCACTCCTCTAGGATGTGGGGGGGTCTTGTAATGTTAGGAGCCGTTTAGGGGGGTATAACTCAGATGTACTCGAATAGAGTACCCCCGTCCGTATTATAGACCCGGGGGTCTACAACTGGAGGGGGTCTTATATACGGGTGATTACGGTACCACCTTGAGGACACACCCCTAGGTCTGCCTTGTGGTCAAACCAACTCGACACACCACTCCCATGTCCACCTGCTTCAAAGCAGAAAGCGTAAAATAGCCTATTATCTAGCTCCATAGCACTCGCTGATAAAACACAAACGCCATGCACAACTAGGTGTCAGAATGTTATTATCTAGCCTGTAGTGGGGTGCTCTATAGCGAGTACAACCCTGTTAGGGTTTGCTATATGTATCCCAACTGCTGCTAGTGAAACCCCTCCTTTGTTCATTTCTCTCTTGCCTAGCTAGCTAAACCCTAGCTATGGCTCCTCACTGTGCTCACTATTCTCACACTAGGTAGCTTAGTGGACAACGTGGCTAAGGGCAACCGCGGGATTGCCGACGGTAGCTAATGCGCCAACTTGCGCAATAACCACATTTTCCATGCAACTATCATAGCGTTCCACGTAGAACATGGCGCAGCACACTCGTGTCAAAATGTGATGTTTGTCTAGCCTGCAGTAGGGTACTCTATAGCGAGTACAACCCAAGTAGGGTTTCCTAAATGTATCTCAACTGCTGCTAGTGAAATCCTTCTCTTTCCTGTTTCTGATTCTTGCCTAGTATTTCGACATGCTATCAGAGCAGGTCGACCCTCCTGGGTCGATCCTGTGGGTGGGCCCCACCCGATGCTTCCCCTGCTCTACTGCCTGTAGCGCGCCCCGGGCGCGCGCCGTTTTCTTCCCGCCGTGCGCTCGGAGCGCGCAACGTTTTTAGCGCGCGGCGGTTTTCTGCCCCGGTGACCCGCGCGTCGCCCCCCGTCGCCCGACGCGGCCCGCACGCGACCTGTACAGGCTACACCAGGCCCGCGCGCGGCCCGTACAGCCCGCGCGCGGCCCGTACGGGCTGCGCCAGGCCCGCGCGCGGCCCGTACGGCCTGCGTTAGGCCCGCGCGCGGCCCGTACGGGCTGCGCCAGGCCCGCGCGCGGCCCGGGCAGCCCGCGCGCGGTTCGCTCCGCCTGGGCCAGGCCCGTGCGCGGCCCGTACAGTCTGCCCCAGTGCCGCACGCCGTCCCCCGAGCTTCTGACCGCGCCCCACCCGTGCTGCTGCCCGCGCTCCTGTGTTAGGGTTTGGGGGTGGAGTGTGTGAGCCGTCCCCTGCTCCTCCTCCTCTGTCTCCCACTGCTGCAGCTGCCGCTACGGGGGGTGGATGTGTTGGAGCCGTCGGAGTGGTACGAGGGGGGTGGCGTGTGAGCAGTGCTAGAGGTTCAGCAGGGAGTGTGTGAAAGGGGTGTGGGACAGTTGGGGGAGGTTGACCGGAGGTAGCCGACTTGTCGTCCGCAGCGCCTGAAGTCCAGAGAGCCACGACCCCCTGTGGCCGTGTAGTCCGGGGCTCTGCGCCTGGTAGCCACAGTGTGAGCATTCCTGGAAGTCCAGAGAGCCATGACCCCCTGTGGCCGTGTAGTCCGGGGTCTGCGCCCGGTAGCCACAGTGTGAGCACTCGTGGGAGCACAGAGAGCCAGCTGCGCCTGTCGCCGTGTAGTCCGGGGCTCTGCACCTGGTAGCGTCAGAGCTGCGGACTCCTGTTGCCCGTGTGTCTGCAGCTTTAGCCGTCGCCTCCCATCTTCTCGCCCCCCACAGTTTCTCCTCCTCCTCACTTGCCCTTTGTGATAGCTTCTAGCTTTGCTTATCCTTGTGAACTATTGCTCTGCCTGCTTGTTGTGCTGATTATACCCCACTTTGACTATGGGGGTGTGTTAGAATGTGATGTTTGTCTAGCCTGCAGTGGGGTACTCTATAGCGAGTACAACCCAATTAGGGTTTCCTATATGTATCTCAACTGCTGCTAGTGAAAACCCTCTCTTTCCTGTTTCTGAATCTTGCCTAGTATTTCGACAACTCGTCCGCCCTTCAGCCGAAACAACCCGCGTTGCACTGGTTAGGCATCCCACGCAATGTCATTACGCATCACAAAGGACGCGTTGCCTTAACGTTTATCAATCGCTGTAGGTAGGAGGGGGAGGCGGGCGGACCACTTTTGAATACGCAGCGGCAGAGTACATTCAGGGTTTCGACCGTAAGCTGCAGCACCGATGGCTCGGAGGCGTCGTAAAAACTCCTCCGGCAGGTCCGTATAGGAGCATTTACCACCTCTCAGGTACACAGTATGCCAGTGAAGCATGCACCTGCAGTCGCGCATACCGCAATGGTGTTGTGTATGCACCATTTGAGGAGCGATGATAACGACATTCACGAATCTCGCACCTCTACATGCACCTTTCCCCATGCCGCCATGCCACATCCCCCTTCCCGCAACCACCTTCCCCCATCCACCTTCCCCCATTCCACCATGCCTCATCCCCTTTCCCGCAACCACCTTCCCCCATTCCGCCATGCCTCATCCCCCATCCCGCAACCACCTTCCCCCATCCACCTTCCCCCATTCCGCCATGCATTGCATTCCCCCATTCCACCTTCCCCCATCCACCTTCCCCCATTCCGCCTTGCCTCATCCCCCTTCCCGCAACCACCTTCCCCCATCCACCTTCCCCTATTCCGCCTTGCTCCGCAAGGGACCCATTCCACCTTCCCCCATCCACCTTCCCCCATCCACCTTCCCCCATCCACCTTCCCCCATCCACCTTCCCCCATCCACCTTCCCCCATTCCGCCTTGCCTCATCCCCCTTCCCGCAACTACCTTCCCCCATCCACCTTCCCCCATTCCGCCTTGCTCCGCAATCACCCATACCGCATGGCCCAATCCATCTTCCCCCATCCGCCTTGCGCCATCCACCTGCCCCCATCCACCATCCCCCTTCCGCACTGCCCCATCCACCCTCCCCATCCGCCTTCCCCATTCACCTTCCCCCATCCACCCTCCCACAGCCACCTTCCTCCATCCCGCCTTGCCACATCCGCATTCCCCCATTCCGCCTTACGCCATCCACCTTCCCCTATACACCATCCGCATTGCCCCTTCCGCCTTACCCCATCCACCGTCCCCCATCCACCTTCTCCCATCTACCTTCCCCCATCTATCTTCTCCCATATGCCTTCCCCCATCCACCTTCTCCCATCCACCGTCCCCCATCCACCTTCCCCCATCCACCTTTCCCCATCCACCTTCCCCCATCCACCCTCCCCCATCCACCTTCCCCCATCCACCCTCCCCCACCCACCTTCCCCCATTTACCTTTCCCCATCCGCCATATCCCATCTGCCTTGCCCCCTTCCGCCTTACCCCACCCACCTTCCTCCATCCACCTTTCCCCATCCACCTTACCCCATCCGCTTGCCCCCTTCTGCCTTTCCCCATCCACTTTCCCCTATCCACCTTCCCCCATCCGCCTTACCCCAGGCGCCTTGCCCCATCCACCTTCTCTCATCCGCCGTACCCCATCCGCCTTGCCCCCTTCCGCCTTCCCTCATCCACCCTCACCCGGAAAACCTTGCCCCATTCCGCATTGCACCATTCCTCCTTGCCCAGTCCACCTTCCCCCATCCACTTTCCCCCATCCATCTTCCCCCGTTCCACCTTACCCCATTCACCTTCTCCCATTCCGCCTTCCCCCTTCCACCTTACCCCATCTACCTTACCCCATCCACCTTACCCCATCCACCGTCCCCCATCCACCTTGCCCCATCCACCTGCCCCTATCCACCTTCCCCCATCTGCCTTCCCCCACCCACCTTGCCCCATCCACCTGCCCCTATTCACCTACCCCCATCTGCCTTGCCCCCATTCGCCTTGCCCCATCCACCTTCCCCCATCCACCTTGCCCCATCCACCTTTCATCATCCACCTTCCCCTATCCACCTTTCCCCATCCACCTTCCCCCTTCCGCCTTGCCCCATCCACCTGCCCCTATCCACCTTCCCCCATCCGCCTTCCCCCATCCGTCTTACCCCATTCAGCTTCCCTGCCCTAGGCGTCCTTGGTCTGGGATTTTCTGCCTTGAGCTTTTCTGCCCAGTTCTACTATATCCAAGGGATTTTATTTCCTACGTTTCCCTACACTGAGCTTTACTGCCTTGAACAGGATGGATACTCGCCCCCTGTCGCATTTATTGTAGACAATGATTCCCTTCCAGGATCATCGCAGAGGCACCCCAAGAATCTGGTTGTATTATGTCCATCCCACTCCCATCCCATTTCTACTCCACTCCTCTGTAACAGGCACACCAATGATGTGGCCCAAGATGGGCACACCAGCGAGCGAGCTTAGCGGGGAGCATGACAAGCCTATGCACGGAATATCAAAACATATGCGATCTGTCATATGCCTCCAGCGGTGCGGGTTGTCCGCACTGATGTGAGGAGAGAACGTTGCAACGACGGCAGATGTTCTCTACTACTTTATGATGAATGCTCCTGCTGCATGCAAACGGCTTATACGGGCAGCAAAAGAAGCCGGTAAATGTTTATGGGCAGATGGACATCGATACGAATTGTTGTTGCATGTGCTGTTAAGTAACTAGGGGGTTGTACAACCTTACCGGCTGATTGTGCATCTATGCTGGCTTTCCAACACGTGTATCCCCATCCAGGTTCAAATGGGGCGGAAGCGCTAGCGACAGCAGAGCTACATCTAGAGACATATGGGCGTCAATTTGATTCGCGGGCGAACGATGGCGTGAATGCTGTGACCACGATAATGGGGAAGGCTGACCGTAAACTCAAGGGGCTTGTATACGACTTCCCTGCCTACAAGGAAGATCAACGCGGAAGGTTACTCCCCGTTAAAGGAAATAGCTAGGGTGGGCCTCGGAAAGGCAAGGCGTTTGAGGGGATGCGCACACAAGGTGAGATATGCATTGAGGATGAACACGATGAATAAGGTGCGACAACCACATATCCAGCAAAGAAAACATCACGCACCCAAAATTAATAAGCGGACACCCAATACACGAGCACTCGAACATCACAAGCCCATACCAAGTTATGTTTCGTTATAACTCCCGCCGTGTGTGATATACATGCAGGGGATGCAAATCTACCAGCTGTGGAACCCGACGCCGTTCCCATCCCGACTGTGGGGTCGCCATGTACAGTTGCTGAGGGAGGAGACGATCATGTGGGACCCACACACGAAGAAGATGGAGCGCTGGCTCATGATCAAAGGTGGGAGTGTGTTATTTATACTTTGGTTGTTTTAGTTTTTGCGAGCTACCCACGGTATTTTTTGTGTTTACCTTGGCTAGCAATGGGGAAATAGTTGGCTGCCATAGGGGGGAACCAAGGGCTAGCATTGTCGAAACAACGGCCATCCTTCTACCATCCGGCGGCCCGTCTCCTCTTTTTTGTTTACTAGCAGTTTCCAACATTACCCTTTCACCCACGTCCCTGACCTTTGCTAGCCCAACCATCAACAGGATGACAACTCGAGAGAGGACCACTCGTAAGAGGCAAAACACAGTCCCACGAGGGTGGTCAGCCGCTCCAAGCATCACGGATGTGTCCGAGTACACGGTATGCCTTCTAGAACCGAAGCACTTGCTCGAAACGGTGGGATCACTACAGATTTGTTGCACACGAGCGGGCTGTTCTGGGAGTATGGCACTCGTGTCGTGGAAAACAGAATGGGCCTGTTTCGGACTTTATTGGCACTGTAACACGTGCACAAGCGGCAGGGAAGTATGGTCAAGTTCGAAAAAGGAGCACACATCAAATAGGAGAAAGACCGGGCCAAGGACGTCAAAGCTCATGCCCAGGTTCGTCGGTGCCTTCGCCCTTGCGGGTGTAGGATTTCAAGTGATGTGGGAAGTTTGTCGCAATCTTGGACTTCTGAATCCGGGCAAGGGAACATTCTATCGTTTGCTGCAGGGTGAAGATGGTTTATGGAATGCCATTATTCGTGCTGCACAGAACTCGATGGGGGACGTGCAAAACACTTTATCCAAGAGAGTGGGTGGCGTGGGTTACATCAGTTGATGGCAGATGGTCACAAGTGCGAGAGGCTGAGTGGTGTACTGTGTCGTTCCTCCATCCTGAAAGTAGGAAGATCTTGCATTTAGAGACCACAAAACTTGATGTCGATGATGATTCCGCACCTAGGCTCGAAAGTGTAGGATTCAAAAGGGGGATGGACTTCCTCAAGGAGCAGGGGTTTGAGATGGAGGGGATTGTTACCGATGAGGGTAGCACCTTTCGAGGTGCTGCTGTAGAAAGAGGAATCCGCCATCAGATTGACTGGTGGCATAAAAGACGATCGGTGGTGAAAAGATTTGAAAACGAGTTGCAGAACCTTGTTAGAAAAGTGGTGGATATTGATAACGCTGAGACTATTGAGGACCTTCACATGCACACCTTGAAGAAGTTGAAGGCTTGGTTACTAAAGAAGGCTCCAAGCAAAGCGGAGGGCAAAACGGGAAAGGATGAGTTCATCGAGACTGTTTGCAGTGAGCTCGGTATTGTTTATCGTTATGTGAAACCGGCCGATGCAAAATGGATGCATCTGGAATTGCAGCAGGTGACGTGCGCCAAAGGGTTGCACGAGGCTAGTCGTGGGCCAGAGCCACATAGGAGCAAAGAGGATGGAGAGGATAATGAAACGGTTGACATACCCGTTATGCTGTCACTGATACATAAACATGGTGTGCCTGCGCATGAGGGAACGGGAGATGGTGGTGATGCGGTTGAGATGCTCGAGGGTCCAGTTCAGTAGAAGTTTGTTGGCGGGATGTAGAGGAGCTGTGGGGGTACGACATCCACCCTGAGCATGGGTTGCGTCCCTCATCACAAGCGTCTCTGGTGGTCGCACTCGCTTGTAATGGCGCTCGCGCTGATACGGATTTCTTGGGAGAACCAATCGATCAAGCACCACCAACGACCCCTCAGATAGGTACATTATCTAATCATCATGGCCACTGTTCTCGTTCTTACTATCCCCAATGCACCACCCACTGGTTTGCCACATCACCACACCCCCAAACTGTTTTTGCTCACTCCATTACCACATCACCGTATCCCCACTATTTATACTCATTCCATTACCATATCACCACACCCCTCAGTGTTATTTATCATTCCATTACCAATTCATCACACCACCCACTGTTTTTGCTCACTCCATTATCAAATCACCACACCCCTCTACCGTTCTTGCTCACTCCATTACCACATGACTACACCCCCCATTGCTTCTGCTCACTCTTCAACCACATCTCCACACCACCGATTGTTCTTTATCATTCCATTACCGATTTGCAACACTACCCAATGTTTGTTCTCACTCCATTACCACATCCCCACACCACCCACTGTTTATGCTCATTTCATTACCATATCACCACACACCCTTCAATGGTTTCTATCATTCCATTACCAATTCATCACACCACCGACTGTTTTTGCTCACTCCAATATCACATCAGCACACCCCCCTATTGTTTTTGCTCACTCTATCACCCCCTCACCACACCCCCTATTGTGTTTGCTCACTCCATTGCCACATCACTACACCCCCCTCTGTTTTTGCCCACTATTCAACCACCTCACCACCCACCGTTTATGATGATGCCATTGTCAGATTTATATGACATAGCTACTGTAGGCTATAGTGGGGTAGCACATATGGGGTACAGTTTTCTAGGGTTTACATTTGTACCCAACTTTCCCTTAGTCAATTCATTCTCGTTCAGTTTCTCATGGTATCGAGCAGGTTCCCCTGTGGGAACTGTTCCTAGGGCCCACCACATTTTTTTCCTGCCCGGAGCGCGCTCTCCACTGCCCGAGTCGCGCTCCCCTCTCTCGACCCTGTCGCGCCGCCTTAGCGGCCCCGTCGCGTCGCGCTTGCGGCCCCGTCGCGTCGCCCTCGCGGCCCCTTCACGTCGCGCCGCCCTCGCGGCCCCGATCCGCCGCCCTCGCGGCTCCTTCGTGTCGCGCCGCCCTCGCGGCCCTTTCACGCCGCCCTCGCGGCCCTTTCTAGCCGCCCTCGCGGCCCTTTCTAGCCGCCCTCGCGGCCTCTTCAAGCCGCCCTCGCGACCCCCCCCCTCCTAGCCGCCCTCGCGGCCCCGTCGCCTACCCCTGCGGCCCCGGCGCCGCCCTTCCCTGCCTCGGCGCCGCCTCTGCTGGCCCCGTCGCCTACCCCTGCGGCCCCGGTGCTGCCCTTCCCGGCCCCGGCGCCGCCTCTACTGGCCCCGACGCCGCTCCACCCGGCCCCGACGCCGCTCCACCCGGCCTCGCCGCCGCTCCACCCGGCCCCGCCGCCGTCCCCACGCGGCCCCGCCGTCACCACCGAGCCGCCGGCGCCGCCGAGCTACTGCCGAGCCGCCCGATCCACCCGAGCCGCCCGAGCCGCCGCGCCACCTGAGCCGCCCGAGCCGCCGGGTCGCCGAGCCGCCGAGCTGCAGTTGCTGCCGCACCGCCGTACCGCCGAGCCGCCCGAGCCGCCCGAGTCGCCGAGTCGCCGAGCCGCAGCTGCTGCCGAGCCGCCGTACCGCCGAGCCGCCCGAGCCGCCCGAGCCGCCGAGTTGCCGACCCGCCGAGCCGCCGAGCCGCCCGAGCCGCCCTGTCCGGTAAGAGCAGCGCCTCTGTCACTGCACTGCCCTTACCCTACTGTTCGCGCTGCTAGTCTACTGCTGTCATGGCTACCCCTAGTGTCCTCGCTTTTGACGCTGAGGGTCGGGCCATTGACTTTGACGTCTGGGTAGATGACCTGCAGCTTTTCCTACAGTGCGATAGGGCAGACGGTCTCTCCCTCTTTGACCTCACCTCTGGTGCCTCTCCTGCCCCTGCTGCTGATGCCGACGCCACTGTTCGCTCACAGTGGGCCACATGCGATGCTGCTGCACGTCTTGCTGTGCGTCGCCACCTGCCTACCTCTGAGCGTGCGCACTTTAGCCAGTACAAGAGTGCTCACACCTTGTACGACGCTGTAGTTGCGCGCTACTCCTCCCCTGCCACTGCTGCACTGAGCCGCCTCATGCTACCGTACCTCTTCCCTGACCTTGCTGCCTTTCCCACAGTCGCTGACCTCATTACGCACCTCCGCACTAGTGACACTCGCTACCGCGCTGCGCTTCCTGCTGAATTCTGCGCCAAGAACCCCCCCCCCATGTACATCACCCTCTACTACATAGTCACCCGGCTCCCTGACTCCCTTCGCGTAGTCAGGGACCACTTCCTCTCAGTTTGCCCCACCACTCTCACCGTTGACCTCCTCGAGAAGGCCCTCCTAGCAGCAGAGAAGAGCATAGTCGCTGTAGGAGCCTCTCGTGGTGACCC